GATCAGTTACTGGGTTGTCTGGTCAAGACTCGATTATTCACAGACCGCCGTCACATAGCTGGAATGTTGCTGAGTGCGACTTTACACAACACATATACACGCACGCACGCACGCATGCAGACACACAAACATACATATATATACACGTAAGCATGTGAGTGTTTATGATTAGGCTATATACACTGCCAATCTGTTTGATTGTATACATCATTGTGACGTGTTACCCTTCGACTCAATTGTATCGAATATCCACAATGCTATACATTTAAAACTCAAATCAAAAGGTTTTGTATTCAAACCCAATCTATTGTTTTTTGAAAATATTGAGAACAGTGTGATAAGACAAATAGCATTGACAGGATCAAACACAGGAGGTGCAATACGTGTTATAAAGATGAGTATTTTAATTAGTTATTATATTGATATGACATACGACAAATGCAAGACTTACTTGATGAGTCTACTTACTGTAAATAACTGTGAGCCCAAAATACGGAACAAAACTGTCGCGAAGATATTAGTGTTTACACCCAGGCAGCTGAAAATAAATTTGGCCCCGATCGAAGATATCACAACAAGATGAGAAAAAGGCGTTCAGATCGTGCATGGTTCGGCAAGAATTGTGATGCTACACGTGGAAAATGCTTACTTGCAAGCTAGAAGTTTTGTTTGTTGTTCCACGCCGCACACAGCAATCTTCCAACCCATGACGGCGGTCTGTAAACCAGATAATCAAGTGATTGACATCATGAGCATCATTTACGCAATTTGTGCAAGCTAGAAGTCTCTGTCTGTCTCTCTCTCTCTCTCTATCTCTCATACCATTATGAAGAAATGGGTAGCGGGCGTACCACGACAAGTAGTACGTGGATATGTGCGAGTGGTAAACCTACACTTACCCATGGGTCTAAAATTACCTGCCCTTAATTTTCATGAACACTACCGACCCATCAAACGTCGATAAGGAAAACGAAAATGGGTAAGGGAGGTAACTCGTATTGCCTAGATACTAAACCACCAACAGTTGTTTTGGGGCATGAAGACATCCTTTCTCTCAAAAAGATTTTTGATGGCTTTCTTTTGCGTGTTAGTCAGTTTTTCAACGTTGAATTTCTTGCAAGCTCGCTATGTTGTTGACATCGACTACTGGGGCTTGTAACGCCAACAAATAGCAGCTACACGATATATGTCACAACCAGGGTTATTTACCCGTAACTTTTGAAGAATTCATGGCTCTACTCATATTTAAGGAAAATAACCATCAGATATAGATCAATCCTACCTTCGTTCTTCAACAAACATATAATAATCCCTTGGCAGCTAAATATTAATCCATATTTCTGTGAATTTATGATCGGGACTGAGCTACGTGTTTCGAGGATGCCCGCCATTTTAACTTTGTGACAGCCAGCTTTCGTCTCAATGAAGTTTCTGATTTTGGCTAAAGCTTAGCATTTTGCATTATGAAGTATTTTTCAGTTTTATTAAGTAGGTACAGAGGAACCAAGAATCGCATTTGATGCTATGTCAAGACGTTTTATTAAATGTTGCTGTGAATTCTGACATCAGGAACTATGTAATCTTCGCTCATGTATTCATGGGCGGCATAAGCATCACTATTTATGAACACGTTTTTCAGAAATGATATCAAGCACCACTGTCAAAGCACATCAGTGGCCAATTCATGTTTTTAAACGTCTTATGTATCAGAAATTCCAATTGTCCCCTGATATTCATCATCTTCCTCTTTGAATTGTCCATCCAGTCGATGTTGCTTCTTGTTGTTACGTTTGCTCTGCAGGCAGCAAGGTCGTGCCTTGGACGCAGCAGGGCGTGGTCGTTTATTTTGTGATCTTGGAAGACAACTAGCGAATCAATTAGACGTAAGTAATTGCTTGGTATAAATACTCATTTTTAAACCAAATTTTCTCCTGAGATGGTTCGCCTTCCTCTAAATTTTAGTGATTTTACGTTGTGAAAGTAGATCCCTCAAAGGAATAATTTAGGACGTGACGGGGCGTAATTTGGTCAGAAACACACATTTGGCATGTCAAATGCCGAGCGCCATACAGTATTACAAGTATCATCATGTAGACACCAGTTCTTTTGTTTATCGAGGCGGTAGGGTAGCCTTGTGGTTTAAGCGTTCGCTCGTCACGCCGATGACCCGGGTTCGATTCCCTACATGGCTACAATTCTGGTGTTCCCGCCGTGATATTGTTGGAATATTGCTGAAAGCGGTGTAGAACCATACTCACCCACTATTGTTTGTCACAGGTGTTCATATCCGTGAATGCAGGTCTTATAATATATGTTGCATATAGGTATTCATTTTCATAGGTGTACAGACGTTTGAAAGTCTGTATATATCAACATACACCACAGTTAGTCTAAGTTGGACGTCCGTGATGTTAAAATAAACGATATTTTTCACCGCCTAATGTCAACGTGCGAACTTCCTATAAAGGAGATCGTTAAGATCCGGGCTGGAAAAGGTATTCAGCATCCCTTGCTTGTTAGAGCCGACTGTTCCAGACAATCCGGTGATTGACATCATGAGCATCGATCCGCGCAATTGTGATACGATGGATGACACGCATCAACCTGATCCCGTTAGTCGCCTTACACGACAAGCATTGGTTGCTGCAGACCCATTTTACCCCGGATCTTCACGGGTACGTGAGACTTAAGATGTCGGTGTGACTTAGCCGAGACCATCCTCTGAGCCTCCAGGGCTCGCATTTCGTTAAACCCACAATTAACCCTGGACTCAGTCACAAGTATTCCGCGATCTTAAATTACCTGCCCTTGCCTTCCTTTAGCCAATTTGATTGGCTAACCTAGGCACAAGTAACGTGTGCATCAGAATGCAAGCTATAAACCAGCCTCAATGTTGGGTTGATGATAACATCACGGCCAGTCTCATTTATTACGATAGAGTGTGCGAGTAATTCAACGTCGAAAAACTGAGTGACACGCAAAAGAAAGGCATAAAAAAAATCTTTGAGGGAAAGGATGTCTTCATGCCCTAGATAACTGGCGGTGGCTTTGATTTCTAGGCAATACGAGTTACCTCATTTTCGTTTTTCTTATCGACGTTTGATTGGTCGGTAACATCTTAATGGGCAGGTAAGTTTAGATCGCAAAAACTGTCTGAATGGGCCCAGGGCTAAATGAAGGTTTACCGAAATGCGAGCCCGGGCTGTAGAGAAGATGAGTTTGGTTTAACGCCGCTTTTAACAGTATCCCAGTTGTATCACGGCGTGTCAGCTTAATGTGGGAGGAAAGCCCTAAGTGATGCAGGTCTCCGACGTTTACCACTTCGGTGAAACCCACGAGCACGGGTATGGTGCTGACAAACCTGGAAACAAAGGGCCGAACCGGGATTCGAACCCACCAACATAGGTTTCTGGCGTGCCCAAGGGACGCAACTCTGCACAGCGAATCGCGGCGCCTAAGACGACTGGGCCACCCGTGACCCCCTGTAGAGAGGATGAGCCACACGAACATATCCATCGTGCTACTATTGTGGTACGCCCGCTACCCCTTTCTTCAGTCGTAAGCGTCATAGGGTGGACCTCAGTCAGTCATACAGGTTAACTAGTCAGATCACAACTCAACTTATTCTAGCTTCTATTTACCTGTTGTTCAGATGGATAGCAACATAATCTCCCACACAATGGTATCCAAATAGTTGTAGCAGCCTCACGAGGGGTATATGTGGTTGTATGCATCCCGCGTTAGGTTTTATTATACCACGAATGATACAGCTACAACGAATTTATCTTGCCGACATGTTTTAATTTGGCATTCTGAAAGAATTAAAAGAAATTCAAAATTGATAACAGCTGTTCGATTGAGCCGAGATTAATCTGTGCTGTGTCACGCAATTTTCATCGACTCGGAAAGAGCGTGCGTCTTTTGAAAGGGGCTTTTCGGAATTTATTCTACCCCAGAAATCGACATGCAGCCTTTCTTGGTCGTGGCGGGTATATGGGATTTATTCTCCCGCTGAGATATTTAATTCCCTCCAAGCCAGGATACATCGTATTTTATCAGATCACTTAGGCCAATCAAATCTCATCATTTGACAGACCTGGGAAGATCCGTGGTTGAATAAGTCTTCAGCAACCCATGCTTTCCGTAAAATTCTTGTAAGAGACGACTAACGGGATCGCTTGTAAATAATCGAGTCTGGACCAGACAATCCAGTAATTGACATGAGCACCGATCTATGCAATTAGGATACGATGATGTGCATAATACTAAGTCACCGAGCATGACCACCCGATGCTGCTAGTCGCCTTTTACAGGAGTGAGTATTGTTTTACGCCGCTTTTAGAAATATCCCAAAAAATAACTACTGGGGGACACCAGAAATGGGCTTCACACATTGTACCCATGTCTGGAGTCGAACCAGAGTCTTCGGTGTGACAAGCGAACGCTTTAACCATTAGGCTACCCCACCGCCTTTTTAAGTACGGGTAGCTGAAGATCAATTCTAACCAGGATCTTCACGGCAAGAACTTGCTGCAGATCAAAACTAGCGTCTCCTGGATCCGTGACCAGCGGATTCTGTCATGCAATAGTGACTTTCCGCAGCGAATAGCTGCGTTTGAGACCCCAGCATTCCCGATACCCCCATAAACAAGATGGGCACTACATTCTGTACGACCCGTGAAGATCCCTGTTAAAATAGGTCTTCAGCAACCCATGCCTGCCGTAAAAGGCGACCCTACTTGTAAGAGACGACTAACGGGATCGGGTGGTCAGGCTCGCTGACTTGGTTGATGATGCATGTCATCGTATCCCAATTGCGTGCACCGATGCTCATGATGTCAATCACTGGATTGTCTGGTCCATACTTGATAATTTACAGACCGCCGTCATATAGCTGGAATATTGCTGAGTGCGGCGTTGAACAACAAACAAACGTACTGTACCTGTTCAGAGAACCAGTTTCCACACTCACGAGGTGGAACCATAAATAAAAACAGCCCTTGGTATCTGATCTCGTTTATTGAGTTACTATGCTGGCACAGATACGGACTGTCTCCGGTTTGAAAGTACAAAGCTATACAGCGACAGACCCAACGACATTAAGCACAAAAAGGTCAGGGACACAATTGCCGGCCAAGGAAGGATCGGCCATTCCGAGAGGCCAAGGGTTATATCTTCGTTGTTCTGTTTTGCAAATGGTCGGTGTTCATCGTCCACGATCGACAACATTTGGGGTTGCTCGTCAAATCTCGACGACGGTCGGGGTCGATCGGCCTCTTCGGCCATTTGTGGGGGCAGATCATCCCCATTCGCTAATGGGGTGTGTAGATCGTCCTCTTCGGTCAATGGTGAGGGCAGTTCAACCTCTTTCGCCAAAGGTCGAGCTCGTTCCGTATCTTCGGCAACTGGTCGGGGTAGATCGACCTTTTCATTGACGAGGTTTATTTTGGGCGGTATTCCGAGTACTCCAGCTGGGTGCCTGATCGTGCCCATTTCTCTGCCCACAAGGCTGTAAATGTTGGATTGGACTTTCATGGATACATCGTCTGAAATTGTAAGACATGACACTGCCTTGTTCTCATCTTGCTTATCCTGCATGAATGTTTATCACAGACAACTTATTTTTACGTATTTTTAATTCGGTATGCACCTGCTAAGGGAACGAACATTTTACATTCTGCGGGTGTCCGGAAATATGTATGGAGACTAGATATTTTTTTAGCCACAGGTGCAAAAACAGATGTTTTTAAGCAATTTAACTTTTCTTCAGTATATAACTATTATTCATCGGGTTTTCTGAGTACAATATATTGCCTCATTTGTTATAAATATTCTACGAAATTCTATAAAATATTCTTTTATTAAGTAAAATCAGTGTTTGAAACTGCTCACTGGTTGGAATGAGAAAGTAGAGCTATGGTACCGTCGATACCACTGGAGGACGAATACGCCGGGACCGTTTCTATAATTTGGAAGAAGTTGTGTAATACAGGGTATGAGATTAACCTGACGGGCTGGATCAAGACTAACGTCACTATAATTTACGTTTCGAGGGCGACTATGTACGTACTTTCTCGAGTTCTAGGAGCATCACGTCTTCGGCGTTCATTGCGACAGGAGCTCTGAAATATAAACATAACCCATATATTGTATATATATATACACACACTACGAACATTTCATATCAAGGCCGAAAACTGAAGCGACATGTTTATGCCGCTCTCAGCATTGTTACAATCTCATTAAAATCAGATCTTAGTTCTCGCTAGCTACCGCTAAAAGAAAAGATCTGAGGACATCCCATTACGAGTCACGTAAGACCGACCTTGCTCTTGGAATGACTGACAAGAAGTAGACATTAGCCAATCAGAAGGCATCTTTCTCCTGCTTTACGGCATTAATTTCAAATTGGCCTCTAAGCTTCGAAACATATTTTGACAAGTTCTCGATAAAAAAATTGAAACCTGAACAAAAGAACATTCTGGAATGGCTAATTGATGGTGAAAATTGTATGGATTCAGTCGTTAAGCCCGTAACTATCGTTCGGAATACCCCGTGTTAACGTTTTCGAGGTTGCAAAATACATTCCGACTGTCACTTTCATGGTCTGGTAAGCGACGCTCTGATTGGTCGGATGAAAGGTCGTTCAGACGTGACCCCTAATTGGATGTCCTCAGATCTTTGTTCAGCGGTAGCGAGAACTAAGATCCGATTTTAATGAGAATGGCATTGTTACAGCTTTTTAACGGCGACCTGTGAAGGCAAATAAGTTTGGGCTAGGCAGACTAGTGGTTGATAGCGTCACCAACCATTTACGTCGTCGGGGTATGTCGATATCCATTACGGTACCATCCGATCTCTATCATTCGTTCGGCTCTTACAGACACGATGTTTTTTTTTCTCAAGACAAATGGCGTGAGTCGTTTCACGCCGCTTTTTGCAATATTCCATCAAAATCACGGTTGGGGACGCACGAAATTGTTTCACACATTGTATGAGCGAACTTTATAACCACTATGCTAGCCCACCACCCAAAATGTGGAACGGAATTCTGTTTGCGACGAATTTACAAAACTACAATAAGAAAATCAATTCTTTCAGTAAATGAACATTTATTCGACGCTTCTCCAAGACTATTTAATAGTATGAACAGACATTAACCTCAAGGGGAGGCAATTTTGAAGCTAATATTGGTAATTAATCATCTAAAGAGCAACAGTTTCAACATTTATATCCAAATTATAGTTGCTGGTGTTGTCACCAACGTATTTCCATCAGATTTTGCACCATGCAAGATTATAGAGTATTTAGTCGGGACCAGTTTACCCATAAATGTCCCGGGCAAAACTTTCATTAAAACTTCAAATTTACATCATCTTTCAGAGGCAAGGGAGTAAGCTGACTAAAGCCACCATTTGCCCCTTTCCGTAACCTGCAAGAAGACTCGTACCCCTATCGATGAATGTAATGTGCGAAAATACGACAAGCCAATCGGAATGCGCGTATGATTTCAAGTTCTTCGTCAAAGAATCTCTCAGAAATAATTTGATTTTTACATATGTCTTGCATCTAAAATATACCCACGACAGGAATGGAACTATGGAGTTAAATTTAGGCAGGACTAACGAGTCTATAAATAGTCCAATCAAAATCGCGTAACCATGCAGTTTTCGGTCGATTGTAGGATTTGCAGAACATGTGTACCGACAGCTTAGCGATAACATATTTTCCAAATCTTTTCATGTTTTTAATAAAGGTGCTCACTTGATTTGATGCACTTAGCGAAGTGAAATCCGTTTTATTACAATATAGATCTTGATTATCGATCAGATTGTCTTCACTAGGTGACGCTATTGTATTTGAAGCAAATGCAAGTGATAAGAAGTGGAATCTGATTGTCAATATAGGGACATAGGGACATAACTCGTAATAGCCACTGGTGGCGCTACGACCGAGCCCAGTTCGGCACGGGTGGAAACGTTTACAGTCAGTTAACTCCCTTGCCTCGTGATGATGTATTTCCATAGGAAAACAGCCCTTCCAAATATTGCATCCAGCATTAGGTTTTGTATGCTTATAGGACGAACATTGAACAAGAGAAACCAGCATCGGCACTCATGACATGTTGTTAACAGTTTCAATGGAAACATTGGACTTTCAGCTGCTTCCTCTGCTTCATATGTTACTCACGTTTGATAGGGATAGTTAGACTTCCATGATACAGTCGATTCTCAAATGTCAACTGTACATTTAAACAGAATGCCATGTGATTATCAAACAATAAGTATATAATCCAGTTACATCACGGTGTGTCGGCTTACTGTGAGCAGGCGGGATTCAGACCCATGGCGTCCCCAAGGGATGTAACTATGCACAGGAAATTGCAGCACCTCCGACAACTTTGCAGCCACCCTCCCTCCACCACCACCCCCCTAAACCGCCTCCTCCCTCCCTACCTACCACCCACCCTCCACCCAGGATGACAGAAATTGTCTTCACACATTGTACCCATGTGGGGAATCGAAACGGGGCCTTCGGAATACATGTGAAAGCATTGACCACAAAGGCTAGCACGCCACCCTTCCGCCCTTGAACACTACACAGAATGTCTGGCTTTCCTTCGCTGGAGTAAATTCATGGATGGAAACGGTAGCGCTAACTCACCCCATCACAACTTGTATTGCACGTTGTGAAGTTGCAGTCAAACTTGATATCCTTATCGTCGCCGAGGTGAAACGAAGTGAAGTAAGGACTGAATGAACTTTTACCAACAGTTGTAAATCCTTGATCCTTCTGGAAGATTATTCCATCTCCACAGCTGTAAGAAAATACATTCAACATATCAAATAGAGTGAAACGGTCAGATCGGGGCTGACTGGCGTTACGTCATGGAGTTCAGCAAGAAGATTGTTGTTTAGCGCCGTACTATAGCAATATTACAGCTATTTGACCGCTGTCTGTATATAATGGAGCCTAGTGGTTAAAGCGTTCGCTCGTCACGACGGAGACCCGGCAGTTCTCCCAGTTCTCTTTTACAAATATTTGCCAAAGCGATCGGCGACTTGGTTGAAATACCAATGTCGTGTATGTCCCGTCTGGCACAAAATGGTCCACGCTATACATACCCTGCTCGAAGAATCGCATATCTCTCGTTCGAGTTGATCCCTACAACGTCACAGGAAGACGCCCTGAGGCCCACCTCGCCATCTTTACCTATGGGAAACAGTGGGAATTGACATTACTGGCAACATCTTTACAGTAGCAGCATTTACAACAGGTGCAAACAAACCTGTCTCGAGTGGCCCTACCATGATTACAGATTACAATATAATACTAAACACTTGTTAACGGGGAGTTCATATGTTCTATATATTCCCTGAGTTAAATAAGTTAATATTTTATATACAAGCACAGCGCTTTCAACACAAATAGATATGACCTGTTGGCTACCAAAACTTGGCATCGTGCATGAGGCGAGGTACTGCAGGCTGGTCATGTATGTAGCCTAAGACGATAAATGCAGTCTGGCAGTGATTCGACGGACGGTTAAAGAAAGTACTCTTTCCGTTACTCGAGAGTTGACCCACGCACAGCGGCTTGGCGGCTTGGCTCTCTGACGCCTCTGAGATGCAGCCTCGCCATGTCTGTCCTATCATTTTGATGATGTAGCTGCTGTATTTGTTACATCATGGATAAAGTGATGTGGACCCACAGATATCCCAAACAATGTAGCCCTGGATACTTGCCACCCACGTGAGAGAATTGACAGTACAGTCCTTTAATCTACAAGTCTCAAATGTGATTGTAAAATCTTTGACAATTCTCCAAAAGATCAAATATTCAACAGCAAAATTCATCTGAAAATGACAAATGCCCCTGGCCCCACAGGAGCGAAATGAACCACATCAGCCTCTGGTTAATACATGTACCAAGTTGGGATGAAAACTCTTTCACAGTTTGCCAGTTATGCATTGGAAACTAAATACGGATGGACGGACGCAAAAAGGCCAGATGATGACTATATCCCCCGTATTATATACCGGGGGATAAAAATGTATTACAACTACAGTTAAATATTTAAAAACAATTTTAAAAACAGACAACTTGAATATTCCAAAAAGTGAGAGTCGGTAGGAATTCACGCTGTTTTTTTAGGAATATTCTGACTATTTGTTTGTTGTTTAACGCCGCACTCATTATTCCAGCTATATGACGGCAGTCTTAATATTCGAGTCTGAACAGATAATCCAGTGATTAACACGAGCATCGATCCACGCAACTGGACCTGACCACTGATGCAGTTAGTCGCCTTTTACGACAAGCATGGGTTGACAAGACCTATTCTGAACCGGAATTTCACGGGTCTGCCAATATGATTTGTTCGTTTGTTGTTTAACGCCGCACTCGGCAATATTCCAGCTATATGACGGCGACTATTTGTATCTGCCTAACACGTTGAACCATGTGTGGACGAACCCGGTTTACAGGGTCACGAGGAAACCTTTAACCTCCAGGAGTCCCAACGCCCAACATGATAGCGCTTCAGACGAGCACTGTATGGGACGATGACAAGTAAACTCCCTAGTCTAAGCCTGCAGCCTACCCAATCCCCATTTTGCTCGGCACGTACAATGCACAAAAATGCAGCAATGCCTTGACTATGTTGGGCGATCTTGATTCAGAAGCGAGTATAATGTAGTTATCTTCATACCATCTGTTGTTGCCTTGATCTGGATCTTCCTCTGGGCTGGAATATTTGAGTCTAGAGCAAAGCCTTTCACATCCACCAGACCCAGGTGAACCGACGAGGAAAACTGAGGGCCATTATGGAACTGCAGCTCTGACGGGGCGATAAGTCTAAACATGAAGCAGCGAGTGTGAAATAAATATTATAGCAATACCAGGATGGCCAGTGTATAATCACGTCTTTACCAGGCAAAGCGACCTTGCAATTCCATCGGGACACGATTATACAGAACATGACGGAGAAGTGGCGGTGCAAGGGTGTGTTATAACATTTTCAAAAGGGAGGGGTCTAAAATATCAAAATCCTCAGATAATTTTACTGCCTACAACATACATTTGGTTTAAAAGGAGGAGAGGAAAGGGGAATAGTCTTGATCCCCTGAACGCGACTTCTGGATCCGTCCATTCGGTGGCACCAGGAATGGGCTCGACTCATTGTGCCCATGCTGGAATCGAACACGGGGTTCGCTGTAAGGTTGGTTGTTTAACGCCGCACTCAGCAATATTCCAGCTATATGACGGCGGTCTGTAAATAATCCAGTCTGGACCAGACAATCCAGTGATTGACATCATGAGCATCGATCCACGCAATTGGGATCGATGACATGCTTCAACCAAGTCAGCGAGCCTGACCACCCGATCCCGTTTGTCGCCTTTTACGACAAGCATAGTCACATTTTACGGCAAGCATGGGTTGCTGAAGACCTATTCTACCCCGGAATCTTTACGGGCAGTTCGCTGTAAGGAGCGAATGATCATGCTGCTAGCCATGCCCGTTTTGTAGAATCAAATTTAAGATATACGACATCCGTGGGGCGGAACCATTTCTACTCATCTTTTATCATCTTTACAGCCCAGATTTAGGGGGAAATTGCAATCCAGAATCCACATCCAGAACTTAATATTTGTTGTGTTCTCTTGGCTACACGAAATCCGATGTTTCCTGGATTAGTAATATCCCAACGACTACAGAACTCCGACAACCTACCCGTGTAACGCATCTTTTACGGCGGTCGATCTTACGCCGTAGTCGCCGAACGCACAGGAAACCGCGTATTGTTCTGCATTGGTTATGATAGGACTTCCTTCCTGTCCCCACGCTACGTAAACTCTGGCCGAATACACGGTGGCGCCTTCCCGTCTCTGAAACATATGTGTTAACGATTTCGGTAAATATGGGGTTGGGTTGGGGTGGGGTGGGGTGTGGGATGACTTGCCAATGATGTAGGGCATGCGTCAGCTGTCCTCACAGGTGGCGCACATGGTCGATGACGATGAGCAACCGTTCCAGTCACGTTGGCGTCTTGGCGGGATACACGGCAAAATGTGCACTTCCGCAGTGTTCTTTCGGCTTTCGTCTGTCGAGGCATTTTTCTGCTCTGAACGAGGTTGGGGTGGATGAGCAATTAAACAACCTGGCTATAGACTATGCGCGCGCACAATATAAACTGTTCAACATGTTGCGTTTGCGAGTTTACACATGTGTCATGAACGCCACTTGTTCTTGGGTTGTTTGTTGTTTAACGCAGCACCCAGCAATAGTCCATATGCATGTATATGACGATGGTCTGTAAGTAATAGAGCCTGGACCAGGCAATCCAGGACTAAAATGAGCATCGAAATACGCAAATGGGATACGATGACATGCATGAAACAAGTCATCGACCAATGCAACCCGATCCCGTTACAAACATGGGTTGCTGAAGACCTATTCTTACCCGATCTTCACGGGTTGATCTTTGGTTCGAACCCGACTGTCAGGATCGAATCCTCACACACCTCAACTGTCATTTACCAATCCCTTCCCCAGACAACTGATAATGGTAATGTGCATAAAACAGATTGTGTTATTAATTGCTCGTCAAAAGAAACACGAACCATTGAAACAGAAGTATGTACGTTGAGAGTGAGTGAGTTGGGTTTAACGCCGCTTTAAACAGTATTCCAGTTATATTGCGGAGTGTCAGCTTAATGTGGGAGGAAAGCCCGAAGGGACTCAACTCTGCTCAGCGAAACGCGGCGCCTTAGACGACTGGGCCACCCGTGGCCCCTTCAGAGACTCAAACTTACAACATTCGTACCTGTTGCCAAGTGAGGGAACAATTAGGCAACTGAGGCGCTAACAAACCACTGCTCTTAAGAATCTTTCAAGTGCATGTACAGATTTTACGTCCGTTTACTAAAGTCCATGGAAAATATGTTGGAAACATTAAAATGTTGATAAATGATTCAGATTTTTCTTTCCGAGATAAAAACACTTTCCCTTGAGTTGCTATGAGACCGGGTGAGGGTTTGATACTTCACTCAATACCAGATCACGTGCATTGCGTGCGCCCATTGTAAGATGGGATGTATTCGAGTAGCTGGATGTTTGAGAAAATGGAAGCCCGATTGCTTGAGCTTCCGATGCTTCATTTGAGTAGCTTTTGTTTGTTGTTTAACGCCACACTCAGCAATATTCCAGCTATATGACGGCGGTCTGTAAATAATCGGAGCAGCTACTGCCGGTGGTTGGTTTCAAGAGACAATTCTGAATCATGCATAGGGGCTATATTTTCAAAGACACATGCTTTTAAAAACAATATATAAAAGTTACACACCCAATTTTAACATATTGATATAGTTAATGTCATTTATTGCATGACAGGTTAACAGTAATATGAAAAATCGAGTGTTCTTAAACTTTTGAGTTGATTAAAGTATTCCTGCAAAATGACGGCGGTTTTTAGTATATATTTGTTAACAAGAAATAAATTACGCAATTGTGTCAGTGGTGTTTTGTAAACACAAAACGGGGTGAGAAAAAGAATGTCAAAACTCTTTTTAAAGACACGTATACCGATATTTAAGATCCAGCAATTCGTGGCTTTATGTACCGAAATTATCAAAGGCATTACGTTTTCATCCGTGTTGTAAATACTGCTCAGGGGCTACATTGGGAGATAGTGATGGCCCTGATAGGTCATTACTATAAGGACAACAGCTAAGGTCGAGTGGTTTGATTCTCAAATTCTGCAATCTCGAATAAAAACGGTAATACAAGCAGAGCGTTCACAATATTCGCCCAAATCGGGGACCCATACACGCCGTCCTGTGTAAAATAAGCGAACCTGCTTGGTATATTGAAAAACATTCCACAAATTATTCATTCTTACAAGTAGATGTTCACATTTCGAAAGGTAGGTTATGGAACACTGATGCAAGGGATTTTTTCTCAGAATATTCAGTTCATGACGGAAAATGTTTGATCAGCGATTAATACGAGTGAGTTAGATAAAATAAAGTCACATCGGCAATATTTCAGCCATATTGTGACTATCAAGGGTTAAACATTATAAATACATTTAGACTATAAAAACCTGCAACGAAGGACAGTAAAATAACTGGACTTATCACAGAAAAAAAACATCTATAACTAGTATAAAATAATAAAAAGGATAGCACTTTACATAATACATGACAAAAACGGGCTAGAGATCGCCAGCAACTGAAAGTAGATCACCACACTAGTAGGAGTTCAAATTTATTAACCGGGTACCAACTGAAGATCTCAAGAGTTAGGAACGAAATGTGATTGGGAATTCTTTAACCGCAGTCCTGGCAAAAACTATTTAGATACATGTATCAAACTATGAGATCATGCGTACATGGAAGTTGACTGAAGCTTTATCTCTTCTCACACATATACAAGTCAAAGGAAAGTGTTCATCGTCAGAAAGAAATGCGAACTATAGCGACTTGAAGTGTAACCACTGAGCGACAGTGAGTTGTTGTCATTAAACAATATGCCACGTGACTAACCACGGGTCCCGGTTGTCCTGTTGGTACCCGGATCCTACTCAGGAACCACCCGATCCGAGTACCAGAGTTACCCGTCCCAGCCCTACACAGTACACACCAGGGACCATGGGGACTTACAGTACTTTTACTACCTGCATGGACACTAGCAGGATTTATATCACCCCTAGCCAAAATATAAAATCAGAGATTCTATTAAAAACGTGGCACAAATAAACATACTTTGAAAGACGTGGTCTTACATGATATTAATAGGACCTTGTCCCATTGACAATGTTTCAAGCTATTAATTTGTGATGTTGTCAAAGCTTTATCCTGATCAACATCATCTTCCCGAGGCAAGTGAGTTAACTGATTATAAAAGTCCAGTTGCCACCCTTGCCGAACTGGGCGGGTATTATGGAGTTACATTTTGGCTGGACTAACGAATCAAAATCGCGCACCGAAATCGAAATCCGGTTCAAAACTGTCGTGCAGATTTCGGTCGATTGCAGGATTTGCCAAGCATGTGCACCGCTTACTCGATGTCAGCGGATATTTTCCAAATCTTTTCATGTATTTAATCAAGGTGCTCACGTGATTTGATGCATTTCGCGATGTAAGACCCGTTTTATGACAATATAGATCTTGATTATCGAACAGATTGCCCTGACTAGGCGCCACCATTTTGGGTGAAGCAAACGCCAGTGATGCGAGAGGTGGAGTCTCATTGGTCCATAGGAGAGGTGAGGTGAAATGGGGTTTAACGTCGCGTCCAAGATTATTGCACTTATATAGCGACGTGCATGCACGTGTGTGTGTGTGGCTGCTTGTACTAGTCCGGACTGATGCCGATTCATAGTGCTAGCACACTGAGATACCATGCCGCAGATTAACATGAATACCCCACTCAGACACAGTTTACTGACTCCGAGCCGACCAGTCCTAGTTTTAGCCCCTTAATGCAACAAGTACCATCTTTTAACGTCTTTTGGTATGACACGGCTGGGGATCGAACCCCGGACCTTCCGCTCTCCGGGCGGACGCTCTACCACTAGACCACGGAAGAGGTCGGTCCATAGGAGAGGCTTAGAGGGGACATAACTTGTAATAGACACTGGTGGCGCTACGATCGAGCCCAGTAATTCCAGCCAAGTTAGGCAAGGGTGGAAACTGGACTTTTAAAGTCAGTTAACTCTCTTGCTTCGGGAAGATGGATCAACATCTTCAATGCATACCAATGAACAGAAGCAAAGATACCTTCAAAGGGTAACAATACACTGATAGTATCGATTCAAGCACCTTCAATACAAGTCCTAATTATATTTCAACTTACCTCCATGACGCAACGAGCGCTGCCATCGTCCTTGAACGAGATTGGCATTATACAATGAGCACCATCGGTTTTATTGAAAAGCTGCAGACCGTTCTTACATTTGGCCGTTACACGAACGCTCAAGTCAGACACTACCTCAATGAAGCCATTTGACTTGCCGTCTCCACAGTGAGCAGAGACTGAAATCATAAAAAGTACAAGGACCAGATTAAATAGTAATTATCTTCAATTTGGTACAATTAAGGTAGTATATTTTCATAAACCTGACCTGCAATTCCAGAAAGAGGTGAGCGAGCTGGGTAGAACGCCGGGACCCACAATCATAGGTTTATCGAACCCACAATCATAGGTTTCCGGCGTGCCCAAGGGACGCAACTCTGCACAGCGAACTGCTGCAGAAAAAAATGAATCGATATCCTGATTAACATAATGAAAGTGTCTTTAAAAATAGCAAACGTCCATCAATATAACACCAGGAGTAAAATGGGATTTCAAAATAGTATGCACCCAACCTGCAAATCCGAGTAGCTCTAGTTATCGTACATCGTGATCAGGCAAGTGAAACGATGGTTGTTTATATTCCATCTGAATAACGTCGATCCGTAATCTGGACCAGTCAGACCAGTGATTGACAGCATGAGCAAATATCTTACAAAGGAGCATGACGGCAAGGACAATGAACCAGGTCATGGTGTAACCTCTCCGTCTGCAAGTACATGTAGTTGAATGCACAAGCTCGGGTAACCGATTCTGTACCGGTTTAGTAGAAGCAAGCTGTCTTCAATCCATTCGGATATTGGGAACTCCGGATAGCATGGGCTTCTTGGTTATTACGCGATCGTAGCGCCACAATTCACTGTTATTGACTTGATTCGCCAAGATCGCTATAAAAAAGCGGCGTAGGGTGGTACTCACCTTTCACGATAAAGTCCGCAGGTAGGCCTGACACGTACACGGGCACCTGAAATGGGATTTCATATATACACTTAAAAGGTAAACGTGCAGAACATGCCCAACCATCAATCCCGTGCTTCTCGTGTGGGTTTCATATCTGCATTGTCAGGAAAGGGTTATTATCTGGTCGTTGCTGCGTTTTGGCGATTCCAACACTGACAAATTTCGTTCCAATTGTAATTGAGCTCATAACGTCACATCAAACCAAAATACCCTGGACCCACTACTGTCTCAAATTCAATAATCTAAAATCCTTGCGACGCCTGGGACCAATCTTAGTAACTGAGATGTAATCGTCAATGGTCTTTTGGAAGCATTGACATTTGGGACATTTTAACATCCGTGGGGAGAAGGATTTGTAGCAACTCGTTGATAGTTTGCTGCGAATCGTAGCTATTTACTGCTTCAATTGTAGTGTCCGTTGGGCGGCCGAGTAGCCTAGTGGTTGAAACGTTCGCTCGTCACGCCGAAGACCCGGGTTCCCGACGTGCGTACAATGTGTGAAGCCCATTTCTGGTGTCCCCCGCAGTGATATTGTTGAAAGCGGCGAAAAACCACATTCACTCACTATAATGTGCGACATTCACTGGTCGCCAATACAAAGACACAATTCATGCCACTTTCAATACAAAACATTTTCTTCTGAAATGTATTATTAGTTTCTAAAAATAAGGTGTCGAGATATCTGCCTCGGCCGCTGGGTCGGGTATTTGTTATTTAACGCCGCACTCAGCAATATTCCAGCTACATGATGGCTGTCTGTAAATAATCGACAATCCAGTGATTGACATGAGCATCGATGCATGCATCAACCAAGTCAGCGCGACTGACCACCCGATTCCGTAAATCGTCTCTCACAAGCATAGTCGGCTTTTACGGAAAGCATGGGATGCTGAATACCTATCCTACCCCGGAATTTAACGGGTTGCTGTGTCGGATAGCAATAGCGGAGCAATACATACCATAGTTGATAGTGCAATGATTACATAAATGAACGCGTAGATTGGCATGGTAGCCCCACAAACATGCAAAGTTAATGAAAACCAGTTCCTAAAGAAATTCCTAACCAAAGAATAAGAAGACTACTCACATATATAGCCAGGAGTAGCCCTGCAACCCACACAGCCATACCTGTCGAAGACGCCAACATAGATTACAATCTCTTAAAAACTATGGACAAGTAGTGGATAATGGAACATTAAGCTCTCTGAACATAACGTCATATGCAATAGAATAGGTATGACTAAACAGGAGTCACTTAAAACTACAAGCACTGTGGGGGGAAAAACCAGCATGTATTATCACGTGACAATTATGATTTAACGCAGCAGAATAACACAGGGGTTGTGCTTAAATGACAAAAGTGCTTTAGTTTTTGTGTTTTAATATAATAATTTGTAATTGCTACACCAAAATGTTTATTATGAATATATTTCGGCAAGACTTCCGCCCGTATACCCCCTCAAAAATATATATGATTAAACCTAAATTACGCGTCATTAGTTTCTGGAATGCTCGTCAATAGTTTCAATAATTCGTCACTAGTTTCAATAGCTCTTCAATAGTTCTGTATTATTGACGAGCTATTCGAAAAGACATAACAAAGTCGGGAGGAGGGTGGCATTGGGGTTCCAGCAGTAGATAAGGGGGGCATGGAGGGTATTGCCATGGTAGTCTTCACCTTTCAATTATGAAGGCGATAAACTTTTGGTTTAACTCGCCGTCAGACGCTTGTAAAAGATACATGTCTACTTCTTGTCCATTCCATTTTCTTGCTTTGTACCAAGTAGACAGTAACCGAAGGGCCCAGTCACATTTTTTTAAAGTATTTTTACTTTTAGCAGATCTTTCCAAATCTTGCATTTTAAAGTGAAGAGAGTGGCCTACCGAAACGGCGCGATACCGGACTTAAGGGGGGTGGAGGGGGTGTTTCAACTTTTTGTCGTGCAATCTCCACAGTATTAAATCCTTGACTGCAAGGAATAATTTCATCATCAGATGAAGTGCCGAGTTCTGTGGAAATTGCCAGTGGGTGTTTCACCGACCGGAGACAGAAAAAGCTTCAGTTCCTCATCAGGGCGATTAGGCAATTCGGTCATAGATTTACTTGTACCAACATTGCCGTCATCATCATACGCGGGAGAGTTGTTTAATAAATTCTCAAAGTCACTGTTTATATCTTGTGTATCAAAACTTTTTCGAAAACTTACTCTGGGTCAAAAGTAACTCGCTGTCTGAATCCGACTGACAAGCCATTTGGTTATGTCGAACGAAATGCACGCGCACAACTAATGACATGCAACTGAAACCGGTTTCGCATGATTCTGGTGTGTTCGAGTGAACTGCACGCGCACAACTAATGACGTTCAACTGTTACCGGTTTCTGTTCTCGGTTGCCTAACTGTCTGATACTACGGGATTCAAACTTGCAAAAGCTATAAAAAGTATTTTGAGTTTGTTTTTAGTTGAGGTGTATATACTATTTGAACGCATAATAGTTTTTTAAGTGGATGAAGCATTCCAATGAAACTAAAGCCGCGACAATTTAGGTTTAAGTAGAATAAAATCCTCAGACGCGTCAATAGTTGTGCACGAGGTTTGGTCTTCGGCGCTAACGCGCCTCAGACCAGACCCCGTGCACAACTATTGACGCGTCTTCGGAGTTTATTCTTTACTTATATATGATTAACAGGATCGAGTGGTCATGCATGCATACATACATACAGAACTTTTGAAAGGTGGGTACCGGCGGAAGTCTTTCCAAAATGTATTCCTGAACAATATCAAAATCTTATCTGTAAAGACATTCTCACTCTTGATGGATAAAAAAATCTGTCTCACCTAGATCAAGTCAAGCCACGCTCTGAGCAAGTCCACGAGGTTATGAAGCCAAGGACCGAAAGACCAGTTTCACTCGCAGGCAAAAATCGTGAATTATCATCCAATGAAATTGGCTGTCACAAATAATCACGTTTTTAAACCTATCACTGACACCGTTAGAAAACAGCGCGAGGACTTAAAACATGTGGCAGCACGTGAATTTGTCAGTCGTGTGCTAGGCAGAAGTGGAAACGTAAAGGTAATAATTATGTGCTTACAGACATTTTTGTATAACTTATATTTGGATTATTTAAAGTAATGCAATTAATAAGTGTTGTCCGCTTCGTAATAAAATATTCGTCTCCGCAATTAAGGTAATGAATTTTTATTTGAAATGGAGTCATGCATACGACATAGGTCGTGTGTCAAGTCGCCATGTAATATAGACATTGTGCACTATTTACAAAAAAAGTTGCTATGTGTCTTGTGTGTGGCTATACTAGAATTATCACCTAGCGATTCAATTAAAAACGTTTTGGCCATATGCAAGCTTGTTACCATGCATGCGTCAGAAGGTTCAGCATTTTAGGGCATTTTAGGGTAATTCAATTCTCGACAACGTGGGCAGTTCGTAAGCATTGCTTCAACTCCGATCTTTTATGTCCAGTCAATTTTCCCTGATCTGTAGTTCACTATTAGATCCACATTCTTTTATGTACCCTATTACGGTAAAACACCAAGCAATTCGGTTTAATTTGTTGTTTGTTTGTTTAACGCCTGTCTCGGCAATACTCCAGCAATATGACGGCGGGCTGTAAATAATGGAGCCTGGAGGAGACGATATCGATCCTATGATCGATATTATGAGGATCGATCCACGCAATTGGGATAGGATGACAAGTGGACGAGACTGACCACCCGGACGGTGGGGTAGCCTAGTGGTTAAAGCGTTCGCTCGTCACGCCGAGGACCCGGGTTCGAATCCACAAATGTGAAGCCCATTTCAAGCGAGAGTTGTTGTTGGTTTGTTTAACCCCGCACTCGGCAATATTCCAGCTATATGACGGCGGTATGTAAGTAAGTCTGGACCAGACAGTGATTAATATCATGAGCATCGATCCACGCAATTGGGATCGATGACATGCGTCAACCAAGTCGGCGAGCCTGACCACGGAAACGAGAGATAGACGATAATTTTGACGGAATCGGTCGTAACTGTCGTTCGGAATACCCCGTATTAACGTTTTCGAGGTTGCATGATCAGAAATAACGCATTCCGACTGTCACTTTCATGATTCTGGTAAGCGACGCTTTGATTGGTCGGATGAAAGGTCGTTCTGACGTGACCCGTTATGAGATGTCCTCATATCTTTGTTCAGCGATAGCGAGAACTGAGCTCTGATTTTAATGAGATTGATGCTGAGTACAGTATATATTGCAGTAGCTTTGGCATCACGCCCAGCCTTCTTGGGACATTCAGATAGCCATAGTCTAGTGGTAGAGCGTCCGCCCGGGGAGAGAAATGTCGGGGTTCGATCCCGGGCCGCGTCCATCTTCCCGAGGCAAGCGTGTCAACTAGCCATGTCAAAGCCTAGTTTCTGCCCTTGCCACACCAAGGCCACATTTCTTGCCTCCGAGTTGTGCCCCTTGTAATGAAAACACGATATCCAATCAGATAGCTGTTCTTATCTCGTTCAAAGATGGCGACTACCATAGTAGGCGACGACCTAGTCGATCAGATAATGAAAACATTCGCGATGACACAAAAACATACAATCGTTTGGGGATTTAATAGATCAAAAATACATTCGTGTCTACAAGGACAAACAGCGGTAAATGACACGACGGTGTACCAATCGTGGATGTTGATTTTGTGAAACGTTCTGATTGGACTATCGAAATGTCCGATAGTCCAATCGTATTTAGCACAGGAAAGTAGGCTTGATGTGGCAAGGGTGGAACAAGACTTTGATCAAAAGGCTGGTGGACGCTCTTGCCTCGAAGATTGACCGCGTCATACCAAAATACGTTGAAAGATGGTACTTGGTGTTACCCTGTCAGGTGCTCAGCATTAAGGGGCTAAAACCAGGACTGGTCGACTCGGAATCGGTATCCTGTGTCTGAGTGGGATATTCATGTTAAATTGTGGCATGGTATCTCGGTGTGCTAGCACTATAAATCACGCATGCGCACATACATACAACTACATACAACTAAGTGCAATGATCTTGAACGCGGCGTAAACCCCATTTCACCACATCCCACCTTGTGACTTCCCTTTCTACAGTATTGCAGTTCCATTCCACTGTACGCACGTACGTACGTACCCAAGGTCTGTTCACAGAAGGGGGCACAGGTGGTCCAGTCGTCTAAGGCGCCGCGATTCGCTGTGCAGAGTTGCGTCCCTGGGCACGCCAGAAACCTATGATTGTGGGTTCGAATCCCGGTTCGCCCCGATTATGTTTCTAGGTTTGTCAGCACCATACCCGTGCACGTGGGTTTCTCCGAAGTTGTAAACGTCTGAGACCTGTATCACTTCGGGCTTTCCTCCCCCATTAAGCTAACACGCCGTGATATGACTGGAATACTGTTAATAGCGGCGTAAAACCCAACTCACTCACTCACTGTTCACAGAATAAACATGCTTAAAGTTGTGGTTATCCAGACTTGTTGAAAAGGTCGTCTTAAATATTTATTTGTCCTCCAATACGCTTGGTTGTCTAGTGTTTGTTATGTAGAGAATGTGTATTACCCACTTGACTGTATTGTAGCAATGGCACCGACTGCTGCCGCCATCACCGTCCTCCCGCTGTTTCTGTTTCCGGTATGTGACATTCACAATAACGCCTTCTCGGGAGACTGGGTTCCAGGGTAGTGAGTGAGCGCCTGTGGTCTGGTGGATAGTCTGTCTGGAGAGTGTAAGGTCGGATTCCATCCCCGGTCACGTCAAACCAAAAAGACGTTAACAGATGGTACTTGTTGTTATCCTGTTCGGCGCTCGGCATGAGGGGGCTGAAACAAAGACTGATCGGGTCGGAGTCAGTATACTGTGTCTGAGGGGGTATTCATGTTAATCTGCGGCATGGTATCTCGGTGGGCTAGCGCTATAAATCGGCATCAGTCCGGACTAGTACAAGCAGCCACACACACACGTGCATGCACGTCGCTATATAAGTGCAATAATCTTGGTCGCGACGTTAAACCCATTTTCGCCTCGCCTCGCCTCAGAGGTAGATCAGTGTCCTTACGGTTAGATCTATTCAAAAAAAAAAGATTTTAAATTTAGGACGACTCTATTCTTTCATATTTCTTTAGGGGGCACGGGTGGCTCACTCGTCTGAAGTTGAATCCCTTGGGCACGCTAAAAAACTATGATTGTGGGTTCGAATCCCGGTTTCCCCAATAATGTTTCTAGGTTTGTCAGCACCATACCCGTGCTCGTGGGTTTGACCGAAGTGGTAAACGTCTGAGACCTGCATCACCTCGGGCTTTCCTCCCACATCAAGCTACACGCCGTGAACGTAATTCTCTGTTCAAATCCCAAGTTTCTGACACTGCAGCCCTAGCTATACTGTGTATATATAGGAGAAACAAGCGTGCAGTCGACTTGCTATGCTCTTGATGTTTCAGTGTCTTTTGGTGGCTATTCCTCACAAGTTCATATTGAAGGGTGAGTTTAATCGTCATTCTTCATAATCCAGTCGGGGTCAAGTTGTCCCAGTCGTTTAAGGCACCGCAATTTGCTGTGCAGAGTTGCGTCCTTTTGGGTACGCCAGAAACTGATCGTGCTTTCGATTATGTTTCTATGCTCGTGGGTTTTACCAAAATGGGGTCCGGTCGGGTAGCCTGGTGGTTAAAGCGTTCACTTGTCACGCCGAAGACCCGGGTTCGATTCCCGACATGGGTACAAAAGCCCATTTCTGGTGTCCCCGTGCCGTGATACCGCTGGAATATTGCTAAAAGCGGCGTAAAACCATACTCACCAAAGTGGTAAACGACCTGTATCACTTCGGGCTTTCCTCCCACATGAATCAAACACGCCGTGATATTGCTGGAATGCTGTTAAAAGCAGCGTTGAACCCGACTCACTCGCTCATAATCCAGTCAATAAGTACAAACTGCATCGTAGGTCTTTAGGTCCAGGTAGGAATAACAACCCATTCTTGTCGTTAGAGTCGACTAACGGGATCGGGTGGCCATGCTCGCGTGGATCGATGCTCATGACGTCAATTACTTGATTGTCTGGTCCAGACTCTATTATTAAGACTATGATATTGCTGAGTGCGGCGTTTCACAGCAAACAAAACTTGACAGCCTGAACGAGATAATAAACGTCGGTAATCACCTATTTTTGTGATTTAATAAGTCACCTCTCTCTCCACTCGCACATCAATTAATTTCTCAATAATACATGTATATTCATAAACCATTTGCTTACGTTGAGTATTGGGCACTCTCATCCAAACATATATCTTGTCTTGCCAGTGCACCCGGAGTGTGGTCCTAATGTGAAGAGTGTAGCGAAGGTCAAGATCGTCACCGATCTGCACTTGACGGGCTTTGCCAGATGCAAAGATGGCAAGAATTACTATTTCCAAACCTTCAACTACGTGAACCACGAGCTGAATGTCTCGTACACGGGAACTGGCTGCGTGTTCTTTGTAAGTGGCAACACGAAGCCAAACTGTTGTCCATACTGTTGTCCATGTCTATTCCTTTATCAGCGTAACCTCTTGATTTTCAAAGACAAGATCTCGCAAACACTCTCATGTGGTCTGTGGGCCGTTAAACAACAAACAAATCATATAGTCAGGACTCGTGAAGATCAGGGGTTGATGGGTCTTCAGCAACCCATGCTTGCCATAATTTGAAACTATGCTGGTAAGAGGCGACTAACGGTTTCGGGTGGTCAGGCTCGCTGACTTGGTTGATGATGCATGTCATCGTATCCCAATTGTGTGGATCGATGCTCAATATGCCAATCACTGGATTGTCTGTTCCAGACTCGATTATTTACAGACCGCCGTCATAGAGCTGGAATATTGCTGAGTGCGGCGTTAAACAACAAACAAATTGTATGGTGTGTTGTTCGTAACGGTGTCTTCAATCAGTTTTTTTCTTTGAAATAATTCCATTCAGGGCTGCAACTTTCTTTGACCGATTCTGTGTTTTGTCACAATTTATGCCCAGGAGTACAAGTTTTTACTTTTTTTCATATAACAGAAAATGGGCACATCTAGTGTGTTTACCGTCCCCATTTTCATCCAATGGGGGTCGCCCGATAGTCCACTGCAGACAAGTGAGGAACAGTACCAAATCACGTGTACCTTCGACAAGAATGGGGAGAGTAAAAGTGAATTCAAGATCATTACTGAAGCGTGAGTAACTTGTCTTACTCTCTTGCTCATAGCTGGAACATGTTGACGGCGACTTTACACAACCAACATTGCTTGATAATTTGCTCAGCACATGTTGAAAAGGATGGTCATGAGTCGGCTCTGCACGGGAGTCGCGAGATGGGTCTCCAGCTGGCGAAATGAAGATCCGGTGGCCAGAATAAGTCGACTGGCTCAATATTTCACGGGTTTGCTTGCACAACATAGTATTTACTAGACCGCGAAGACGGGGAGGGAGGGTGCTTATAATGGCATCCAATGGTTGGCCTCGGCTGCGCTGTTTTGTATAGCTGGAAATTTGACCTAAACCAATACTTCACCATATGCAGTGTCACGGTCCGATGATCGACGGGTGAGTCCTTGGTCCCAAAGTATTGTCTGCATCCGGGTTTCCCCCGATTTGTGGGGTGGTGGGGTAGCCTAGTGGTTAAAGCGTTCGCTCGTCACGCCGAAGACCCGGGTTGTACCCATTCCCGACATGGGTAAAATGTGTGAAGCCCATTTTTGGTGTCCCCGCGATACTCGCTCCCGATTTGTTAGGGTCTGCCACCTCTACGGTCCTTCCTCCTCAAACATTTCATCAATAAGAAGTCATGTTCAAAGTGTGTTCAGTAATTCAGCAAAACTTGAAAACTTATCTTTATTTTCTGATGTCAAGAATGTATTTAATGCGCACTACAGAGGAATCCGTATTTTATTCGTTAAGATGAGACCGCCGACTTCCAAGGCGAGATCATGTCGTAAAATTAAAGTCTAGTTTCTATTCTTTTACCTGTGTTTTTTTCAGCTTTTTTTTTATCACAGGTGGTATACAGGGTGATTGGAGGAAAGGTGTTGTGAAATGATAAAATGTTCATTTATAATCCGGCGGTCGGGTAGCCTAGTGGTTAAAGCTTTCGCTCGTCACGCCGAAGACCCGGTTTCGATTCCCGACATGGGTACAATGTGTGAAGCCCATTTTTGGTGTCCCCCGCCATGATATTGCTGGAATATTGCTAAAAGCGGCGTAAAACCATACTCACTCACTCATTTATAATCAGTATCTCCTTTCTGAAATTTTGGGTTCGATTCCCGACATGGGTACAATGTGTGAAGCCCATTTCTGGTGTCCCCCGCCATGATATTGCTGGAATATTGCTAAAAGCGGCGTAAAACCATACTCATTTATAATCAGTATCTCCTTTCTGAAATTTTGGCTACCTTCTCAGACTTCTCGCCCCACGGGAGATCCAGACAAATCTTGGGCCATTGGCCAAATCTGGATATACACTGGAAATGACGGACGTACTTGGGAATGAACTCCCGAGCACTGTAGACATCGGGAGGATGGTGAAGATAACGGCAAAGTCAGATGGTAAGGCATTTTTCTATCCCTTGGTTGTAGGAGATTTCCCCCAAAACTGAAGTGATATACAAAACGAGTGGTTGGTCACAACTATTGGGCATGATATTTGACGTTTTCATGAGTTAGTTCCCTTCATTGACATACATGGATTTTATTCAATTCTAAAGTTGGGTATTCGACCAGAATGATATAGATATCAAGACAGTGTTACGTATACACAGCATTAAACAGTTTGTGAAATGTTGAGTCAGCGGACTCAAGTAATTCCGTTCGATCAAATACTGTTTATCTCCCACCAAACGTAATAACGTGCTGTCTTGTATTCTGCTGTATTATTAAACATCGGTGCCACCTCATCTTAAGTGTCATGGCTTGAAAGTTCGCGTCTTCTCGTACAGATTGGTTCGTCAAATCGTTCCTTTTATTCTTACGTTTGAAGTTGTCTTTGTCAAATACTATCCCACGCCCAGGAGGTACGACTTCTACTATTCATGATCAGTACATTTTGCTGTTTGTTTACTCCAAAAATTTAACTGGTACTGCGACTATTGTAATCTTTCAAGTTTCAGTTTTGCAACCTTTTTTCAGAATTGCTGTTGAAAATGTGTTCACAAATGTGTGATGAATATAAATAACATGGTGATGTCCTAATTGGAAAAATGCCACTTTTTGTCCTGTGTAAAAAGTGAATTCAGGAAGCGCAAGACCACCTTGAAAGTGTTCGTCCCATCAACTCTCATGTTCGCTACATATTGTTGAAAATGCAGTAGGAATGTTGCTTAGTGATGAATTTTCATAATGTTGGTATTATAACTAAGTTATTTAAGTGAGATCATTAAAATGGTGAAAGATGATGTGAGTTATAAATATTTAACATTCCCTGTTCAAAAATTAATATTTAATTTGGTAAAACATTAAAACCAGGACGGTTTTAGACCTATGCTATAAACTGGAAGGATTGAGTGCGCAGACTGAGTGATATATTTAATTGGTATTATTTAAACACATTGATTAAAAATCAACTCACAAAATATTCACAAAGGGTATTGATAGTTGTTTTCTTTGGATATTTAATGTATTTTTGGACCCACTGGAGTAATCTGTTTGGTATTTTTCACACCCTAGTGCAGATATTTTTAAAATGTTACCTAAAATGCTGTTTCAGGCGACTTATAATTTATATCTGTTCTGAGTGTTCAGCATGGCGCATGAATTCAGCGATACACATGTCTAGGAGATAACTCCTACTGTTTTGTAAATGGATGTAGTCCCACTAAAGAGTACATACCTCTTATTTTAATTTGTAACCGAGCGCTTTAGTTATAATGGATTATAGGCAGACATTTTAAGGATTGATATATACGCTATCGCTGTATTCATACGCAGTTTTTGTGTGAAAAGGCTTTTTAAAGGTTTCAGTAGGAAATATGCCTCTTTCCAACCAGACATAATGAAGCATTCTTCAATGTCATGGTAGAATATAACAATAGGCGAAACATAGCACCTTTTCTATACGTTATTCACTGAAGTATTGTTCGTGTGTGGTGGCAGTGAATGCTGGTAGGCAAGTTGGGTCGTTTTGCAGTGTTATACTATTGTGGTTTTGAAATTGTTCATGTATATTTGTACGCAAGTAACTCAAAATTCGGAAATGGAGGTATTGTTTGCTTATTTTACGCTAACCGGAGGTCTGACGAGTTTGTGAATAAGAGGGTAAGTTGTGACCTTTCCATTGCTTCATAATGTAATAACCTCGCCATAACTATTGGTGATGGTCATTTGTCTGCCACAGGGCGGGATGGGGAGTCTGGACTCAGAGCGCTGTCATGCGATGTCGTTGGGGTCAAGACTACGAAGAGATACGCCATTTTAAAAGCTGGGTAAGCTATGGAAGTAGAAGTTGAACTCGACAACCTTCAAGAGAAAATTAACAAAAGTAAATTCTGAAATGGGATGAAAATATTAAACACAATTCATTTAGCCTGTCAGTTTTAGTCTCCGGAGCGCAAAGCTGTTTGGAAGACTTTGCAGACGATTGACATATAAAGCTGAAGATGTATGCTTTAACTTTAAAAATTAGTTTAGACTTCAACAATATAGATTCATTGGCTTTTGTCGCAGTATTCCAGCTATATGACGGTGGTCTATAAATAATGGAGTCTGGATCAGACAATCCAGTGACTGACATCCTGAACATCGATCCACGCAATTGATATATGATGATATGCATAAACCAAGTCGGTCAGCCTGACCTACCTATCCCGTTAGTCGCCTCTTATGACAAACATGGGCTGCCGAAGACCTATTCTACCCCGGATCTTCACGGGGGACAAGCATAGGTAGCGGAAGACATATTCTAACCCGGGTCTTCACGGCTTGATTCATTGGTAGAGTACGATCCAGGTCCAATGCGTGTTTCACAACTGCATTGAAAGAACACTCGTTTGGTTACATTTTATTTATACGTTAGTATGATCGGTTGATCCCGTGAAATAAAATCCCCACCCATCAATTGTGTTGAAAACGAGGCGCCGAATCCATAACACAGCCATTTTGTTTTTACCTTGTGGGTACAGTCGAACCAGTTTCTAGACAGGCCGTTCCCTATTTGTCAACAAATCTCAGAACACAACACAACTCCACAACAACCTCACGGACATGCATCGTAACTGATCATGGTATATCTGAATATACCATATACAGTAAACTACGGTTATATCGAACTTAAAGGGACCACTAATTTCAGTTCTTTGTAACCCTATTTCGTTATTAACATATATACAGCATATAAATACAGCAAATGGCTGGGACAAAACAGTGCGTTATATCCGCCAGTTCGTTATAAGCATGTTCGTTATAAACGTAGTTTACTGTACACTTATCAATGGCCATGCTTTACGGTATGGAGGCCATTTTCAGAATTGAATCAAACTGAGACATCGTCTGTCATTCGAGTATTAATCAAATGCCAGATCAGTATTGAATTGCTTAATACAAATATAACAAATGTTATACAGATTCTCTTACTTTTTTTGGATGGAGTCCCTTCCATACGATAATCTGTACTTTACTAAGAAAGTGTTATCACAAATATAACATTTGTTACATTTGACTACTTTCTAAATGGCATTGTTTTCATAATACAAATAGTTTAGAAAGCGTAGGTTTTTAAATAACGCCTATCAAACTGTTTGAGCGTGCTTGTTCACCCATTAAAGGGTGCATGTGTACTGTCGGGTTGTGGGTTGCAGTTGCGGTGACGGCATAATCTTCGACCAGAAGGCAGGGTTCACGACGAAGGGTCTGACATCGGTCAGCCCATTCTTTGCCTCCTTCAACCTCTTTAAGGACGAAGAACTGTTCTTTGACTGCAACTTCACGCTCTGCAAGAAGGCTTGTGATGGGGTACCGACAAAATATATCTTTTGAAAAATTACATGTCATCCCAGGAGTTCTGTTTCATTTTCACGCTGATGAAGATGACAACTTCATCTTTCACGTTGAGGGGCGGTCGAGTAGCCTAGTGGTTAAAGCGTTCGCTCGTCACACCGAAGACCCGGGTTCGATTCCCGACATGGGTACAATATTGAAGCCCATTTGTGGTATCCCCGCCGTGTGATGCTGGAATATTGCTAAAAGCGGCGTAAAACCCGCTCTTTCACGTTGATAAACATTACGCATTATTGCGTCCTTTGTAGTTTGCACAGTATATGAACTATTGTTTTGAGGAAGGTAAAAGTATAAAGAATTTGTCTATTTGAAATAGCCTTTATTCTTTTCATGACATCAGAGTTCCTGTGCTACCGTTCGCCGGAAGAGATCCATGGATAATGATCTGTCTGGTAGGTATTTCACCTATTGTCAGTAATCCTTCAGGTTACAGGCCCTATTGGGCCTGAATAGGAATATGAATAGGCCCAAACACCCGTGTATTGCAAGGGAGAGCTTAACAGAGATAGTGATGTCAGTGTGACCATTACATTGTTTTTTCTATCTATTGTCACCGTATCCCACCGAGAAGTTGACGGTTGCAGGGGTGGCCAAACCAACCACCCCCATAAATGTTTTTTTGTAAAAAAACCTAAACATTTAGCATTTCATTTTGTGAGTGAGTGAGTTGGATTTGACGCCGCTTTTAACAGTATTCCAGTCATATCACGGCGTGTCAGCTTAATGTGGGAGGAAAGCCTGAAGTGATGCAGGTCTCGGACGTTTACCACTTCAGTGAAACCCACGAGCACGGGTATGGTGCTGACAAACCTAGAAACATAATCGGGGCGAACCGGGATTCGAACCAACAATCATAGGTTTCGCAACTGTGCACAGCGAACCGCGGCGCCATGGACGACTGGGCCACCCGTGCCCCCTTTCATTTTAATAGTAAGTTTTAATCTATTACTACAGTAACTTTCTCATTTGGACATGTTTTCAATTATTTAACAGACGACCAATGATATTTTTTGCGGGGGCCGGGATTGACGTGAAGTCTTATTTCTAAAAAAATGTTCATTTGGTGTTTATTTTTTAAAAAGTGGATCCCAAAAGAATTGTTTTGAGGTTTGCTTTTTTAGAAATGTTGTCTTGAATGAAAAAGACCTGCAAAAAATGGTAAAAAAAACAAGTATTCATTTCATCAGATAACATTTTTTCAATAACATGGTTATTCTGTGGACAGTCTTATTACTGGAAAAAACTTAGTATTGTACATAGTCTCGCATGGTCTTCCCATAACTTCATGCTTATATTTTCATCCAAGTCTGCGAAGCTCTTGACACATTCACTGGGCCATTTGCTAGCTCATCCATATTGGGATTTTAGGGCAACTGTCAAACAAAATGCCCCTATGTATGATGGAGCCGCAGACATGGGTTTTTGGTTTTGCTGTGACCTTGCTGGTTGTACCTCACAAACAAGGTTGGACTGGTCCTCGCTCACATATTTGAAAATTGCAAGAACAGGGCATGAATTGAGAGCTGAAAGCCAGGCCAGGTTTGTGCAACAGTCCCTTCTGGAAAGATCCGATTGCAAGAACTGCTGCTATACCCTTTCCAGTGTCGCCCGTATGGGGATTCAGAACAGGTCCCGAGCACACAATGATTGTCACAGTACTGAGCATACGAGCATCTTGTAACTTGAGCGAGTTAAACCTCAACATCGCATCGGCATTATTTCAGCCATAAAGCGACGTTTGGATTTTGGAGTTGGACCTGTCGGAATCGTACTTGGTGTAAACTGTTGCTCAAGTTATCAACCACTGCCTGTCTACGGTCATTTACATGCATATGTGACAGTAATAATAACATTCACTCACTCACCCACCCAATGTTGTGTGGCACGATAGCTCAGTTTGAAGAGCCGTGTTGACTACATATACTCTTGATGTAAAATTCTTTTTCCAGGAGAACGTGTCGAAAACATTGCCTCTAACGCTGTCAACGTGGAAATGGATGACTCGGTAGTTAAGCTCACGGAGATTCCTGGTCCTGCCGAGCGCCCCTCTCCTACGGGTGATCTTTATTGGAGGGTTCTAGCGACCATGCACTGGGAGTATGCGATGCTGTCCCTATCCTTGACAATCACATTTCTGGTCGTTATATTGGTCGTCAGGTCTGTTTCCACCAGACCCATTGCAAAGGAACCAGACATTAAACCCACTTAACACTTGCAAAGAAATGCCTATTAAATCGACCTCGAATTGATTGTGTTTTGTTTTCTTAAAAAATGGAAAATTGGAAAGAATTGGGGTGGAATTGTTTGACGCGGTTGTCGGCAATATTTGACCTGAATGACTAAGGTCTGTAAATATTCGAGTCTTGACCAAACTATCCAGTGATTGACATGAGCATCAATCAACGCAAATGGGATCCGATGACATGCATCAACCCAGTCACCGAGCCTGGATACCCGGTACCGTTAGTCGCCTCTTACGATGAGCATTGGTTTCTGAAGACCAGGGGCGGTCGGGTGGCATGGTGGTTAAAGCGTTCGCTCGTCACGCGGAAGACCCGGGTTCGATTCCTGACATGGGTGCAATGTGTGAAGCCCATTTCTGGTGACCCCCGCCGTGATATTGCTGGAATATTGCTTAAAGCGGCGTAAAACCCCACTGACTCACTCACTCTGAAGACCAATTCTATACCCGGATCTTCACGGTGTGAAAAAGGAAACTTTGATGAGAAAAAACAACTCAAATCGTATGCTCACTTGGAAGAGTATTGTTTTCCAAATCGGCACTGACGATGGTTTGGGACTGCTTTAGTCTGGTTTCACGTGCTTGCTAATCAGGCCAAAGTCCTGGTTTGGTTTCACAGGTGGTGAGGCACCACTCATTCGCCGTCCCGATGTGTCCCTTGGCTGCCAGGATGTGCCGATTCTAATTCCATATTCGATAGTTTTTTGGTGCTCTGATGCTTCACTTAATGGTTGTAAATGTTGCATCACTTTGAGCATTTCCGACACATGTTCCGATTGTAAATGAAAAGGAGACGCTCTCCCTTTGTTAAACAACTACATACATCATAAAATTACTGCGTTCGAAGTAACATGAAGTGAACAAGGGGATAATTCTACGTATTTATATACAACTTTATTGCAATGAATGCAACGTTGATACTATTGGGCTCAACCATGATATTGGGCTTATTGATGGATGTGTGCTAGGTTTCGGGACGAAAAAAAAACCCTGGTGGTTTTCAAAAAGAAATTATGGGAGGTGATGTGTTCCTAGACTGGTTGGAACTTCCGCTATTGCCCATTTTAAACAACGCCGGTGTTATTGTCATGGGTAACGCCAGTTAGTATCTGATTCCCGGACGTTATATTGTCTCCCAAACCATGGGTAGTCTGAAGGCGACCATACAGGAATATGATATTGTCGACTTCAGACCATATGAAACGAAAGTTCAATTCATGGAGAAAATTCGGCTGAATAAGAAACCAGTAAAGTACAAGACGTGCTGGTGGCACAACACGGTTACGTTATCTTACGTACGCCAGTCAGACCATTTCATACATGCATGACAACGCACGAATATTTTCTCAGTTGATCATTTTACCCGTAAAAGTACATTTTAAGGGTAATCACATTGTCAGGACAGGCTAGATTAGGTCAATTCGCGTTATTTTGATATATGCTCTTTTTAGTCCTATAGTCCTAAGAATCGTATTTATTAAATTAAGCTAGAAAATCAGTTTTCTAGCATTTCCGACAGTACCTTAGAATTTTGTGCTTTAAAAAGAAAGTTCTCCCAAATGACATTTCTTACATTGTGATATAACTGAAATACTGATCAAAGTGACGTCAAACCAAAATCGCTCATTGGTCCAGCAGTCGGAGAACTTCTCCCTACGTTCCAATCTTGATGCTGCAGGAGGTGATCAGTGAGAATGTCGACCATTCTGCAAATTGTGGCAAACTTGCACAGCTACATGACTGATTTAAGCATTGATTTTCACTTGTTTGGATATGAATCTAAATAGTGAAGGCCAAACATACCAACGTCGGAGCTTACGACAACTAATTGTATACTGGAGGTGACATGAGCATAAACTGTATGCTCGAATTGGTCCACATTCAACAATTTAAATTTGATTACAAAAGATATTTTCAAAATGTATGAATAGATGAAAAAGTCACAACCCCGGTAAGTCAGTGGGGGATTACAATTGGTCATCATTGATCAATTGGTTGATCATTGAAGGGTGATTATAAAGATTTGCCAATTATATACTTGGGTATAATTCATAGATTACTGTCCGGCGTCTGTGTAGGCACAGACAAGTCAATACTTTGGGTGTTAATTTCTTCGTTTTGTTCACTAGGATGGGATGGAAAACATTTATTCTCAGCCACAGCTACAAAACCAGATATTCTTTTAATCAAAACTACGATCCTGAATATTCTAATAACACCTTGCAAGTTTATTCTTTTTCAACAGTCTGAAGCATAATTATTTTTTTCAAGAATTTTGGGGGACAATTATCATTTTTCAATAAAATGCCATTGTGTTCTGTGTTTCTTGGCTGAAATGATGGCATGATGCACAAGATATTTAAGACACAGGAGAAAACTTAAAGCATCCAATCAACTCGTTGAGGCTCTCCATTGTTCAGTGTAAATATTTTATTATAAGTTAACATGCATAATGTCATTTTCAAAGACGCTTGGCAAATTGTATCCTTTTGCAGAGCAATTCCATTTTGCCCAGTGAAGTGAATCTGCAACATTTTTAAGACACAGCTCAGTCATCTTGTGCAGTTTGGAATGTGATACAGCTGCAAATCTATAAATGCCTTGTGGATTGTTCCACCAATGGCGACAATGGAGATATGTGTCTATGGTTTTGATGCTTGATGCACCATCACTTAGGGCCTTTCCCTGATCCTGCAAGAGACGACGCTTGTGACGGCCTGTTGATTAGTGATCCTTGAGATCTGGAACAAAAAATATATATATGTAGTTTTCCTACGAGTCATGCTTATTAGTTGGACTTTTTCGGGAATTTGCCTGCTGCCTGTGATTTTTCTATTTTAAGCAAGTACACAATGATTGACATTGGAGATCTTCCAAATGGCCCCGGGGAATTCTTTTGCCACAAAAAATGAAAATGTCAAAAGGCCAAGGTGACTTGGCATTAATTTATATGGTTTGAAAAGGTTTAGGTCAAAATAAGACAAGGCGTTTGTGTTTAACTTTTTGTTAAACGTGGTTGTATCCTTGTCAGCTTGAGGCATGGTTACTCTTTGTGCTTGTACATTAGCATGTATCTTCACAAATCCTACCACGTGAAATGTTGCTGCTGTCTATCAAAGGTCAAGGTCTTCTGAGGTTATTATGAATCATGGCTTCACACCGAGATGTGGCACATAGCTAGAACCATACCTTGCTGACAATCTGCATAGGTCTTCAGCAACCCATTCTTGCCATAAAAGGCGACTATGCTTGTCGTAAGAGGCGACTAACGAGAACGGGTGGTCAGGCTCGCTGACTTCGTCGATACATGTCATCGTATCCCAATTGCGTGGATCGATGCTCATGATGTCAATCACTGGATTGTCTGGTTCAGACTCGATTATTTACAGACTGACGTCATATAGCTGGAATATTGCTGTGTGCAGTGTTAAACCACAAACAAGACAGCCTGCACCCTTGATGTGAGCTGTGACACACTACTAGAACCATACCTTGCTGATGACACTGGTGGTTTTTTCTTGCCGCCCTGCTGGGCCTGACCTACATTCTGAGCCCCTCCAGCTTGTTTTCTGGAAAATAATATACATCAATACCAGTGCTGTTGATTCTCTCAGTCCTTGGCTTATCATGGCAGACCCTTGGGTTTGACTAAAGGGGAAATGTTGAACTGTTTCAGTTCTGATTTTCCTCCAACATTATGCAAACACACCTTGATATGTCAAACAGTTAAACCCATCTTTACCCTCTCCCTCTAGTCAAACCCATGACATCCTTTGTCTTGGTGGGTAACAATACAAGATTGATTATGAAATGATTGTAATCAAATCTATTACTAGTTTCAGAAAACACATATTTTTTTAAGAAACTCTTATATGTAAAATAAACTGTTCTGTGGGCCATACAGCTTCAAGTAATGACTAAAGCTTTAGTATCAGGATCTGATACAAGAGCAACAGTGGAGGGACAGACTGCTACAGACTTACTTCCTGTCCGCCCTGGACTTGAATACTTTGGTGACGTCCAGCGTACTGACCACGACACTTGTGCCTGTGGGCGTCTTCTCTGGATGCATCTCTGTTATTTCCCCGTCCACCTCCAGCCTGATGGGAGCGTACATGTTGAACCATTGCTGGGGACAGTTGACACAGATTCAGTATCCAGGTCATTTGGTTGTAAATGATTGTTTTCATACTTTTTCAAAAAGGAAATCAATCAGAGCTTATCATGCTGTTACTGATTCCATTAATATTACGACATTGTCAACCTTATCACCTCAAACCATACTCAACAACAAAAGTTCCTGTGATACCTATATTTAAGTGTATTTTTCAAACAAGTAAAGTTTGGTTTTTAATATTGTAGTACATGTATGGAATCAAGTCACAAAAACGCAACTGCTACAGAAAAGCATGCATTCCATGCAAAAGTTGACTTTTATGCAAGCCCCATGCATTTCACTACCCAAGAATGGGTATAAACACATGTGCGTTAACGGGATTCCATATGCATTGTTTAGCATCGTGCTGATAACAACCACAACAAAACTACGCAATTATTCAACATTACGAAATGTCACGCCTGTCTGAAAATGAGCGTCTGCAGGCCATTGGTATGCTTGAAGGAGGATCGAGTCAACAAGATGTTGCAAGACAATTTAACGTCCACAGAAACACCATTTGGTGTTTATAGCAACGTTGGCAACAGACGAATGCAGTCAGAGACCATCCTCGGAGTGGCAGGTCACGCGTAACCAATAATCGACAAGACGACTGGATTCGAACAACACACCTACGAAATCAATTCCAGCCAGCAACAGTGACTGCAAGAAGCACCCCTGGCCTTCGACGAATATCTTCACAAACTGTATGTCACCGCCTCAGATGTGCAGGGATTGTCGCCAGAAGACCCGCCAGACGTCCCATTTTGACAGGAAACCACCGTCAAGCACGTCTACAGTGGTGCAGACAGCGTCTACGCGTCACTGGCGAGTCTCGTTTTCACCTCAGCCACAGCGATGACGGATTCGAGTGTACCGACGTCGAGGTGAACGTTACGTCAAACACTGTCATGGAAGAAGATCGGTTCAGGGGCAGCAGCATTATGGTATGGGGTGGGATTACAGCAAGACAGACGACGGGTTTGATAGAAGAAGAGGGAAATCTCAATGGACAGCGCTACCACGACGAGATCATTGGCCCTGTTGTTCTACCGTTTTTGCGTCATGGCCCAGGCATTACCTTTCAACATGACAACCCCCGGCCTCATATTGCTCGACTTGTTCAGGATTCTCTTCAACAAAACAACATGAATGTCATCCCCTGGCCGGCTCGCTCCCCTGATCTCTCACTGATCGAGCACATGTGGGATGAGATGGATCGGCGCCTTCGACGTCAACCACGTGTTCCACAGACACTCCAGGAACTTTGAAACATGCTCCAGCAGATATGGACAGATATCCCACAGGACTTTGTGTGACGCCTGGTCCATTCCATGAGACGAAGATGTGTTGCTTGCATCGCAACCAGAGGTGGACACACACGCTATTGATTTGTAAATTGACATTTTGGCATGTTTATGGTTTTTATGAAATCACACATTTTCTGAAGTCAGTATGGCAAATTAAACCATTTGAACACTTACAGGAGTCTTTTATCTGTTGCAAACCGAAATTGTTTCAGATTTGGTAAAAACTTTGCATTAAATCTTATTCAATGACACAGGAACTTTTGTTGTTCAGTATAGTTGGGTTATTTTTTTTAGTTACTTCACTAAAATGTACAATATCCCGAAATATGTCAATTTTCTGACCACTCATCAAATGTTTGTCTGCGTGTCGAACAAAATGTTTTGTTGCTCTGAAAAACCCAAATATGCCAGTAAATAATGTTAAAGTGAAACTATCCAGTTGTTTATGACCTTTCCCAAACGTTTTCCCCCTATACATGTGTCCTATGTTTACAAATGATCCTTTTCTAATTCTCTCCATCCCACCCACTCCATTAATAATCTAGGGGCACGGGTGGCCCAGTCGTCTAAGGCGCCGCAATTCGCTGTGCAGAGTTGCGTCCCTTGGGCACGCCAGAAACCTATGATTGTGGGTTCGAATCCCGGTTCGCCCCGATTATGTTTCTAGGCTTGGGTTAATGAAAGGCCTTGGACCCGTGCAGTAACCTAAGGATCTGGAGCTTGATGGCCATACATGCGCATGTATGTGTATGGGTCTCTGGTTAAATGCCACACTCTGCAATGTTCCATCTATATGACACTGGCCGATCAATAAGTGAGTCTCAAACTCATTCAAATCAGATCTATTGCTCCGATGCAATATCTATAACATCTGTGGATATCTCCATAGAAGGTCGCTTATAAATTGGTGAACCTGAGCAATCTGACCGGCTAAGTTCAATGAAGGATACATTGCATCTTCCCGAGACAAAGGTGTTAACTGACTGTAAAAGTCCAGTTTCCACCGACCCGTGAAGATTCCAGGGTAGAATAGGTCTTCAGCATCCCATGCTTGTTGTAAAAGGCGACTAATGGGATCGGGTGGTCAGGCTCGCTGATTTGGTTGATACATGTCATCGATCCCTATTGTGTGGATTGATGCTCATGATATCAATCACTGGATTGTCTAGTCCAGACTCAATTATTTACAGACCGCCGTCATATAGCTTGAATATTGCTGGGAGTGGCTTTAAACAACAAACAAACCATATCCAATAGAAACCTCTACATAAAGTGCAGAGTGGATTGTATGATTCCGACTATATCTGAGCACGTGTTTATGAATCACTATCATCGTATCCCAATTGTGTGCATTGATGCTCATGATGTCAATCACTAGATTGTCTGGTCCAGACTCGATTATTTACAGACCATTCTATAGAAGTGTCCTTAAATCTTCATGCAGAGAGGCATTGTATGGGAGTAAAAGATCTAATCTTGATGAGATTGACTGAGTGGAGCATACACAGAGCTACATGAGGAATGACAGCGTCCCACACAGCCTACCCGCGCCTGTGCACTGAGGCCGATGTCTGTGAAGGCATACTGCCACTGCGGCAGCCCCAGGTGCATCAGCATGAGGCGGTAGTACTCGAGGAATGATGCTGCCAGGAAGTGCCACCGCAGTGCCCGGTCCAGGAACCAGATCTCCACAGTGGGCTCGCTCACTCCTACAAACATGGATGTAAATAATAAGAGAAGTCACATATGTAATACATTACTTGGCATCAATACTTGTCAAATATTGATGTAGTTATTTTCATTTGTGAAAAGCAAGGTCATGGTAAGTTTCCTGAAGTTATTTTCGGTCCAGGTGCGTCTAGGCATGTCCAGGTGTGTCTAGGCATGTCCAGGTGTGTCAAGGCATGTCCAGGTGTGTCTAGGCATGTCCAGGTGTGTCCAGACATGACCAGGTGTGTCAAGGCATGTCCAGGTGCGTCTTGGCATGTCTAAGTGTGTCTAGCCTTGTCCAGGTGTGTCTAGCCATGTCCAGGTGTGTCAAGGCATGTCCAGGTGTGTCTAGGCATGTCCAGATGTGTCCAGACATGACCAGGTGTGTCAAGGAATGTCCTGGTGTGTCTAGCCATGTCCAGGTGTTGTGTCAAGCAATGTCCAGGTGTGTCAAGGAATGTCCAGGTGTGTCCAGGTGTCTAGGAGTGTCCAGGTATGGCTAGGAGTGTCCAGGTGTGTCCAGGTGTCTAGGAGTGTCCAGGTATGGCTAGGAGTGTCCAGGTGTGTCTAGGAGTGTCCAGGTGTGTCCAGGTGTCTAGGAGTGTCCAGGTATGGCTAGCAATGTCCAGGTATGGCTAGCAATGTCCAGGTGTGTATAGGCATGTCCAGGTGTGTCTAGCCATGTCCAGGTGTGTCTAGCAATGTCCAGGTGTTGTGTCTAGCCTTGTCCAGGTGTGTTTAGGCATGTCCAGGTGTGTCTAGCCTTGTCCAGGTGTGTCTAGCCTTGTCTAGGTGTGTCTAGGCATATTCAGGTGTTGTGTCTAGCTGTGTCCAGTGTCCTGTGCTTGGGACATGGTGGTTCCTCTATACCTTGCTTGTAAAACTGCAAGTCGGTGTATGAGGTGTGCATCATTCAACTGGCCAATTATGTTATGGAATCATATACAATCATACCCTGAAAGAGGCCATCACTTACACTGAAACTTCACTGTCAAAACCAGACAATCCAGTGATTGACATCATGAGCATCGATCCACACAATTTGGATACGATGACACACATCAACCAAGTCAGTGATCCAGACCACTCCATCCCGTTAGTCGCCTCTTAAGACAAGCTAGGCAATGATGCTCATGAAGTCAATCAATCACTGGATTGTCTGCTCCAGACTTGATTATTTCCTGAGTAAGGCTTTAAACAACAAACAAACAAATCGTATGGTCTGTTGTTCGTAACAGTGTCTTCAGACAGACAGTTTTTTCTCTGAAATAATTGCATTCAGGGCTGCAACTTTTTTTTACCGATTCTGTGTTTTGTCACAATAATTTATTTACACATTGGGACAAAACCATCTCAGGGCTTCAATGTACCCATATAACCATTATCAATAGCCAAGGGCTACTACTATTCTACTACTAGGACCAATTTAACTTATATTAAGTAACAAACAAGCTTTAAACTATTCACAATCTAATATGGTAACAAAACTATGTATTATGAAATATACAGAAGTGGGAGGCTGTTCTGACCTTCAACTATCATAAGCCTGTTAAATCATGGGAATTACGATCATCTTAGCGCTAAGAACATAAGAATGAACCTACAGTACTACAGATTCATTCTGATCACCTTGCCATAAATAACAAAGAACTTCTTGGCAGCATGGAGAGAATATTACAGGTGCAATAAGCTAATGCTGATAATAGACAGGAAGCAGGCCATAAACATAGGTATATATTAAATACATAAAGCATGGAAATGCCTAGCTGGTCTAACAATATTATGTACTACACCAGTGTTCGAAATACCTGCCTGCCCGACCGTCCGAGACGGGTTGATTTCAACTCGGGCTGCCAGATTTTCAAATCCCCCTGCCCGACGGTCGGTTATATTTCATATGTGACAATATTCTAAATATTTCCCGATGATAATCATTAATTCACATGTAAAGATGAATGATAAAATGTAACCAAAAAGAAATCCCGTTAGCTTATCCTGAGAAACATATGATGATAGTGGGCAGGCAGGTTTTGGTCAGGGCTGGCAAGTATTTCAGCTAGCCAGTCCTGTGGTCTGGCTGAAATTTTTGGGAGTTTCATACCCTGACTACACAGGAATAAGCTTTTCCAAAACTGCTAAAATGGATTACAGATAGGAGAGAGTTAAATACATATAACTCACATTGCGTCATCAAAGTTTCAGCTGTATCATCATGGTTATTAGAGTGAGTGAGTGTGGTTTTATGCCGCTTTTAGCAATATTCCAGCAATAACACGGCGGGGGACACCAGAAATGGGCTTCACACATTGTACCCATGTTGGGAATGGAACCCTGATCCTCGGCGTGACGAGCGAACACTTTAACCACTAGGCTACCCGACCGCCCCCATGGTCATTAGAGGCTTGTATTACAAAAGGTGATGCGTATAATTATTGGTATTTGTTCAAAATCAAATTTACTTTTTTATAAGCAACACAAAGGCATTATGTGAAATTACCTAGAAACTGAAGATCAGTGGAACTATATTCTAATGTATCACTAATTAAGGAACCACAGACACATCTGAAGCAAAATACAGTAAGTCACCAGTTTGTTATAGTAGAAATAACAATATGTCCTCTATATCTACTTCCATGCTTGCAATGGTTTAAAATCAGGCATATGGATGAACATAGAAAAGTAAGTAGTTTTACAATATGGCCAAACAAAATAAAACTGAGAAATGTTAACTCATCACTTGTACTTGAACATGACATGGAGATAAGTAGGGAAAAGAATTTATGGATGAACAACTTCTTTATTACACAAAAAATGAAATGGAGATGCCAAAACAAAGGAAAAAATACAGTTAGTACAAAATACCACTTGATCACTGAAAGAGACCATGGCGAGTGCAGGGTGTCATATATCTAAAATACATACTCTCTTTATTTCTCTTCAGTAAACAAGCTGAACCCTGCTTTCAGGAGTGTTACAATTATCATCTAGAGTTGACATGCATGCATTCTTAATAGATTTGAGCTAAATTCAAGAAAATTAACCAGTAACTGAATTAAAGTTACATGGAAAAATAGTTAAAAGCTAAATTTCAAAAGTTATAGAAAAATGAACCATGTAAAATGATTTTTGTATGACATCTTTTAAAGAAATATTATTTTTGTAGTTTTGCTGCAGAAACAAGCTCACTACAGATGATGAGGTGGACTGAGATGCTGGTCATGGTATTCTTTCTTTTTTCTTTTCTTAGGGTTTAACGCCGCTTTTAACATTATTCCAGTTATATCACGGCGTGTCAGCTTTAAATGTGGGAGGAAAGCCCGAAGTGATGCAGGTCTCAGACGTTTACCTCTTCGGTGTAACCCACGAGCACGGGTATGGTGCTGACAAATCTAGAAACATAATCGGGGCAAACCGTGATTCGAACCCACAATCATAGGTTTCTGGCGTGCCCAAGGGACGCAACTCTGCACAGCGAATCACGGCACCTTAGATGACTGGGCCACCCGTACCCCCTGGTCATTGTATTCACAGCCTGCACTAAGTGGCAGTGGGATCAGAAATATCCTCACAGCAAACTGTGACAGAATACCTCAGGTTTTAGAGGACCATTTGCTCAATGTGAATGTTTAGGGACCAGTCATTTATTATAGGAGGTGCGTCAGATGGAATCAGAGGGTCACCCAAAAAAAGGACAGTCTCTGGGGTAGGGTCATAAAAAATAATACACATATTTGAGGAGGATCATAAAACAAGAGGCCCACAGGGTCTGTATCGCTCAACTGGATATTTACATAATCATGACAAAATATACATTTATATTGTACATATTTGCAAATATTTTGCAATTTTGACTCGGTCAGCATTTAAAAGGGGTGGATGGCAAAAGCCCCTCCATTTGTACAATTGTGAATTCCCATCAACTTAGAATACTTCCAACCAAATATGGTTGGTGTCCATCTCCTAGCTCCAGAGAAAAAGTCGTTTAAAGCAATATAGCCAAATTACCCCTATTTGGCCCCGCCCCTTAGCCCCTTTGAGGGACTGCGCCACCATTTTTACAATTTTGAATCCTCACCACCTGAGAAGGCTTACAACCAAATATGGTTGATATCTATCTCTTAGTTGAGAGAAGAAGTCGTTTAAGGCAATATAGCCAAATTACCCCTATTTGGCCCCACCCCTCAGCCCCTTGGGGGGTCAGCCCCACCATTTGTACAATTTTTAATCCTTAGTCCTTCAGACTTGGTGAGGGGGCACGGGTGGCCCAGTCGTCTAAGGCGCCGCGATTCGCTGTGCAGAGTTGCGTCCCTTGGGCACGCCAGAAACCTATGATTGTGGGTTCGAATCCCGGTTCGCCCAAATTATGTTTCTAGGTTTGTCAGCACCATACCGGTGCTCGTGGGTTTCACCGAAGTGGTAAACGTCTGAGACCTGCATCACTTCGGGCTTTCCTCCCTCGTGAAGCTGACACGCCGTGATATAACTGGAATACTGTTAAGGGCAGCGTTAAACCCAACTCACTCACTCAGACTTGGTGAGCTAAAAATGAACAAGGACATGGGGAGAATCATCCAAAACTATGACAAGCAGGAAGGGTTATTATTGTTTTCAGTATCTTCATGTATCAAAAATAGTTAGATAGTAAAAAATGACTGGTCCCTAAGTATCACAAAGATTGAAGCAGTGAGGGAATAAGAGCATTTTGATTGACACTAGCAATACTACAGTGACATCACACTGGCAAGGCCAGAAAAACAGGTAAGATATGACACACAGACAGACATCTTCATCACACTGTAGTCAGCTCTTACAACAAACACATTTTGTAAAATTTCTAATGTACGTGTTCTCAAAAAAAGAAAGTATCAATTAGGTTACTCTTAGATAAAAAATATATATAATGTAAATGTATTTTGTACAATGGGTCAACTGGCATTTATATAAGTAAATCTGTCTGTCTGTCTGTCTGTCTGTCTGTCTGTCTGTCTTACAACAAACGCGGACCGCCTCCAGGGTCTAATGGTAGAGCGTCCGCCCGGAGAGCGGAAGGTCCGGAGTTCGTTCCCCGGCCGCGTCATACCAAAAGACGTTAAAAGATGGTACTTGTTGTTACCCTGTCTGGCGCTCGGCATTAAGGGGATAAAACAAGGACTGGTCGGCTCGGAGTCAGTATACTGTGTCTGAGTGGGGTATTCATGTTAAACTGCGGCATGGTATCTCAGTGTGCTAGCACTATAAATCGGCATAAGTCCGAACTAGTACAAGCAGCCACACACACACACACACACACAGGTGCATGCACGTCGCTATATAAGTGCAATAATCTTGGACGCGACGCTAAACCCCATTTCACCTCACCTACAACAAACGCAGGGAGGGGAGGGCCTATTGTACTCTGCAATCCATGGGATATATTCAACCTTTAAGAATAGATATCGGGTATGATCCAGAAACAAAATGTGACAGACAGACTAAATGAAGCATATCATTGTACATTTCCAGACAATTTTGCAGCAGGGAATCTCTAAGGTGTTGAACAGGCACTACCCTGTATCTCCAAACAGAATATCCCTTCCGGGTCTCTGTCGCCTACCAAAGAAGTATTGAACATGTTTTGTTCACTGCACAGGGGTAGATGTAATATGAAATAATCTACTGGCCAACAGGGCTTGCTAATGTTGAAAAGAACTGGTCCTCCAAAAAACTAACAAGGCCATTTTTAACATTTTTAATATATCTTAGCATATCTATGGACAACTACAGACAAGTATGTGTCAGTCAACAGGGATTTATCAAGGAGTTCCTAGTGGTATTCACAAAGTCCTTATAATATTTAATTACATAGGTCATTAATAGGGGTGACTATTAAAGGCATATTTAAAAACTATTGTGGTACTATGGAGACAACTACTGCAATAGTAAGCGTAGATTTCCCTGCATTATTCTACATAACAGCATCATTTGACTTGACGACAAACCCCAACACATCTGGGTGACCTCCCATGTCCACGATTCAGCAACAGGTTGCTTGGGTGATGGGAGTTATCAATGACTGACATACATCTATGAACTTTATCTGAACAGATACCATGTCCTCGTCAAGTTCATATTTGGAAATAAACTTTTCTTCATTTTATTATGTATATCGATGCTATCAGTAGTGTACCGCAGTGTCTGAAATAACTGCCTGCCAGCAAGCCCGTGGCTGGTAACTTTTCTGTCGGGCTTCATGGAATTTTCCTCTGAATGCCCAACTGTCAGACAGATAATTTTAAGCCAACTATCATATTCAGTTTTACTATAACTCCTGGTAGATTCTCTATCAGTCAACTGAATCAAGACACAATTTGTCACTAATTTTACGTGATTTTTAAATATTTATAATGTCTGAGTGAGTGAGTGAGTATGGTTTTACGCCGCTTTTAGCAATATTCCAGCAATATCACGGAGGGGGACACCAGAAATGGGCTTCACACATTGTAACCATGTCGGGAATCGAACCCGGGTCTTCGGCGTGACGAGCGAACGCTTTAACCACTAGGCTACTCGACCGCCCCTTATAATGTCTGAAGATGAGTAGGCAACATTTATGGGTCACCTGCCCAACTGTCTTGTTTGGTTTTAAAATTATTTCAACACTGGTAGATGTAATTTATTGATGTCTAAGTTGTCATCAGTATAGTGCCACACGGCCACTGACAATGTTGCAACTACACCCCTCAATGCAAGGGTAAAACTAAGTAAAAAAACATTTTTCTCTGGAAATATACCGTATTCAACGTAATAAACGCCCCGCTCTAATAAGTGCCCACGGCGACATTTGCTAAGATACTGGCTAGTGAACAATCCCAGTTAGCACCCCTTCCGATTGATTAATGTACACAAGACTTATTTATTCGCGTATAATAAGCACTCGTGTGTTATATGCACCCTTAATTATGGGCATTTAATTCTGGAAAAATATATCTGTCGTACATTAACATTTCAGGCTGTCAGCATAAACCACAAAATCTATCTTTCACAATAACATTCTAATAAGAGCCCCCTATTTCTAATTTTGAGAGCGCCCTGGGCGCTTATTACGTCGAATACGGTAAGTCACATTGTAAACAAAAAATATTATTAAGTATAACCTGAAGTGGGTCATATTTAATTCCAATTTGGGACTTTACAGCAGCATTTGCTGTAGATATCTAGATATCCTGCTGAACTGCTTTTGATTAACATTCCATCAGGTCACTGCCTTTATTTATAAACCTATTCATTGGGATCGCCATTAAGTAAGAGACTTCTTTCTATAGGCATTAAAACCTATTGTGAGGTTTTACTTTCCAGTCAGGTTAAATCTCATAAACAGGGATGTTGTAATGTCCCAGGGATTTTATATAATGTCCTGGGTATTTTATTAATACAACTTCCGTTCAGATTGTAACATGTAATGAAATGTAAAATCAAATGACAAATGTTTTCTTTATATTCCCGAGGATCGAACTCGCAACCTTCATATCTGTAGCCCAGTGAGTGTACCACAAGGCTACAGAGATGTTGATAAGCCTCACTGTTTTTTAGAATGTCCTTTTCAAGATCCGTACGCCAGCAACAGATATTTTACTCGCGTTTCCTAAGGTTCATGGAAAGTATGTTCGAAACATAAAAATGTTGATAAATGTTGTTTTAAGTTTCTTTTTTCGGTTTATAAGAATGGAAAAACACTTTCCCTCGCTTTTTGTAGACAAAGCATGCCCTGGGGAGAGGGAAAAACCAAGGGGGCGAAGCCCCCACGGTTTTTCCCGACCCCCAGGGCATGCTCTGTCTACCAAAACCGAGGGAAAGTGTTTTCTCCAATACATAATAACCGACCCTCTGCTATTTCTGCTTGTCATGGGCCAGAGGACAAGTAGTTAAGTCAACCCCTGTTATACATAATGAAAAATAGACAAAGACAAATGTACAAAGCGGTGATTACACAAAGATGGCGTCTGAGGCTATTTAACTCTCAAGTTCATATTTTAGACATATTTTATCATTGTTTTGTAGTCTTTCATGAACATGAAGCTATATCTTTCCATAAGGATCTTCCATATTTGAGACAATTGAATATTGTTAGTACAAACTGTGTAAAAGAGTTAACATAAAATCCTTTCACTAGCAGTGCAAAATAAAGCAAAGAGTTTGTGATATAATTCTTGTTTTTCTTTAGTCATTATCAAGGCATGAGATTATAGTGAAGTGCGCAGTCTTGCATACTTGCAAAATCAGGGATGGAAAATTCAAATTCATCCGGGCTCGAGTCATCAGAACCTAGTAGGGCTGGTTACATCACAAAGGAAAGTTTATTTTATACATTCTCGTACACAAAGTTGTCTTGGGCAGTAAGAATAAAATAGGCACCTAGAAGAGGTCTAAGAAATTAGCTGAAATAGAAGTCCTGCAGCAAATGAAGCAAAAATGAAAACAATGAAATAAACTTGCTAGAACTATGACTTGCGTGTTATTACCCGGGAGAAAACAAGGGTAGTCATCGGTACCAGGAACTTCAACACAATCAAATTAGATTCAATTGCAACAACAGAAATAATCAAAGAAAACAAAAATCAATGTCTTTTGGGCAACAATCTCATTAAAATCAGACCTTTGTACTCGCTACCGCTAAACAAAGATCTGAAGACATCCCATTAGGGGTCACGACCTTTCATCCGACCAATCAGAGCGTCGCTTACCAGATCTTGAAAGTGACAGTTGGAATGTGTTCTCTAATCATGCAACCACTAGTATTTAACACGGGGTATTCCGAACGACAGTTACGGGTTTTATGATTATATCCATACAATCTAGGCCATCTATAAGCCATTCCAGAGTGTTCTTATCAGTTTTAATTTTTTAATCGAGAATACGTCAAAATATGTTTCGAAGTGTAGTCGCCAGTTTGAAACTAGTGTCGTAAAACTTGAGAAAGCTGCCTTCTGATTGGCTAATGTTGATTTCTTGTCAGTCATTTCATTGGTTAGTCAAAATTCACGAAACGTCGTTCTGACGTGACCCGTAATGGGATGTCCTCAGATCTTTGTTTAGCGGTAGCGAGAAATGGGATGTCCTCAGATCTTTGTTAAGGGGTAGCGAGAACTGAGATCTGATTTTAATGAGATTGTTTGGGCAATTATTAGATCTAGACCTGAGCTGATTGTATATCTTGTATTACAGAGTTCAAGATGATTAAAGAGCAATTATCCCCAAAATGGATCCAAGTTTTGTCTTGAGGTCAACTAATCCTATTCTAACCCTTTGTTGTCTCTTAAACAAAATCTTTAAACAAATTGATCAAAAAGACAGGCGTAATGAGGAAAAATAAATCAACTGGTATGCCTGGGTATACAGCCAGATAATAAGTTGTTTGAACACAGCACACAGGTAGAAAAAACAAATAACTATAAAATACAATATTTGACAGTCTTCACTTTCCTAATATCAACACAATTTATCAAGTCCGCCCCAAGTTTCAAAAGTTGAATGAACAAAACTCAAGCTATCTGTTTAGTGACAAACATTAAGCAATGCGCATTGAGCACGTCCCTCAGTGATGTGGATTTTGTGCTATATACATACAATGTAGTCTTATTATTATTATGATGAAAAACTGAGAATGCAATAATGAGATTAGATAACCAATTAGGGACATGCATACTTGCATTACATGCCAGAAACACACAAACCAACACTACACAAATACACACTCGTACATGGTAGAAGCACCAGAATGCCTCAAGTTGTTGAACAATGTACCTGATGTATGGTAGAAGTCCATCTTCCCGAGGCAAGGGAGTTAACTGAATTTAAAAGTCCAGTTTCCACCCTTGCCGAACTAGGCTGGAATTACTGGGCTCTATCGTTGCGCCACCAGGAGCTATTACCAGTCATGTCCCTTCTAAGCCTCTCCTATGGACCAATCAGATTCCACCTCTCGTATCACTTGCGTTTGCTTCACACAAAATGGTGGCGCCCAATCAGGACGATCTGATCGATAATCAAGATCTCTATTGTGATAAAACGGGTCTTACATCGCGAAATGCATTAAATCACGTGAGAACCTTGATTAAAAACATGAAAGGATTTGGAAAATATCTGCTGACAACGAATTGGCGATGCAAATGCTTTGCAAATCCAGCAATCGATTGAAATCTGGACAGTTTACGAACCGGATTTTGATTTCGGTGAACGATTTTGATTGGACTATGCATAGACTCGTTAGTCCAGACAAAACGTAACTCCATAATACCAGCCTAGTTCGGCAAGGGTGGAAACTGGACTTTTATAGTCAGTTATAACTCCTTTGCCTTGGGAAGATGGGTAGAAGTCAGGCATCTATTACACTCTTACCTGCTTTAGCTTCCTTGTACACAAGACACACCTTGCTGTAGCCATCACAGAAGTCGAGTTCATAGATCCGATTACGTCCAGTGAAGGTGGGTTTCTCAATGCCTGTGGAATCAATACTAACTGGTGTTTGGAACTGGTTGCGATTTACTCATTAGTAACGACAATTTCTTTTGGTGGGGTTTATGGAATTTGATAGTGAAAAATGTGGACGGTAGGTAGAAATAAAAATATAAAATAAAATGCATTTTTTGTACAGGATGTTTTTAATTGTCTTAACGTTTGACTTTGATTGGCAAGGTATAAAAAACATAAATGATATAAAAATTTCAAATTTGTACTGACCAAGTTTCTCATCACCCGTTCATTTACCAGAATTCGCTGAAGGGGTATTGTGTAATTTATTTCTGCGCATAATATTCGATTTTTTTAATTTCCAAAATACTGAATCCGCTAGAGGGGGTCGCGCATTATACTCGTGTGCACACTATACTCAAGAAAATATGGTATTAAAAATAATGTTTTTGTCAAATAAATATCCCTTTGATTATTTTTATTGTCAAAGCAATCTTCACTGAATTTTCGATCTTTTATATCTGTGGATCCATAAACCAAGGACAAAACTGTATTATCAGTTTGTTAGCACACTTGCTTTTTGCATGATTTGAAATGTTTTAAATCTTATTCTCTAAATTCCATTTTGGGTAAATATTACTTGTTCTGAAGACATGTCTGTTCATTAAAATGTGCTCCAAAACGCACCCGGAGCCTATAGATCGCGCCACTCGTGCACTCGTGTTAGTGTTAAATAAAGAATCTGTTCTCCAAAACGCACCCGATGCATAACGATCGCATCGCCTGAACGCACCAACGTATGGCTGTGACTGCACGTGAAATGTGTGGGTTGTGAGCAAATATAAGGCGGTAGCGCGCATCAGTTAGTTACTTGGTCAGAATTCGTTAATTAGATGGTTAGTTAGATGGTTAGAAAGTTGGTCATAGTTCGCTATAGAGCTGGTTAGAGAGTTCGCTAGATGGATAGTTAGATGGTTAGAGAGAGAGAGAGAGAGAGAGTTGGCAGAATGTTCGTTAGAAGGTTCGTTAGAAGGTTCGTTAGAGAGCTGATGAGTTAGATGGTGTTAGAGTGTTAGAGTGTTTGACAGTGTTAAGACTTCCTTAGGAGTAGCAGTTAGAATTAGCATTTAGTTTCTATCATTTGAGATTTATTCATCTTTTCTTCATATAATAACAGGTAATCACGTTTAGTTCCTCATAGATCTTCATAGTTTTATAATAGGTTATCACGTTTAGTTCCTGGTTTCATTCAAAAAAGGTAAGTCATACAAATTTTAGATTAGTTTTCATTTTAAGTTAAACCACGCTCAAATATTCAGTTCCACTGCGCAACATTACTGATGTGTAAAATGCCAGAGCTACATTATCAAAGTACATGTACATTATTATCATGGCAAAAAGCATCTTTGTCACTTTACAAATCAAACTTGGTTGTTTCATGACCAGTAAAGCGAGTATGCTGATGGGAACCTGTTGTTAACAAACATGTTGATAAGCTCCTGGCCAATAAGTATGCTTTCTGGCAGGTCCTGACCTGAGATGGGATCGTCGTTGTCGGAGTCTGTGTCCAGGTCAGCTAGGGAGGGCTGAATGTGTGTCAGTTTGTCACTACTAACGTCAAGACGGAGGAGCTGTTCCACACGGTTGATGTGCATCTTGCCCACTGGGACAGTCTGGTCTACAATGTAACCATGGGTCATAAAAAGAGAAACAACTTTTATCTAAAATAATATATCTACAATTGGTGCAAAAAATATCTATGTTTTGAATCTGATTACGTAGAGCTCTAAATCAGGTAAACATTTCATTCTTTAGCCTTTTGAAACAGTCACGCATCATCCCCAAGTTAGAATGAAATATGTTGAGTACTAGACTAGAGTTTTACTATATTTTCTGATTTCTGAGCCAAGTTGAGCTTTGTGGTTTCTCTTAAAAAATCTGATGTTGCATTACATTGTGAAAAGCAAAGTTCAAATAACACATATCAATTAAAATGGAACTTACTGTCTAGTTTCACAGACCATGTGAAGTGAAAACCATTTGACGTCAAGTAGAAACTTTTTAAATCCTCAGGTAAAAGACAGCAATTTCTCTGAAAGGAAATAACTGACAGTCACAGAGTTGTTATGCTACACTTATATACTACTCAAAAGAAGGTAAAGATTCTAGCATGACAGATCAACTACTTATATGAAAGAATAGGGAGGTCCTTACTTGTTTTGAGTAGCATACATAAGATGATGAATTTAAGTCTGCTGGCTGGAACTGGTCTCTGGACATTCATTCCAGTAGAATTTAATACTAATATATGTATTATTTATGCTGAGTTTACAAGTACTTGGCTTACATTGAGGAGTGCACTATGTATCAGGATGATTTGTGAAAAAATATGTAAATTTTGAATATTAGTGGTATCATTCAATCTCATTAAAATCAGATCTTAGTTCTCGCTACTGCTAAGCATCCCATTACAGGTCACTTCAGACAGAACTTTGACCGACCAATGGAATGACTAACAAGAAGTCGACAATAGCCAAACAGAAGGCAGCTTAATCAAGCTTTACGGCACACATTTCAAACTGGTTTTCAAACAATTTTATATCCATTGTGACTGTTATCCTTTGATAAATGCACAAAAAACGAAAAACAATCCTTAAGCTTCTTGTGGAAATTGATTGATGTGAGCTGTGTCAGCAATGTCTGCACTGAGATCATTTGCTGTGTCTCACTCGCCTGAGTAAGTCTGTCTTATTATAAATGTATCCTGAGGGATAGTAGTAGCAGTTCAGAATTTAAGTGGTTGTCTTTTTGTGCATGTTTACTTTTACGACTGGTAAACAGTAATTTCTACTCATTGATTTAGCAATTGCAACCTGGTCGCATGTAATTGTAACAGTTTGTAATTGTGTGAGTTGTCATTCAAGACCTTTTGGTTTTCAAGGTTGAAATATGTCTTAGTTATAATAGTACATGTACCTGTTCCCACGACAACACTGCATGGCGATCCGCTGGGTTCCTTTCGTCAAGTGTGACTTTACAAACTCCAGTTTTCTTCTCTGAAAAAATGATTAATCCTTAATTCAATTCCTTTGTCAAGACATTGACAATTTTTGCTTCTTGAAACATTAAAAATGAGAAAGTTTAATTGTCATAATCATTCCTTCATCAATTTCAAAAAAGCAGGTTGGGCCTACTAGAAAGTTGTGGGACATTTAGTATATGAAAATAGACTTTTCTTGGCAGTACTACACTTTATCGAACACACTTAAGTTTTCTGATTCCAATTAGCAGCTAACCCTAACTCACAGTGGAAAGGTGTGTCCAACTCTAAAGATTGTGAAGGGCGTTTGATTGGAAAGGGGGACGATGAGGCACATGAGATCAGTGAAGCGAGAGTTACAGCCAGTGACAATATAGTGCAATGTCGCTGTACCTGGTAAACTGCTGTTTTTGCCCTTTTCTTTTAAATGTGGCATGTTTTGCACCAAGGTTTGTCAATGGTATGAAGCAAGTGAAATCTAGCCAGTTTTTCATCAATAAAAAACATACCATCAACAAAGACTCAGGGCAAAGAATGATTTAGATGGCCGGTTGTCATTCATCACGTTACTTCATACGTGAAATTCTTCCATTATCGTATTATAGCTCATGCCACTGGAAGTTAACTGTTTGACAAAAGAGACTTGACATATTATCAGCTGATTATGTCCCAGGGAGAACACATTATTTCATTCCAATTTATATGTTCATCAATATTTGTATTATTTTTGGATATTATTACAGTAAATCAACTACAAACCTAGATATTTTTCTATTCCAATGTTCATTTGTTCAAGTGAAACAGCTGAAAAGTCAACGTCGTCCATTTTATCCGTCATTTCCGAGAATACGAATGTCACAGTTTCCTAAAGCATCATTTGGCAGCCATCTTGTAACTTAGGACGCACCTGTTTGAAGAGTCACACAAGGGAGGTAATTCTTACAATCGTCCAGAACTTAGGCAACAATAATTGTATCTTTCTGTTTTACGGATTTGAGCTATGCAGTTAGCCATCATAATGTCTGAATAAAAAAAGTATTTTGCATTTGTACAATATTTGTTTTTGTTTTTTTTTGTGTTTGTCACGGTCGGTTAAGTCGGAAGAATAAATGTTAGTTGTGTTTAGTGCAGGATGTTTGATTATTAGTTACTCGAGCCAAAACTTTCGATCTCTAAATAGGGTGCTTGCAATAGCCAATTTAACAGATAATTATCTAATAAGTTAACAGTAAATTTAATTTTGTTTGATGTTAGTACCGTTTAACATTTCTGATCAATCAAATATGATAAGATGGAGCGGTTGGCTTATTTTATGATTGTGACCCGTGGCTCCCGTCGTTCGGATCCATAAACCGTAAATATGAAAAGTTTAGCCTTTGGGGTGCAGATACGAACTTATTTCATTTCACTACAAATACACTGAGAGATCTATGTGAAATTGTGACCACGTTACGCCACATGTGTGTATGCAAATAACTATAAACTGCCGGGTAAATGAAAGTATTCACCCAATGTTTGAATGGTAGCTACAAATGAAACAAACAAGAAATGGTTTTTCGATGGCGATATACATTTATTTGATATGGGTACCCATGGGCGGATGTGTATGACATGTGCGCGATTACTGGCTCAGTAAATAGAGAGCAGTACTTGTAATAATACAGAGAAAAAATGTATTTATATGTCCATGGCGAAATGTTATTCAATTTCAAACACAAGTAATTGACATTATCAGTACCATCTTCATAGTAATTATTTTGATATATACATTTCTTTTCGGGATAACGTAAATGTCTATAAATATGTGTTACAGTAACCAACTTATGACTGTGTAAAACCATTTTATGTTCTGCCATATATTGACTACTCCGGAATTGAAAAGGCAATATGTACATTTCTCTTGCATGATTTGCTTTGTACATTTGAAGTAATTTAAAGGCAGGCCTCTAAGGGTGCTGGCTAAAGCAGCCCCATATTTCCACCAGAAATTATGAAATGCCATGTATAAACAAAACAATTCAACGAGCGTGAAGTAACAGTTCAGGCTCTCTTTGGCTCGGATCTATTTGAATCGCCAGTGCTCAGGTAGCTCTTGTATGTTGTATGACGGTTATTGTTACTTACTGATTATTATTATTAGGGCTCCCTGCCTACAAGGCAAGAGCCCTATTGTAATTGTTCGATTTATTATTATTATTATTATTATTCTTTATTATTATTATTATTATTATTATTATTCCGGCGTTTTTTGTTCCAATCCTACCTCCAAAACTACTGCTCAGAATCTCTTCAAAATTTCCACAAAGATAGCTCAGGTCCTGAAGCAGATACCACAAAAATCTCAAGACTCTAGACTCCAAGACTAAGGGCAGATAACTCAAAACAACTCTAAATTTCAACAGCTCATAACTCCGCCACGAAAGCTCCAAAGACTTCCAAAATTCCTGAACAGATCCAGAATCAGAAGCCCAACAAAATCTCTACACATCCAATGTAGCCAAATTGCTTCGTTTGGCCTCCATATTGGATTAAGTGTTTTGGCACTGTTTTTTACCAGATATCTCAGTACTTGACTCCCAAAATCTCCTCAGCTCAAACTACCAGCTCAAAAGCTTCCAAACTCTCCACACTTTGGCTCCAAGTACCATACTAACAACTTCAAAGAAAATATACGTATGTCATATGTTGGCCTGATAGCCCTTGTCCTGGCGATTCCAGAACACCAAACCGTTTGTCTGTAGCTCCATGGACAACGGAGCTAAAGCATTTTGAAAATGGCACTCTTTGGCCCAGGTCCATAAACTTCAAACTTGCCAAATAGCACAACTCTAAATACCCGTAGCTGAACTCTAAATACCCGTAACTCCGAAACTACTTGTCCGATTTCGACCAGATTTGGTATATGTATATTGAGTGGGGATGTCTGCTACCACGACCAATTGTAGCGTCATAGGAAATAAGACAACGGGGAGAGAAATGATGCATAATTTATGTATAACAACATCTTTCAACATATTGCTCCTAACCAGATCATTCTATAACTGGCAGACTAGGCAATCTTTAGTATTTACATGTGCAATTCGATATTAAAATGCAGTCACAAATCACAAATCCTACATACATCAAACTCTTATTTCACATGTTCTGGAAATGTCATTTAGTGGGGATGACATGGGTGCTTTACGAACTCTTCAAACATTTTTTAAAGTAAAAGACACTGAAAGAAGCAGCCATAGAATGACAAATAAGTCCCGTTCACTGCACTTCAATCGACAGCAATACTCGTGCATACGATTCCGTTCTCTTGGCGCTATACGCTACACTATTGTCGGTTGGGTTTATTTATATAACAAACTACAGTTTGCAGTACGTGAGCTTTGTGTATAGTTTTCGGCTGTGGACTACAGAAATCAGTTACCAGGGTCAATGAGGTACAGTGTTTATACAGCTGATGGATAACGCAAGCAGAAACGGACTATAGAAATAGATTTACGTTTGCGCTCGTTTGTTCAACGGTTCTGCATAGAAAACAGTGTAGCTTGGAGTAAATAACGACATTGTGTTTTGTTATGTGAAAGCTCATATCTGCATCAATTGGCGCGAATTCACAATACACATTGTCAACAGACTTAAGCAAAGAACTGCGCATACATGTGTATTGGCCTCACAGCGTGCCAGCGTACCTCAGTCCCATGCGGCTGGGTCGGTCGGTCGGTCGGTCGGTTGCATATTGGAACGTGATCCACGTGCACGGGAATGGTATGGTGAGACAGCTATAGCGGGGTCGTCCGAGAGCCGCGTGTGGGGTGCTTCAGTCAAAACATGACCTACATCCCGCCCGAAGTGTTGCCTCCTTCATAAATGCTGTTCAGACTGTGGGATTTACGGTAGGTTTGTGATTGAAAGTTTGATATCGCTGAACTCTCCGATTAATGTACTATCTTTTAAACGTACTTGTCATAATTTTCTTACTACAACAGACAGGTTCACTTCATGTTTCGACGATAGCGATTTCTATAGTCTGTTTCATTATGGATTTTCTTCACGCTGTTTTCAGTAGTCTCTGCTAGCAGAAAGCACGCATTTTGTACGTTTGTGATTTAATATCGCTGAACTCTCCGTTTAATTTACTGGTACTTGTCATAATTGTATTACCGCAACTTCCAAGTACAGTAACCGACTGGTTATATGTTAACTTCATGTTTCAATAGCAGCGATTTCTATAGTCTGTTTCATTATGGATTTTCTTCACGCTGTTTTCAGTAGTCTCTGCCAGCAGAAAGCACGCATTTTGTACGTTTGTGATTGAAAGTTTAATATCGCTGAACTCTCCGTTTAATTTACTGGTACTTGTCTTAATTGTATTACCACAATTTCAAATAATAACAGACCATTTATATGTTCACTTCGTTTCAATAGTAGCGACTTCTAGTCTGTTTCTGTATAGATTCTCTTCACGCTGTTTGTAATACATTCTGCCAGTGGAAAGTGCACAGTTTCCCGTACTTGTACACTAGATCCATTCAGTTGCTCCCTGTCTAAAAGGATCGTTGTACAACATGTTTGGTATTCTTCTTATAAAATGCCTTATTTTCCTTGGAACGGATTTCCGCACTATCAAATTAGCTTTTAATAATACGAACCTGTTCATTTTTGATAATTCCATTTTTTCCTGAAAGATCCCAGATATAATGCCAACTTTAAGGAGTATTATTTACCCAAATCATTATGGTTTAGAAACCAGTCCCTTTCTCATCTCCATTGTGTTTACAGCTAATCTTCTTTTAAACTTTGATCACAAACGCTTGGAAGACTTGTTGTTTTCTTAGCTGATTGGTTGAATTGCTTCAACAAGGAGATGACAAGAGGTGACCGACATGTGTTGTTACTGTTAGATAATGGTCTAAGCCATCTCATCCCTGAGCACGGGTCAAATTACAAGATCCATTTCCTGAATATTACAATAACAAGTCACCAACACCTCTGCATGCTTGTATCTTCCATCCTGAACAGACCCAGGGACAAAATGGGAATTCTTTTCTTGGTCAAAACGGACCGGTGAAATTTCCTATTGATAATCCAGATCAGCTTATACTCGTACACAGTATAGCACATATCCTTCCGCATATCCGAATGCTTTTATATAACAACAAGAGAAAATGCCTTAATGGTAATAAATTAGTTTAATTAAGAACTCAGTTTCAATGATTTTTAGTACTCTGTATAACCAAAGTACAATTTTGCAAAAGTACTTCTATGAATAGAACAGGATCCGCTTCTACAATTCCTAACCAGCGGGAGCCCGACATCGCTGCTTGCAGCTATATTTATTATTAATTATTGTTTGATGACTAAAACTAATGGCGATAATAATGATAAATATGACAGTTAATACTACTTAATAGTATGTCTTTGTGTGTATGGGGGCAGCGGGATAGCCTTGTGGGGTCGTAAGCTAAAACGGCACCTCAGCAAAACGTCGCCGATTTCTCGGGCGAAAACGGCCCCTCATTTGGCGAAATCGGCTACCATTTGTCGGGTGAAACGGGACCTCTTTATTAATAACGATAAGGACTATTCATGTAGTAGAATATATGCTTTATCTACGCTTAATTATGATGGGTCCACTGGTAACAGTAACTGTTGTCGCATGATACAGCATGTAGATTGGCAAAGATGACCAGATGACGTCACTATTGAGCATCAATATGACGTCACCTAACAACGGAAATGATAATGTCCCGTTGTGCGGGCGGTTAATGATAATTATAGCTAAAATGGATAGAATTATCATAAAAACGCCCGCGTGTTATCAGAAATGAGCGGGCCACTGTAACTTGATAATGCCCTCATATTACTTGACGACGGGCCATTATCACGCCCGTTGTTAGGTGACGTCATAAGATAGGGATAGGTGACGTAACGTTCAATAGTGACGTCATCTGGTTTGTTCTATGACGTTTCCATATTTGTAAAAGTGGGTCAGTGACATTCGTGTTGATTGCAGTAAATGTTTCAAAACCGATATTGTTGTTTCTATTTATTTGATAACAAATTCCATCCATTTTAGCTATAGTTAACGCTATTTTTCAGGCATTATCATTTGGGCGGTTAATGACAATTCTACCAAGAATTTGGAATTTACTCGATTCTAATTGGTCAATCAGAGGCTATTAAATCACAATCAAAATCAGGTGACCGAGCCCTACATTGAAAACACAGTATGTTTATCTCCTAATTCTATCCATTTTAGATATAATATTTGATAGTGATTCATAAACACATGCTCAGATGTAGTCGGAATCATACAATCGACTCTGCACTTTATGTAGATGTTTGTATTGGATATGGAAAGGGTTTTGTCGCTTTATTAACATTTCACAATTATTGGTGTTTGCAAGTGACTATGTGAGTTTAATTTAATTTATTTCAGTACCAAAGTAAAGAAAATAAGGTGCCCTTTTCGCCAGGCAATTGTAGCCGTTTTCGCTTTGGGCGAGGTGACGTTTTCGCCAATCAGTGCCGCTTTCGCTGTTTATTTGATGACAACTGTTACTAGTTGGCTGGCCTTAAATACCATGCATGACTCACCGATGCAATGTTCTTTTTCCAAATTGTGGGTGGGCTTGAAACCATGAGTATTCCAACTTGACTCATGGGCGGTCGGGTAGCCTAGTGGTAAAAGCGTTTGCTCGTTACGCCGAAGACCCGGGTTCGATTCCCTTCATGGGTACAATGTGTGAAGGCCATTTCTGGTGTACCTCGCCGTGATGTTGCTGGAATATGGCTGAAAGCTTTGTGTGTATGTGCACATGAATGCAGAATTTGACGATCTGTAGGCTCGGGCCAAGTTGGATCCAGATCGGCCCATCTTTTGACAATATTGAGACGTATTTAGTAGAAGTTTCTCTTCAACTTGCCTCTGTTAAAAAAACAAGACTGAAGCCAGTTTACTCTGCACAGCGCTTATGTTGTCGGCTTCGCTGTGCGGAGCTCTATTGTTTTGTTTTGAGAATAATTTTGAATCGAGCATGTGACGTCACACTCGAATACTATTTCATGTTTGATGCAAAAACACACACAGAACGATTGAAAGAATGAGTTTATTCCATAAGGGGACACCGAACCATTATACAAGGTACATTGATTTTGTCATTTCACGTGTACAGAGCGCTGACTATTACATCAGGGGACAGATCCATGACAAAGCGCCCGCAAGCCACGATTGGTTGCTTTGTTGTTTTACGCCACACTCAGCAATATTCCAGCTATATGACGGTGGTCTGTAAATAATCGAGTCTGAACCAGACAATCCAGTGATTGACAACATGAGCATCGATCCACACACTTTGGATCAATGACATGCATCAACCAAGTCAGCGAGCGTGACCACCCGATCCCGTTAGTCGCCTCTTATGACAAGCCTAGTCGCATTTTATGGGAAGCATGGGTTGCTGAAGACCTATTCTATCCCGGATCTTCACGGGCGCAAGCCACGAATGATCTGGTCCAAACTGGTCCAAACTCCTCGGAGTACTGAAAAGGATGCTCAAAAGGTTACTAAGGCCGATCATAACCCACGAACGACCCGTGGATCGGGTCCAAACACACGTTACACACACTGGCAACAATCAGTCTCACAATGTTTCAATGGCATATTATATATAATTACTACAAAACTGGCACATCTTTAAGAAAAGTGTTCCTTTTCTTGAGAGCAAGAAATACATACTAAGCAAATATCCTAAGAACATAGCATCTTCCCGAGGCAAGGGAGTTAACTGACTATTAAAGTCCAGTTTAAACGTGGACATAGAGGTTGTAGCTATATAATTGTTTTAATATATCAAGAATTGGACATGTGTTATAATATTTAGGAAGTACATTTTCCTTCAAATTTGAGTACAATGGGCATCCGAGAGAAAAGTAGAAATCAGTTTCCATATATGGCACAATACAAAATGGACACAGATGTTCTAGCCTTGGTATCATAATTTTATAATGCCTACCTGCTTCTACCAATTAATAATGAACAGAACAAGTAAACCTAACAAGTGACTACATCAATACACTTGGTTAGATGGTCAAAATTAAATTTTTCCTTGACAGAGTTAAACTATTCCAGCTGAGAATAACATTCTACATTACTATTCCATGTATGTTGGCAGATATCTTTACATCTTTGCTTAAAACCATAATGTAAATGCATCTATATTTCCAACACTAGCAGTATTTAACACTAGCAACCCAACAGGCTGTACCATTTTTTTGCCCTTCTATACCTAAAAATCATTGGAACCTTTCACGATAACATTAACATGTGTTGTGACAATAACCTTAACCAAGATTTTATAACTTTTACATAATGCAAAACCATCACTGATGTTCTATTCACCATACCTCTTGCAATTATGCCATTATGCAATTAAGCTCAGAGCAAGTTTACAGAAACGATCGTGTACATTTTCAATATCGGGTGAAGGATAAAATCCCCAATCTTCTGCTCCGTAATTCAAAAATTGCAGTACTGTTATATAAAAATTATGAAAACAGACCATTTTTGCAAAAATAATTGTCTGCTACTTCTAAAAGTCTAATATAAATTATAACAGAAAGTTAAATATCTAGAATCTAAATTAGATTCAATATGGCGGAATTGGTAAATGTTTGTTCCTTGTTTCCAAAATTATCCAAAAAGTCTTTCATTATGAAACATTTCGGAGATTTCAAAAACTCATTAAATGATAACAAAATAGTAAATAAAATCGGAAATAACATCCCTTGTATAGACTCTCTGCGTAAAACACCAGTCCTTCTCTACAGCCAACAAACAACCTGAAAGAAGGAAATTAAGAACTAGAAAGACAATAAAAAAGAACAGTCAATAATACATAATTAATGAACGAAGTGTATGTTTTTTCATCAATGACAACAACGTGTCTTGCAGGAGAAATAGTGGATCAAAATCATTTAAATATCTGGATCGCAGGGACGCCTCACATGTCTATATTGGGTAGCATGCAGTAACTGTTATTGCTGATAAAGTTTGCAGACATCGTCACAGTTCAAATTCTTCACCAACCTACCACTCAAAGGGCTCCCCTTTAGTCTGACACAACACACTGCCTCTGTCTTTTGATATGTGCTAAATCTCTCAACCACGCCCCTTTCTCCTCTGTATGCGCCATTAACGATGCGTGCTAGACCCCCAACTTCGGGCACAAGAGTCATCAAGTATTTCTGGTTCACTATCAGGACATTGTCATTGCACAGCACATGCGCCAAGCCTGTGAATGGAGAGAGGAGACCCACGATTCTACAGTTCTTCCTGTAGTTACTTCTTCCATACCTGTCTGTGATGATAGTAACCACGATCCCTGTCTGCAGCCAACTGTCCCGTCGGTTCATCTTTTCTTTCAGTTTCTCGTCTTCCTCCATTATTTCTGCGAGTGTGGACTTCCGGTTAGCGTTGGGTTTCACATGGTTGTCGATGTCTCCGTGACATTTTTGTGATAACGATGGCCTTTCTTCTTTGTTGTATGGAGATCGTCGCGGGGACATTTTAAAGGTAACCATGTCTCTTTTAAGTGACCATTTCTGACCGTTTTGTATTCGGGAATGTGAATCTGTGGTCGTTATTGGGAGCGATCCTGGTTTATCGTCACATCGCGTACTGTTTTTGCACATCTCTTTTTTGGTTGGTTTGCGAATATTACGATAAATTTGTGTCACAAAGTTACTATCAACGAAACACAGTGTAGGATGTGATGGCAAAGCTTGTGAGGCCTTTTCCACTTTCTGGGGATGTTGGACGTACCAAATTTTGCTTGAATAATCCACATGGACCCGCCCGACTCTCCCTTGGTACCGAACGAACTCATCAAGCGTGTTCCATCTGGTTTTTGATATATGAACACTGCCTTTTTTCATCATGTACTTCATATACACCTCACTGGCTTCCACTTTCTTGTCCCCGTAGCACTGCAGCAGAACATTCATAAATCCGTTCTCAAATTTTGAAGATATTCTGTTTCTTCTTTCCTCGTCCACTACAATGAATTGTTTCTGTACTTTGTCGTGGAACAGTGTCAAACTCTCAACCGCGAAGTTCTTCTTACCAACCTGCATTTTGACACGTTTATCCATTGTTAGTGTCGATGTATCCTCATAACGGTTCTAAAGTAAGTGAGCTACTTGCCTATGTCGCAAACGGCTATATATGATACAAATATACGTACAGTGAACGATCTCGTACGTATAGCGTATGTAGGGTGAACGTCGTGAACGCAGAGACCATATTCTATTATATGGTCTCTGGTGAACGTTATCACAACGTTTTAGGATTGGAAGTATGTATACATTAACTAAACTGCAAGGATTTTATGCAGATCATCCATTCTTATATATTATATCATATACATGAACAGAATATATTCTTGCTGAGTGGTTAAATTCATAACATAACATGACATTTCGGTGCTGTGTACTATTATTAGAAACCGCGGGTAAACGAAGCGAACGTTTTCTTCATGTTGACCACGTGATTTGTTTGGACCCAAATATAGAAATCACATGGCTTGTGACGTCAGACATGTAGAAAATGGCAGCAGGGCCGAACTGGGCATACTCACCTGGTGTAATTATTGTTGAAATTCTCTCCTATTTGTCGCTTCGTGACAGACTCAGAGCTGCGTCTATTTGTAAGAGATGGAGATCGTGCCTTTTTCACCCTTCACTTTGGAACAGTGTCGTGTTTGAACTAGGTGAAAGGGGTAGAGCGAAGTCTAAATTTCTTGCAGACAGATGTGGCCGTTTCGTGCGTGGAGCGGTTGTCAAATTCAACTCGCTCAGTGTCGCAGAAGTGAGAGAATGTGGCAGAATACTAGCTATCCTTTCGGAAAACAAGAACTTGAGGCATTTCTCTCTTCAACCTTCGAGTTGCCACATCGAATGGCCCGACACTGAGGCTGTCCATATTATTGACAAGTAAGCATATTCCACTGTTTATGTTGTGCTTGTGACGTCAGCGGGTCAAGGCGCTCTGGTGGAATTTCGTCGAATTGCGCAGTTGCATCAGTTTTTCTGACCATTTATATAAGTGACACTTATCGACGTGCAAAAAAAACATAAGCAGAATGTTTACGTTCATACAATATTGATAATCAGAGTTCGTGTTAGTTGGTTATTTTTGTAACATATGGGCATCCGCACAGTGGACAAATATGGTCTATTTGTAAACAAACAGCTGTCAAAACTAACACTTCTGAGATAACACGAGGAAGGAGACGTTTCGTGTGCAATTGAAAAATTGCCTGAAAAGGTCAACTGGGTGACCTAATGATAATGTGTTAAACACTGTTAATGGAGTAAACAGCTGGTAAATGATTAATGAATGTAATTGAAAGCTGGGTATGGCGGTAGGTTTGTTTTGTATCATTGTGTATGCTGCTCTCAAATTATATTCTCTTAATATCATGACCAGGACACCAGAGAATTAGTCATCACATATTGTTTGAATGTAGGCAATTGAAAACAGGACAAGTATAACAAGGGAACACTAAAACGTTTGGGTGACTGCACTGCATGTTACTTTAAGGGCAGAAAGGTGAGCAACCACCTGCTGAGTTAATGCCTAAAAGATAATGAATAACAAACTGTTCTGTGTTATAAATTTGGATTCAAGGTTGTTTCACATCTTCATATAATCATTAGGATTTATTTTAAAGGAAAGTAGGAATGTCACATGGAGGCGATGTTTATCCGTTATACAGGTTACAAAGGCTAATTTTTTCCATGTAAAAGCATTACCTGGTACTGTCTCAAAACACACATTTGATCTGCAATCTCTTTTATGTCTGGGTAATGTCTTAAACACCATGTTTTCTGAGATAGATGGTATTACTGGCCAATTTCCAAAACACCACATATTATCTGAGATACATGATTATCTTGTATTCCTGGGTAATGTGGGGGCACGGGTGGCCCAGTCGTCTAAGGCGCCGCGATTCACTGTGCAGAGTTGCGTTCCTTGGGCACGCCAGAAACCTATGATTGTGGGTTCGAATCCCGGTTTGCCCCAATTATGTTTCTAGGTTTGTCAGCACCATACCTGTGCTCGTGGGTTTCACCTAAGTGGTAAACGTCTGAGACCTGCATCACTTGGGGCTTTCCTCCCACATTAAGCTGACACGCCGCTATATGACTGGAATAATGTTGAAAGCGGCGTTAAACCCAACTCACTCACTCTTGGGTAATGTCTGTAACGCCTCATGATATCTGCGCTAGGTGATTCTTTTGTATTACAGGCAATGTCTAAAACACCATATATTATCTGTTTTCCAGGTACCTGGACTTGATTGAGTGTCTGATTGAGCACAGCTGTAAACTGAAACACTTGTCTCTCGGATGTGTCGAGGAACTTCTGGTCCACAGCAGTTCCCTCCTGCAGAAACTGTCCTCCAAACATGGCTCCAGCCTCCAGTCTCTCCACCTGGCCAGTGTCAAGGAGGACAGCGAGAACTATGGCATCATTGACCTCAGCCCCGCCAAATTTCACAACTTCTACCTTTTGCAGAGTCTGAGTTTGGACTATGATTACTTGACAAATGAACTGCTGGATCAGTTCGCGAACTCAGACAGAGCAAAGCTCCAGAAACTCTGCATCAATGTTCATGGTATTGAAGCCGACCATGAACGTATCACAAATGATACATGGAGGAAGATTAGAAACTACAGCCCCAAGCTGGAGGTGACCCTCAATCTGATTCATTCCTATGATGGAGTTGCCTCCCTTCTCGACATCTTTCAGCCAGCCATGCCACTGATTCATTTTCGACAATTCTTCTGCTCGCATGTAAACATGGCTTCCATAAGTTATATCTCGTCACATTATCGGAACAGCCTGAAGACACTCCACATTGTTGATGGTCTGGTAGATGACATGTCTAGTCTCTATGACAACCACGACATGGAAGACCCCTTTGTCATGCTAGCATGGCAGTGTCAGAAGCTTGAGCACTTTACACTCATGGGTAAGTTAACTATACCTCATGTATAGCATCTTTTTGTAAGCAGTATAATTAATTAACACACAATGCCATTTAGAAAGTGGTCAGATGTTACAAATGTTTTATTTTGGATAACACTTTCTTAGTTCAGATTCTAGTATTTTGGGGGGTTGAGGTCCATCCTGGATTCGAACCAACACTGCCAAAGTGAGGCACCTAATCGCCAGCACACAAAGTCAGCGATCTAACCCACTCAGCCACCGAGGCATTGTGTGTTCACAGCTTTCATGTACTAGAATCTGTACTTTACTAAGAAAGTGTTATCCCAAATATAGCATTTGTTACAGTATAATTAATGCTCCTCCCTTTGAAAACTAAACCATCCACCAAATATAATAATCAGTCCTCACCATGCTTACAACGCTCTTATCCATACATGAGTACTTACATACTTATCAGGACACCTTTGAATCTTTTGGGTGACTAAATGTGTCACTGCCATATGAAGCAAAGTAAGCTTCAAGATGAACAGACAAAGAATAAGAGTTATTCATTCACTTATTCGGCCCCAACTCAACAGCAAATGTCAGCCAAAATGCCCAATTTAGAGTGAGTGAGTTGGGTTTAACACCGCTTTTAACAGTATTTCAGTCGTATATCACAGCGGGACAAGGGACACAACTCTGCACAGCAAATTGCAGCGCTTTAGACAACTGGGCAACTGTGCCCCCCCCAAATTTAGAAGTTTATCAGACAGTAAAGAACAATGCAAAATGTGTGGAAGTAATCATTGCAAGTAATTATTATTAAGTGCCCCTCCCATCCCTGATGATGTGTGACAGATCCAGAATGCCCTTAGTGGTTTCTCTTCTGCTTCACTGCTCATGGTGAAGGTAGAAGATGAATTTTTCAACCTGTATTCATTGGGAAAAGTTTTTAGATATAACTTTAAATAATTTTTTAGTTTACACGATATACAGCTTTACCATTGGACGAGAGCGGTCACATGACCGCGAAATTGACGTTCATAAGTGTATGAACGACACAATTTGATGTTCATACCTTTTTCACGAGACCGTGTTCTTGAAATGACGTAAACACTGACAGACTACTTCCACATTACAGACCTTTCTCATCTAATGAGGATATTAAATGAACACATGTGTTGCGTAAGATGTTTCTGAAGAGCAAGTTCTGCATCCATACGCTCATGTCACCTCTCTTTTGGGGGAACTATTTTATTCCGCTATATAGCTGGTTGTTGTTTGACTGTCAGTGTAAACATGAAGTCACAAAATACTAAATAAAATTGTGTTTAGATCTTGGCTTACATCCTTTGAGGTAAGAAATTGTGATAAAAAATTATAAGAATTGACTTTCACTTTGTGTGAGTTCATTGGAGTATGAACCTTCATAGAGTGAGGGCCAAACATTGTATGAACGTCATCGCAAGCTCCGATGTTCATACAGTTTGTCCCTCACTCTATGAAGGTTCATACTCCAATGAACTCACACAAAGTGAAGGTCAATTCTTAATTGTCCACAGCGAGACTTTAGATGCTAGCTCTATATTAGTAATAATTTTGTTAACATGTTTAACAGAACCATGATAAACCTCAAAATGCTGAAGCTTGTTATAAGGATTATGAGAACAGACTTTACTGTAAAGATGGAAAGTTTTGTGAGGAGGAAAGTACTGCCCAAACTGTGAGTGACGCACACTCTCAATAGCTTCATGACAGTTATTTTTGTAGATCAACAACAACAACAAAAAACTTAAGGTGGCACATTTCTTCAATTTACGTCAGTACATTGTCAACCAGCCTTTGACGAATTATGTCGATCATCCCTCACATCCTGTTTCCTGATATTACCAGGCTGATTACACATTGTCACTCAGTGTCAATAGTCTAATCAGGAAAGTTCACTTTCCTTCCTCATCTCGTCAAGCTGCTTACATATCTTTGAGTAGGCCTGACCTACCCCAGCCAGTCTACACTGTCAGATAAACATGATAAACACACTACTCCGTCCCAGCCAGTCTACACTGTCAGATAAACACACTACTCCGTCCCAGCCAGTCTACACTGTCAGATAAACACACTACTCCGTCCCGGCCAGACTACACTGTTAGATAAACACACTACTCCACCCCGGCCAGTCTACACTGTTAGATAAACACACTACTCCACCCCAGCCAGTCTACACTGTCAGATAAACACACTACTCCACCCCAGCCAGTCTACACTGTCAGATAAACACACTACTCCACCCCAGCCAGTCTACACTGTCAGATAAACACACTACTCCACCCCAGCCAGTCTACACTGTCAGATAAACACACTACTCCACCCCGGCCAGTCTACACTGTTAGATAAACACACTACTCCACCCCAGCCAGTCTACACTGTCAGATAAACACACTACTCCGCCCCAGCCAGTCTACACTGTCAGATAAACACACTACTCCACCCAAGCCAGTCTACACTGTCAGATAAACACACTACTCCACCCCAGCCAGTCTACACTGATAGATAAACACACTACTCCACCCCAGCCAGTCTACACTGTCAGATAAACACACTGCTCTGTCCCAGCCAGTCTACACTGTCAGATAAACACATTACTCCGTCCCAGCCAGTCTACACTGTCAGATAAACACACTACTCCGCCCCAGCCAGTCTACACTGATAGATAAACACACTACTCCGCCCCAGCCAGTCTACACTGATAGATAAACACACTACTCTGCCCCAGCCAGTCTACACTGTCAGATAAACACACTACTCCGCCCCAGCCAGTCTACACTGATAGATAAACACACTACTCCGCCCCAGCCAGTCTACACTGATAGATAAACACACTACTCTGCCCCAGCCAGTCTACACTGATAGATAAACACACTACTCCGCCCCAGCCAGTCTACACTGATAGATAAACACACTACTCCGCCCCACCTAGTCTACACTGTCAGATAAACACACTACTCCACCCCGGCCAGTCTACACTGTTAGATAAACACACTACTCCACCCCAGCCAGTCTACACTGTCAGATAAACACACTACTCTGTCCCAGCCAGTCTACACTGTCAGATAAACACACTACTCCGTCCCAGCCAGTCTACACTGTCAGATAAACACACTACTCTGTCCCAGCCAGTCTACACTGTCAGATAAACACACTACTCCGTCCCAGCCAGTCTACACTGTCAGATAAACACACTACTCCGCCCCAGCCAGTCTACACTGATAGATAAACACACTACTCCGTCCCAGCCAGTCTACACTGTCAGATAAACACACTACTCTGTCCCAGCCAGTCTACACTGTCAGATAAACACACTACTCTGTCCCAGCCAGTCTACACTGATAGATAAACACACTACTCCATCCAAACCAGTCTACACTGTCAGATAAACACACTACTCCACCCCAGCCAGTCTACACTGTCAGATAAACACACTACTCCGTCCCAGCCAGTCTACACTGTCAGATAAACACACTACTCCGTCCCAGCCAGTCTACACTGATAGATAAACACACTACTCCACCCCAGCCAGTCTACACTGTTAGATAAACACACTACTCTGCACAGGGCAGTATACACTGTCAGATAAACACACTACTCCGTCCCAGCCAGTCTGCACTGTTAGATAAACACACTACTCCGCCCCAGCCAGTCTACACTGTCAGATAAACACACTACTCTGCCCAACACATGCATCTATTGCTTAAAGTTCAATTATCATGAAAAGTAGTAATAGTCTCACCTACAGTCACTCATCTCACAACAACATGTACCTGCAGTAGATTATTGCATAATGTATGCCAACAGTCAGTCCATGTATCTTAAAACACTCGGCCATGTGTATTACCAAGGGACTGTGCTTCGTCTTTGTAGTGCTATTTCAAGACTGCAACGGGATATTGTGATTTGGAGAAAATAAACTAACCAAAGGAACCAGCCTGTGTTTTGCAAGCACTTGTGATCCATGCGTCCAAGATGGGGATCATCCTGATTATTTTATCACCATGAATTGTCTTTTCCACATTCAATTATTTACAGGCCACCATCATATTGCTGGAATATTGCTGGGTGCGACATTAAACAACAAATGTACTGATCATGCTGCAGGAGGTACCTAAACCATGTGGAACAGAACCACCTTTCTTTAAAACACTTGGTACAAGAAAACAGCTGCAATGAGCAAGTTTTTTATTATTTTGTCACCCATGCATATGTATTGCAGGTTACGTTATTGGGGAGAATGACATCGTGGCGATAGCTCGTCTTCGAGGCCAGCAACTGAAGACCCTCAACATTCCTGCGCGCTGTATCTCCACTGCTGAAGACGAGGAAGAGTCCAACTCATGGTTCTCAGTGGGCTGTATCAGTCGAGACTTTGCCAAGAAGGTAACAATACCAGTCACAGGATAAATCCTTCGTAAAAACATGCAATATTTAAAAACATAGACACATTTATACATGGATTACTTTGTGGACATTTGAGATTTAACCAAAAAACAGTTGCTTTCCATCTTCGACAATTGACATGAATAACAATAACATGATTGATTTCGGTAAATCTAAACCTTTTTCATTAAATAGTTATGTAAGTTATTATCGATGAATACAATTTCATATCGATAATTGTTAATATTTTTTCCCACTGACGATAATTCGGATTATCGATCTTTTTGGTCAGGCCTAAATAGTATTGCTACAGCTGTTTCACTTTCACAGTACATACTATATATCTTGATGTATGCTTTTCCTCGAAGTATGGCTGCAGAATGACACTTCCAAAACTGAAAATATGGCAACTATCACTTTGGCAGTTACTAATGAATAATCTGTGGGTAGCATGGTTTTGCGGTTTCTATTATTTTGGTGAGGATAACTGCTTCGTGGATGTAAAACATTAACATGGATTATGGCAGTGCTGATGCAACTGCACCTTAGCGCAAAGGGGAAGAGATCAAAGTCTAAATAATCAGTGGTACAAGTCAGTTTGGTTTAAGACTGTTTTGGACAGTTTGTCAGTTAATATGGGAAATACAATCTCATTAAGATCAGACCTTAGTCATGTCATTGCTCGCTTCTGCTACATCCCATAACAAGTCAAGTCAGAATGACCTTCTCAAACTTTGACTGACCATTGAAATGACTTAACAGGAAATTGGCATCGGCTAATCAGGAAGCAGCTTTCTTGAGCTTAAAACAATCACATTGGCATCTTCTGAGGTGACCTGTAATGAGATGTCCACAGATGTTTGTGTGGTGGTAGCGAGCACTAAGATCTGCGTTTAATGAGATTGTGGTTAATATGGTGTGTCAGCTTAGTTTTGAAGGACCAGTGAAGCTGTATGTAGATGTTTACTAAATTGATGAATCTACAGCTGCTCATGGGACAGGTATACACGTAACAGTGGAATAGTAACACACTGCCTGGCCAGGCACCATCAGGACTGTAGTGTTGCAGGTATAGACCCATGGGGCTTGACTCCTTTAATTTTAAAAGCTGACAGTAAGGCTTACCGTACCTCAGTTGCCCTGGTCATAGGGACTGATAAATAACCATTGTGGTGAAATGTCTGCATATGTAACTGTACTATATTTCCTCTCGTCTTTGTAAATAGCTATTAATAAGCAAATACAACAATTTACGAGCATGACAGTTTATTTGATGGCAACTGTTACTGTTTGGCTGGCCTTAAATAGCATGTATGACTCACCGATGCAATGATTTTTTCCAAATTGTGGGTGGGCTTGACACCATGAAGCCTCCAACTTGACTCAACCAGCAATACTAGGGATCACAGATGGATCAAAACCTTCCACACTTGGGTAGTCTGTATATTGTGTATGTTTTCACTTACCTTTTTCTTTAAGGTATCTGAGAGCCTGCGTTATGATTGGCTGCCCATAGAAGATGATGATCTGCCAATGGCTGTGCTACGAGATGAAGCGGACGCTGAGGCAGCCTACATGAACACCCTGCTCTCGGACCAAGTGTGGGAGGGGGAGTAGATGACACGGGTACCTCCTGATGAGAAGGGGTTTCGACAGGGCTGAGATCAACTGTCGGAATCCGCAGACAGCAGTCAGCAGGTGCTGTACTGCTAGGAGGAACCATTCTTCATGATCAAATTTCTGTCCCCAGGAGATTTGCAGGCATTCTTATTTTTGACCAGAAGACAGGAAATTCTGTAATTAATTTAGATCCATTGGCCATGTTGGCTGTTTTAAAAGTTTTTCCCCAGATGATATTAGAAGTGTAAGGATTATGAACACACCAATCTTTGAAAATGGAGTGACTTTTGACAGGTAAATGTGGTATTGACTATCAAAATTCCTTACTTGTTGCATGGGTTTCACACCAGTTCTCTGTTGATTTTCAGCATGAGTCTTTTATTGCAAATGCATATATATGTGAAACTATTGAGACCATACTGCAGGAAGTCGCATTGTAGTTATATCTTTTCCGAATATTTCTAAGCAAACAATTTGTGATGTACGTAAAACTGAACTGTGAACATTAGGACAAGTTTAAGTTGAAGACTGATTCTTTTAGCTTTAATGAATTTCAGTTGCTGTTCTGGTCTGTCCTCAAGAATTTAGGTTGTGGGGTAGCCGTGGGTTTAAAATATACTACTCAAAAGAAGTCAAGGATCACTTGATTCTTCTATATTATTATAGTTAATCTGTCATGCCATGAGAAATTAATTATTTTGAGGAGTATCTTCACTCACCATACCCCAAACCTTAGTTTCAATTCCCCACACTGGTACTATTGAATGTGTCTTCAGCAACCCATGCTTGCCGTAAAAAGTGACTATGCTTGTAAGAGGCGACTTACGGGATCGGGTGGTCAGGCTTGCTGACTTGGTTGATGCATGTCATTGATCCCAATTGCATGGATCGATGCTCATGGTGTCAATCACTGGATTGTCTGGTCCAGACTCGATTATTTACAGACTGCCGTCATATAGCTGGAATATTGCAACAAACAAACAAAACACTATTTGTGATGGGATTGATTACACAGTTTGACTTCATCCCAAATATAGTCTTTGCTACACATGCTGAGATGTTGATGCAGTATGGTCTTGATCAGTTCCATGATAGGGGGCCAGTATGGAGATCAGAAATACTCATTGACCTAATATCAGGTATCGCTATGGTCTCATGTGAACATACATAATCGTGTGTCGATTTATTATCTTATGATCAGGTCGGTGTATTCAATTCTGGGCATTACAGACTGAAACAATCAAAGTACTGAGTTTGGGCGCTGAACATTCCATCCTGATGAATATGGTTACTACTTTTATTTTCAACATGTTCAATAGGTGTGTATATTTGCGATCAGTATTCATTCAAATTAAACCTAAGGAAATCAAACATCCCCAGCGTGAAAATTGTTTAAGATGTTTAAATGTCTTGTATAATCATACTTCTGTATGACCGCTCAAGTTGCTTGCATCAAACATTGGCCTATGCTTTGCTTCAGTAAACATGTTTGTTGAAATGAATTTATTTTGGTGAAATAGATTGTGTATCTGTCAATTTGCCCATGATCCTTCATTGACTGAACCATCGTGACAACACAATTTATGACTTTGAGAAAATTAAGTCAAATTTTACAGGATTTTAGAAGACAATGAACATTTACTAAAGTCTCCCTAGTGCAATATTTATGTGAATCTCAGAGGAATCGATAAGAAAACATTTGAAAATAGTGTGAAATCTAGGATTCAAGATTGTTTTCCTCTATTTGTTCTAAAATTGCCGAGTATATCTTCAAACTGAACCATTTTCCTGATTATATGACCGATTTTCTGTAGCTTCATGAGAGATATGACCACTTTCATCACCAGTGGCGGTTACACAGTTTAAGATGGGTGACCAACTGAAATGGCAGATGCCTATGAATTAAAACCAGTTTCAGGTATCATGTTTATGCTATTCAGAATTGCATGTAAAAGGATTCTGTGATTATTATTACCTTTTGTCAATCAACATTGTGATTGCCAGTCCAGCTTGTGGAAGGAGTTCAGTGCAGTGGCTGTTGGAAGCAGGAACAAGCCAGCGCCATCTTCTTGTTGTTGGTTTCGGAAATAGAAGAAAACATGTCACTTGCTTGGAAAGCAAACATGTATTTGTTGATGGATCTCATGAGGAAGTTGCATGATATATGCCCCTTCTGTTATTTGGAAGATAGTGTATGATCCTGTCATGAGGTTACTATTTTATTAGTGGTATGCAAGAAAGGTTACAAGAGTTATGTTCCATTGTAAACAGATAGTCAAGTTCCCCACTGTGATGGGTCCCCACAACCATACTTGGAGTTGAACTCGCAACCGACTGACCGTTATGTTTACAAACAAATGACGACTGTCGTGACGCTGAATACTCTAACCCCATCTTAATTATTTTCTTTTTCAGTTTGAATTGCTATTTCATTTCAACTATCACGTAATTGGTAAAGTAAGAATGTAAGGGGAAGTTGGGTGATTTTCTGTTCATATGCAATCTCGAACCAATCTGATTAAACAACAAAAAGGTAAGTTTATTTGGGAAACCTGGTCAGTTGTAAACCTTTTCAAAATTTGCTATGATGGCATTCCCAAAGACATAAACAAAACTGAAAACTTGACTTTGGGGTCGAGGGCAAATTTCAAGATTCTTGTAATGGCCACTTCCACACTGACAGCAGGGTGTAACGAAGGTGTCACGAAGGTGTCACAGGCCGGGAAGGAGCTTGACAGACGGTTTGTTTACAAAGGGACATAACTCATGTGGCCCTTCTTGCATACCACATATTGTATAGTAACCTATATCAATCCTAATGTATTGAATCAGTATGCTTCCCAAGGCCCCCTTGCTTGATGTTATCTGTGTTGTATTGATTGTCAAGTCCTTTTACTGGAACATTGATACACATTGTGCTAGTTAAGAATTATTTATACAAGAGGGCTTTGGGAAGGATTTTTGTATTCAGGCAGTACCTCATGACCGTGATTTAGTACATTGCCTTTTTAGCAGCCATTGCACAGAATCTCTTGTTATTACTAACTGTTCCATATTCTGCTGGAGGAGTTGTTATCAACCATGTTACTTTGTTTTAGATTGACAAAGTAAACTTGGGATATGTAGGTGTGACAAATGTTTTGAAGGCAAAAGAACCAAGAACAGCTTTGACAAGATAATGACCCGACCAGGATGTCAGGATGATGAGAGGATCTAATTCCAAAAGATTTTGTAACCTTTTACCATTTGAAGTTTGATGTTACTAGTTCATTGAGCTCTTTTTATCTTTTGTGTCAACTAAATTTTCTAAATAATTGTCCAAGTAATAAGGTGACAGTGATCCCGTATTCAGGATATGTTTGTTATAATGACAGAAGTCTATATTGTTTTTTCTATCTTCTACTAGTTGAGCCAAGTTTGGAACTTGTGTGTTTAAAATGATAATTGCTGTTGAACATGTTTGACCCTTCATCTGCTGGTAAGATGTATTTAGATGTATTTTCCACCATATTTGGTAGTTTCAACCAGTGTTAAACAATGAATGTTATGAAGCCCCAGATCCATTGTGACTATCTGTGCATTAGCCTGGTGGTTGTTGAGATAGTGGTGCTTTGTTTGAGACCAGTATTAACGTTAACACCAGTGTCTTTGAGATAGAAACATGACTGCCTTATATCGGACTTCAATAGGGCAGGGCGCTCGCTACAGCGCAGCATGAAAACCGGCCGCAGGACTCTCGTACAACAAGACAATCAGGACTCATTGTTGTTCAAATCATTGAGCGGTCTTTCCATTCCAGTTACTATGTGATATACAGCAAGATACCTCGCACTGGCCGGACCACACTGAACGTGTCTGGCTGCATGGTGTTGTTGATTGACTAAAATCGGTTGGATTTAACTGTGATATACTGCCATACGTGCTTGTGTATTGTTGTCATCGGCATACATGATCTGTTCATGTGCAGACTTGGAATCTCATGATATATATATACCTCCAAACCACACAAAGACTAACTTGTGACACCATTCAGAGAGTTGTTGCATGCTTGCCATGCTTTGTTTGATATCTATCGATCGGCACATACGGGTGATCAGGAATCTTGTTAATTCTAGCATTGTGAATATAGATGCTGAGGACCAGAAGTCACATGATCCAAGTCCCACAACTCTTTTACCAGCTGTGATACCCACATACGTCGACATTGGAAAGATTTTTCAGCACCGAATGAACAGTTTGCCATCTTTTGTTGTTGTTTATGATTATTTATCTCAACTATTCCAGAGGAAAGAGAGAGAGAGGGATGAGTGCTGTTTCCACCATTGTTTTCACCGTCTTCATGAGTTACAGGAGATTATCATGCTACATATGCAAAGGAGTTTTTCATGCCATGGTACCGGCTGTTGATGAAGGTCTGTCCCCATACAGAGGCTGTATATGTTTTGCCTATGGGGCTGCTTATTATGTTCTATTAACTTTAACCATGGTTATCGAGATCTGGGGCTGAACTGATAGCAAGACCATTCGGAAAGATTTCACATTCATACTACATTTTACCAAATACTTCTACAGAAAAATCAAGAAAGGGAGAGGCTGTATGTGTTTAAGGAAAGTTTTAACTTGTGGTCGGAAGTTAATAGTTCAACTTTTAATGTTAGAACTTTTTGTGGGTTTTCGAAATATTTTAAGAAAACCTGAAGAATCTGTAAGATTATTAGTATATATTTTCTGACTGCCTCTGTTCACTGGGTATGTGATGAACTACTCTAGCGTACCTCCATTACAACTACAGAATCAAAGGTAGAGTGCCTAAGGCGTTACATATCTGGTTACAAGTACATATTGGAAGCATTACAACCAGTGTTGGAGTGCGTTAATCTCAACTATGGTTGAATTGTATGATAGTTTTAGCTGTCTTTTGGTCATACCTAGATAACAGAATGTGAGTTCCAGATATAGGAAATTTTTTTTAATATTTTAGTATAAATACAAGAAAATATTAGGTATTTTAGTTTGAAAATTAAAAAAAATATTGTAATTTGTCCTGAATATGGTTGATGTGAAGTTTTGAAATTCCTGTGTAAATGTTTTTCTTAAATATATGTGTCTTATATATGTGAATATCATGTCAAAATTTGTGGCGTTTTTCAGTGTCCTGCTTGTGATCATTACTAGTGTATTGGTGTATTGGTGTCTATGATCATGGTCGGACCTTTTGGTGTTTGTCATTGGAAGTTAAGAAGGGTAGGTTCTAATCACATTTTAATCAAATCAAATCACAACAGAAAATGTCTTTTCACTTTTCTCAATTAGAGTTCATGCCTTTTAAAATAACCTACCTGTATAGTATGTAAAAAACAACATTGATTGGGAATATTGCTTTATGAACACTTTTGAAGACTCTTATATTTTAAGTTCTTTAGATGCATGTATGTCTTGTCAGCAAATTATCACAGGTTTTTATGCAGAATCACATTTTTGAAGAAGTATATATATATATCAGCTATGATAATTCAATGGGAGGAATTTGATGGTTATTTTTGGCCATGAGGTGGTTTCGGAAATGAATTGCGATTTGAAGCAATCTCTTTATAAATCAGCTCTTTTATTCCGATACAATATCAGTCAGTGTCAAAATCTGAGGACACCTCCATAGAAGGTCGCGTCAGTGAACCCTGAGTAAACTTTGATCTTCCAATCCAAATGAAGGTTGTGTGGGCTCTTGAGCCAATCGTGTGTCAGCTTTCTGAAACAATTCAGCTTTGTGTATTCACTGTCTTGAATTGGAAATTATGACACAAGTGTACCATACATAGTAAACCTTTTGGGTGCAGTTGTCGACAGGGACCCGTGAACGTCTGGGTTACTATCAGCAACCCATGCTTGTTGTAAGAGGCCACTAACAGGATTGGGTGATCAGGCTTGCTGACTTGGTTGGTGCTTGTCATCGCATCACAGTTGCAAAGATCAATGCTCATGATGTCAATCACTGGATTGTCTGGTCCAGATTTTATCATTTCAAGACTGCTGTCATATGGATGGAATATTGCTTGTCTGAATGCTTCGCTCACTCCACCAAGAATTTAGAAGCCTTGCATCTGATTGGCTGATTACAAAGTTCACCTGTCACGACCTTGTGTAGATGTCCTCAGCATGCAGAAAGGTGTCATATCAAGTAAAAGATCGGATTATGATTAGATTGGATTTGGAGACATATACACAAATCCATCTTAATGTACATAAGATCAGCATGATCAAATATGAATCCAGTACAAAATACATATTCATTCAGTTGAGTTCAGCATATCATGAATGAAATTTCTCTTGTAGGGCTCTGTTTATTGGTTAGTGTTTATTCTTGAAGTGGTTTAAGAACCTGCCATCAATTCTTTTCGATTCCCTTTTTGTCTTTGAAAACATGAGGATTATACACATAGATAATTGATTGTATATTCTGATCACATAAAGGCTTGTTCATTTTTTATCCCACCAGCTGTAAAAATAGTTTGTACCAATAAATACCTCCGCGACAGATTTCCATTATGCAGAGTGTTTAGAACTTTTATTGCAGGAAACCCCTTCTTAGGTTAATTAAGTATTATTTAATTTATTTTTATTTTAAGGACAAGAGAAATAACTTCAAGCATATGTAACATTTTATTCTGACTTTGAAAGTAGGCTGGACATGTAATCTTTTCTCTCCAAAGCCATTGACAAATAGTAGGTGGTATTTTCATTGATAATTGAAGTTTATGCAGTCTGAAGTGAAGTTCTGTGTGATCTAGGAAGGTCACTTAATAATAGTCCAGGTTAGATCACTAAATCTACTGAAAATGATATAATGTACTACACAGAGCCCTTCTCTATTTTCAGCAGAAACATTAGTTGTTTGAGATGTTCTAACAAATGCTTGTCCATATTTTGAGGTTTGGGTTTGGTGAAGGAGTCAGGTAGCAGTTTCTAGTCTAGTTTCTGAAGTTACAAACACCAAGAGATTTCTCATGTTAATGTTAGTATTGTGTATATATTCTATATGTCGTACACACTCTAGTGTCCTTTTAGCAGGTTTCTGCAGTGTAGTTTTCAAGTCGTGTTAACTACATCATACTGATGTCATGTACCTAACTATTTTATATTATATTGTATGGAAAACATGGCAAATACATGCTAGGTAAAATAAATACTGGTAAACAGTGCCATGTACAGACACACTTTGAAACACATTTTTGTGATATTTTACAATATGGCCACAAAATTAATTTATTTTCAATTGAAGCATGAGATAATCGAACACAACCATGTCATTGTTCAGGTTCATATATCATTTGATGTGTTTTGAGATAGACTTTGAGCACAAAAACACATCATGATGCTTGAAAATTAGGGCTGGGATGATACACCAGCTGTGTGATCTGATACGTATCACGATACCTTGTTTACGATCCGATATGTATCACGATACTGGTCTGTGCTCTTATCTGTATTGTGTAAGCATCTTTTTAATAGACAGGATAGTCAAATATGTGACACACTGATAATTCACAGTTGGCAGTGTCAAGTATGGCAAAATGGATAAAAATATTTACTTTTTTACAACTGATTTTCACTACTAATTAGTGTTTGGTGTAACAGTAAATCAATATTTTTTACTTCATGTGCGATTGTGATCGGTACTTGTATCGAAAAGTAAAATATTGCGATCCACCAATTGGTGTATTGTCCCTCCACTATTGAAAAATTGATCATGCGTTTTCATTGTGTGTCAGCATATGAAGTATTCTGATGTGTCAGTTTCAACTGTTACCTCTCGGGTCCAGCAGAGCTCTCAGACCTTGCACATGAAGGTGTGCCTGCTTTTTGCAACTGTGGCTTAAAGAGTCCTGTTCCAGAGGTGGGTGGTGGGTAGGGCAGTTGGGAGATTGTTTGTCTATCGGCCCTGGGTTTTAACCCTTTATGGTTACATTTCTGTGAGGCCTTCGCTGTTAACAGTCAACAGAAAATAATGAGAGCTCCCTAACTTATTATATTTCACTTCATGTAGAATTGTGTAATAATTAAAGGAAGGTAGGTTACCTATACAAATGTTTTAAAACGAGCTACAGAAGAGCTAGGAAAGGGAATTAACTCCTTCTGATAGGTGTCGTTTTTTATTTTTATTCTGCCAAAGTAAAGTTGTTGACCAAAATATGTCACTTAAAATTAGAACAGAACGGGACATACAGATTTTCATTATATCTGAGTCTTCATGAAAGTTCAATTTGTGTGTACATTCATGAAGTGTTTTGGGGCGGTCGGGTAGCCTAGTGGTTAAAGCGTTCGCTCGTCACGCTGAAGACCCGGGTTCGATTCCCGACATGGGTACAATGTGTGAAGCCCATTTCTGGTGTCCCCCGCCGTGATGTTGCTGGAATATTGCTAAAAGCGGCGTAAAACCATACTCACTCACTCACTCACTCATGAAGTGTTTTATGAGGAAAGTTCAGGTCGGTTCTAATGACTTCATTAGTAATGTCTGAATGGATCAAACAATCTTGTTTATTATGAGCATTTTAGGTTACTCATTGTCTTCTCTCTGGCGGGTGTAACAAACAATTATATGAAGGTTTTGGGTGATGGTATTTGCCATGTTTTGCCACTTGGACATATCCAGGTTTTGTGGTGTATTCTTGGTGTGTAGTTATAGTAGTTAGACATTACACTTTTCATGTTTGTGTTCTAGTTTCTGCAAGGAGCACCAGCTGTCACATGGAAAGGTCACCAGGTCAAAGGTCATACTCATAGTCAGTGATTATGTGCACATTTTGTTGTTACACAGATGTTTACTTGTATTTTGGTTATAATGGACATAAGACCTTTGACCTGCAGTTCCTATTTTCTAGCTGCAGTTATGTAACTACGATCATCTAGTCAATTATTCATTTAATCTGGGTTGATGTACACACACTAAGTATTTTCTCAACTTTATACATAGAAAATTCCAGAGAATCACGATTTTTGTCGTGACTCTGACATTGATGAAAACAGTTTATGTTTTTGGGAACAGTTGTCGACAAGCTGATATGAGCTAAGAATCTCGGTGGGGAATTTCTGAATTTCCAAATTGCCAGTACTGTCCAGGTGACCTCTTGTTTTTGCGGCTTTTCGGCGGTAGAGAAGGCAGGGAATCTGTCAATTGCCTACCCAGCGTAGGCACCAGGACTATTATGTTCAAAGTCCTTTTGTGCGTTTCATTTATATTTCCCAAGTACACGAAAAGCGGGGTTCTGTCGTTGGAAATAAAAATACACATCAAGAGGCCACCCTGATTGAGAAAATCAGCCTCATTATTGTTCAACATGTTCCATGTGTAATAAAGTAGTGTGTGCGCCAGCAAGCCAACCAACTCAGATTATTGACTAACAACACCAGCTATGAAGCCATTTTCATAGTGTTGTCACATTCAGGGGACACTTTGTCTTAATTCAGGGTACATGACTGCAGCTAGAAGCGAGTCCAGATGTAACACCATGGTGTACAGCAGTAACACACGCAAGCTTTACATGATCACCCTTTGTGTGTGAAACGCAGCGGCATCATCAGTAGGGCTATACTAGTTTTAACAACGTGATGAGGAGTGGCTGCAGGCTTTCTGAGGTGCCACTCTGGTTTGTGTACATACGGTGTGTTTTTACGATGTCTTTCAGAGCTTAGACAGGGAACAGTCTGCCAACGTATAGATCTGGGTTTTAGAGCAGATGCGATATATGTTCTCTAGAAAGGGCTACCAACGTGTTCCGTAGTCAAGGTGTTCATCCCACATGTGTTGGAGGACTTGTCTGAGGGGTCCTGCGTCAAACTGTCTATTCTACCTCAGAGAGATAACTTGAGGCTTGTAGAATATCAAAAATCGGTGGAAAGAAAATGTACATATCTCCGTTTCATAATTTAGTATATAAGAAAAACCAGTTTTTTTTCATTCAGGTATACTGTCAATTCAAAAGTTAGATACTTTTTTTCAAAATATAATTGGAAAGTAAAAATCAAATGACAGTAGAATTTTGGAATTTGTTTTTTATATCCGAAGATAATTAACCTAGTCATTATGGACAAACCTCTAGATGGACAAGAAAATTGTCTTAACTTTAATTGAAAGGTTGGCCTCACTTTGATTCTCCATGTTTACATGTTTATATGTATTTATCAGGGGAAGACATTTGTTCCATGTGAGAATGTCTTGTCTGGTACAGTGTTGATGCAGGAGGTTCTCACACTCGTCCCCATCATGGATCCTGAGACCGAGTTTCATCTGTCATTGAGAATGGTGGCCTCACCCACAAGGGATCACTTTTAAAGATGTAAATTATTGATGGATATCACATGCATGCTATATAGACCGATATCACATGCATGTAATACCAAGTGATATCCCACTGCAATATGTGGGGAGAGTGGTACGAAGAGTCTTTCATCATTACATTGCCAGCAACCATCACGCCAAGTGCCAAGCGAGTTGAGATCGTTGAGTCATGTCTTGCCAGATCACATGACCCTCGATACATTGTTCAATTGTTATCAAATCAAGCAAGTCAACTGTTACTATTTAAGAAGAGAAGATGGGGTGCTTGAAGGATGTTTTAAGTGTATGAATGGCTGTACACAACGTCAATAAAAGCTTGCATCTGTGCTCCAGTACTGATTTCTGTCTTGCTTTCAATAGTTGCCTTACCATCATTCAAGAAAACATTACCATTTTGGAAGTCCAAAATATCAGGTTGTTGAAGTAATTAAGATGAATTGTGTTTCATGCCATAGTTCTGCTCTGCCTGGAAACTAAAATCAGTCTGAGAAAACCACACCCAATAGTGCTAAATTACTGTCAAAAATGCTAGAAAACTGCTTTTTTGGCTTAATGTAATAAATACGAGTCATAGGACTGTAAAAAGAGCATACCGTATTCGACGTAATAAGCGCCCCGCTCAAATAAGCGCCCACGGCGATATTTGCTAATATATTGGCAAGTGAACAATCCCAATTAGAACCCCTTCCAACTGATCAATGTACACAAGACTTATTTATTCGCCTATAATACACACTCGTGTGTTGTATGCACCCTTAATTATGGTCAATTTAATTCTGGAAAAATATATCTGTCGTACATAAACATTTCAGGCTGTCAGCATAAACCACGAAATTAATCTTTCAACTCTATTTTTTTCACCAAAATAATATTCTAATAACAGCCCCCTATTCCTAATTTTGAGAGCGCCCTGGGCGCTTATTAGGTCGAATACGGTATATCAAAATAACGCGAATTGACCTGATCTAGCCTGTCCTATCTGACAATGTGATTACCCTTAAAATGTACTTTTACAGGTACAATGATGATAAACTGAAAAAATATTCGTGTGTTGTCATGCAAGTATGAAATGGCCTGCAACCTGAGGTAATTACCTCACACCGTCCCGTGCATTCTCCCAAGTGCAAATGTCACTGAGTTGGTCTCAAAATATTGCTGTTATTATACCTAATTGACATGCGTTGATGGGGTAGCAATTTAGGATATATACTGCATTATAAGTCGCGAAGTATTTGTTGTTCTAGAGATGGTTTATTGAGGCAGCATTTATCTCCGCAGATTACGTATGTGAATCTGTAATTTTGAATGTTGTGTTACACTTAGCCAAGATGGGCACAACAGGGTTAAGCTCACAATGTCTGACTGGCGTACGTGAGACAACGTAACCGTGTTGTTCTGCCAGCATGCATCTTGTACTTTACTGGCTTCTTGTTCAGCCGAATTTTCTCCACGAGTTGAACTTTCATTTCATATGGTCTGAAGTCGACAATGTCATATATTCCTGTATGGTTGCCTTCGGACTACTCATGGTTTGGGCGACAGTATCTGATTCCCAGACGTTATATTAACTGGCGTTACCCATGACAATAACATTGGCGTTGTTTAAAATGGGCAATAGCGGAAGTTCCAACCAGTCTAGGAACACATCACCTCCTATCATTTCTTTTTGAAAATCACCAGTTTTCTTTTTTGCCTCGAAAACTAGCACACATCCATCAATAAGCCCCATATCATAGGTTGCGTTGTGCAAAACAATGACACATTTACCTTTACCTGATGGTACCATGGGTGCTTTTTGTCCATCTGCCGACAGCCACGTGTAGTCGGTGGAATGATTCACAAAAGTAAATTATCTGGACGCCCTGACTGATAGTTATGAATGGTTCGGAGATAATGTGACCTCATAGACAGGATTGAATATTTTCCCCTGAAAAGTGCTCCGCCATCGACACGTGCAGTGTATCATAATCCCATCTCTTGGAGAGTTAGTGCAGTCCGGGAAACATTAATTGGATCTTTAATTCCTCTAAAATTCTACTACAAGTCAGGGTTACCTTCCGCTCAAAAAGCTTGTACACTATACGCCTAATCACCCTGTAACAAAGCTGTCTAATATCCTTTTACTTCCGAGTTTTGTTTTTTAGACCACCCTTATACTTGTTTTGTTTTCTTATACCGTAGACTTGATGGTATGAATTGAAAACCCCATAGTTTGGGCAGTTCGGTAAATCACCCTATCTAAATAAATAAATGGTTTCCCCCTATCTCTCTAAATTGTAAAGAACTTTTCCCAGTACAGACTCCATATCGTGTACCATGGTTATGGCTATGCAAGTGTAATGTAACAAGCATCATGGGAGCACGTCATTTTGTCAATTTAGAAGATGCACATCTAGAATTTTCTGAAAAATGATTTTTGTGTGTGGATTAGATGTTTTATGAGTCATGTGCACATATTTCTATAGTCCGTTTCACACTGTCATGATTGGACTTAGAATAAATGTAAACTTGTGTTTTCATACGAATCTGTCTCCTGTCAACTTGTTGATAAGGCTCCTTGTGACTGAAATACTTCAAACCACAGGTAGGGCGATCGGTAGTTACTCGATATTTCAATAACATCAGTCTGTGCAGTTTTCTAGCATTTCCGACAGTACTTTAGCCTGGGATCAATGCTCAGCAGTGTCCATTTTCAGCGTTAGAAATTGGCACAAGTCCTGTAGTCCTTGCAAAACTGTCAAATAGTTAAGATATCCTAAGGACTAATAGAAATTTACCCTGTTTAAGGGTTTTGCCATATGTTATATTAACAAGTGGACTAGAACTGTTAGTTTCTAACGCTGATTTTAGTACTCCTTTAAGTATTGAGGTGCTAGGGGACTGTTTTTCTCGAGTCTGGATGTAAAGAAAACAGTCTTCCCCTGTGAATGCATCCTCCAGGTGTACCTGAAACCTACGATGGTGTGTTCGAATTCCCCGATATTGTTTCTTGGTGTGATTGTGGGCTTCAACAAGGTCAAAAGTTGAACCACTTCAGGTTTTCCTACCAGGGTTTATACCTGAAATACTGTACAAAATACCATTAAACCCAATTCCCTCACTAGTGCAGTTAATGCATTTGCCCAAACAAGTATGTTGCGTCCAATTGAATGTGACCTTATTTCAGTATTTAATACAACACCCTGTCAAGCAGCTGTCATCAGCCACATGGTAAAGCTGAAGAAAGAGCAGCCCTTTTATTCAAATCACAATGCCACTTGTTTTATGCCTATATTAGCCAGCAAGTACAGTTTTCCACATATTCCAGCAATATCAAACATTGCATCCCTGCGGGGATAAAAAAAAAGGGTCTTCAACTTCATGGGCAAGCACTTTAACCTCAATGCTGCCCAGCCACCCCTTTTGCCTCCATTAAGTTTATGATCTGTATGACACTATTAGAGGTTCTGACTGTTCGAATAGAGTGTCAAATGAGTAGCTGTGATGCAAATATACACAAAACTTTCTAATAGTCCCAGGGCAAAGGTGGCCCTGTCATCTAACACGCCGCAATTTGCCGTGCAGAGATGTGTTTCTTTGACATACCAGAAACCTATGACTGTGGGTTCGAATCCTGGTTCGCCACAATACCAATGCTCATGGGTTTCATCAAAGTCATCACATCAGGCCTGCATCTCTTTGGGCTTTCCTCCCACATTAAGCTGACATGCCGTGATATAACTGGAATACTGTTCAAAGCCAACTCACTTACTCTTATCAGTCTCAAGTGTTTTTGTGAAATTACTGAATCAGAGCTACTGTCACGTATTCAATCCGAAATGCCAACATCAGTATTTGAAAACAGACAACAGGTAAATGTGAGATGACACACCGCTTTATTCACAGTTTGCCATCTTCCTACAGCATGCACTCCATCTTCCACATCAGCATAAGAATATATACAATATGAATAGCTTGCAAAACTACTTGGAACAGGACTTGTTTGGATGATGATGATTAATGTCCATTGAAAACAAGATTCCAAGTCATTTCTTGTACACACCAACCAGAATATTCATGCCAGAATACACTCACGGGACAGTTTACAGCTTGATCAGGATCATGAATATGATGTGTATTAACCTTCAGGGAAATATTCGGTTATTACACCATGAATGAATATGAATGTACTTCTTGGTGAAATGATATCGTCAATATCTCGAATTGTGTGCAAATCTTTGTTTAGTTTTAACAACAGATTTTTTCATTAATCATAAACTGAGCAAAAAAAAGTTAGGGATAATGAATATGGGAACATATTTTATGAAACTGAGTCCCCCGAAATATGTATGATCCCTTACTATATTTGTTCAGTATACATAAACGTCTTTGGTGAAGATGTAACATCTTTTGTCTTCATGCAGCTCTGTTACTGGCAGACACAAACATCAGCGAGACATGATGCACAATTGATGTATGAAATTCTGCTGCTGATGTTTCACTCATGTCACCTTAATCTCACTTTGCGACCTTCGTCAACATTGACAGTAATGGGGGAATTGTCGTCTTCACAGGGGAGGTAAGTCTGTCATATTGCTTTCCTGTGGTACTCAGGAGGGGCCACAAAAAAATCATTCAGACTGAATAATGTCGACGAGTTTTTGTGTAGGTATCTGGAAAACAGAATTTAAAAGATTGAAACAAATTAACTCTCAAAAATACAAATGTTTATGGTATTTTATGACCGAATCAGTGCTTGAGAATGATGCCACGTAAACTACCACATCCACACTGAAACACACTTTTCAAACACATTCTATGTTTGCATATACCCTGCACTATCTAATTTCAATGTCCTACTCCTTAGCAGCAGATCCAGGATTGAAAATGAGGGGTTCATGATGTGAAGAGAGGTGAATGGGATTTCACATTGCGGTCAAGATTATTTCACTCACACAACATACATCACTGCCCGACTACATGTGACTGGCTGCTTGTACCATTCAGGACTTATACTGGTTTTATAGTGCCAACCCACAGTTACTATGCCACAGATGAACATGGACAACTCAAGATGCATCTCTTGTTTTATTCCCTTCATGCCGAGCGCCAGGCAGAGTAACAACAAGTACCATCTTTTGATATGATGCAGCCAGGGAATTGAACCCCAACCTTCCGCCCTCATTCATGAAAGGAACAAAAACACATGATGAGATGATAGGTACAGGTTGCCATGTAAGGTATCTTAGGTTTCGCATACCCCCCCGATCAACGAGTGCCCTAATCTCCAACTTAACCCCCCTAGATCCACCAGTGCCCTAGTCTTCAACTTAACCCCTAGATCCACCAGTGCCCTAGTCTCCAACTTAACCCCCAGATCCACCAGTGCCCTAGTCTCAAACTTAACCCCCTAGATCCACCAGTGCCCTAGTCTCCAACCTAACCCCCCGATCCACCAGTGCCCTAGTCTCCAACTTAACCCCCAGATCCACCAGTGCCCTAGTCTCCAACTTAACCCCCCGATCCACCAGTGCCCTAGTCTCCAACTTAACCCCCAGATCCACCAGTGCCCTAGTCTCAAACTTAACCCCCAGATCCACCAGTGCCCTAGTCTCCAACCTAACCCCCAGATCCACCAGTGCCCTAGTCTCAAACTTAACCCCCTAGATCCACCAGTGCCCTAGTCTCCAACTTAACCCCCTAGATCCACCAGTGCCCTAGTCTCTCACTTAACCCCCAGATCCACCAGTGCCCTAGTCTCTCACTTAACCCCTAGATCCACCAGTGCCCTAGTCTCCAACTTAACCCCCTAGATCCACCAGTGCCCTAGTCTCCAACCTAACCCCCCGATCCACCAGTGCCCTAGTCTCCAACTTAACCCCCCGATCCACCAGTGCCCTAGTCTCCAACTTAACCCCCAGATCCACTAGTGCCCTAGTCTCCAACTTAACCCCTAGATCCACCAGTGCCCTAGTCTCTCACTAAACCCCTAGATCCACCAGTGCCCTAGTCTCCAACTTAACCCCCTAGATCCACCAGTGCCCTAGTCTCCAACCTAACCCCCCGATCCACCAGTGCCCTAGTCTCCAACTTAACCCCCCGATCCACCAGTGCCCTAGTCTCCAACTTAACCCCCAGATCCACCAGTGCCCTAGTCTCCAACTTAACCCCCAGATCCACCAGTGCCCTAGTCTCTCACTTAACCCCTAGATCCACCAGTGCCCTAGACTCTCACTTAACCCCTAGATCCACCAGTGCCCTAGTCTCCAACTTAACCCCCTAGATCCACCAGTGCCCTAGTCTCCAACTAAACCCCCAGATCCACCAGTGCCCTAGTCTCCAACTTATCCCCCCAGATCCACCAGTGCCCTAGTCTCAAACTTAACCCCCTAGATCCATCAGTGCCCTAGTCTCCAACCTAACCCCCCAATCCACCAGTGCCCTAGTCTCCAACTTACCACCCCCCACCCCGATCCACCAGTGCCCTAGTCTCAAACTTACCCCCCTCTTGATCATCCAGTGCCCTAGTCTCCAACTTAACCCCTAGATCCACCAGTGCCCTAGTCTCCAACTTAACCCCTAGATCCAACAGTGCCCTAGTCTCCAACTTAACCCCTAGATCCACCAGTGCCCTAGTCACCAACTTAACCCCTGGATCCACCAGTGCCCTAGTCTCCAACCTCCCCCCGATCCACCAGTGCCCTAGCCTCCAACTTAACCCCCAGATCCACCAGTGCCCTAGTCTCCAACTTAACCCCCAGATCCACCAGTGCCCTAGTCTCCAACTTAACCCCCAGATCCACCAGTGCCCTAGTCTCTCACTTAACCCCTAGATCCACCAGTGCCCTAGTCTCTCACTTAACCCCTAGATCCACCAGTGCCCTAGTCTCCAACTTAACCCCCTAGATCCACCAGTGCCCTAGTCTCCAACTAAACCCCCAGATCCACCAGTGCCCTAGTCTCCAACTTATCCCCCCAGATCCACCAGTGCCCTAGTCTCAAACTTAACCCCCTAGATCCATCAGTGCCCTAGTCTCCAACCTAACCCCCCAATCCACCAGTGCCCTAGTCTCCAACTTACCACCCCCCACCCCGATCCACCAGTGCCCTAGTCTCAAACTTACCCCCCTCTTGATCATCCAGTGCCCTAGTCTCCAACTTAACCCCTAGATCCACCAGTGCCCTAGTCTCCAACTTAACCCCTAGATCCAACAGTGCCCTAGTCTCCAACTTAACCCCTAGATCCACCAGTGCCCTAGTCACCAACTTAACCCCTGGATCCACCAGTGCCCTAGTCTCCAACCTCCCCCCGATCCACCAGTGCCCTAGCCTCCAACTTAACCCCCAGATCCACCAGTGCCCTAGTCTCCAACTTAACCCCCAGATCCACCAGTGCCCTAGTCTCTCACTTAACCCCTAGATCCACCAGTGCCCTAGTCTCTCACTTAACCCCTAGATCCACCAGTGCCCTAGTCTCCAACTTAACCCCCTAGATCCACCAGTGCCCTAGTCTCCAACTAAACCCCCAGATCCACCAGTGCCCTAGTCTCCAACTTATCCCCCCAGATCCACCAGTGCCCTAGTCTCAAACTTAACCCCCTAGATCCATCAGTGCCCTAGTCTCCAACCTAACCCCCCAATCCACCAGTGCCCTAGTCTCCAACTTACCACCCCCCACCACCAGTGCCCTAGTCTCCAACTTACCCCCCCTCTTTATCATCCAGTGCCCTAGTCTCCAACTTAACCCCTAGATCCACCAGTGCCCTAGTCTCCAACTTAACCCCTAGATCCAACAGTGCCCTAGTCTCCAACTTAACCCCTAGATCCACCAGTGCCCTAGTCACCAACTTAACCCCTGGATCCACCAGTGCCCTAGTCTCCAACCTCCCCCCGATCCACCAGTGCCCTAGTCTCCAACTTACCCCCCGATCCACCAGTGCCCTAGCCTCCAACACTAGCCCAAGCCCACCCTGGTCAATTCTGTTCCACTTGATCACCTGATAATCATAAGAATAGCCCATATGTTCATATTAAAATAGAAAACTTTCTGGGGAGAAAATCTGAAAGGTTGAAATGTCCTTTTTTACCCTAAACAACATTAACATAGCCATTTTACACCACATCCTCACCCTAAGGTATGCTCATGGGGCTACTTCTTTCTTGTGATTTACTTGAGGAGTGTTAGTTAAAATTTAACGTCACATCGACAATATTTCAGCCATATCCTGACGAGAGAAAGTACTACATTCAAAATAAATATATTTAGACTATAAAAACCTGTCGTGGAAAGACAGTAAAATAACTAGACTTATCACAGATTTTATTTAAACCTAGCATAGAACCATAAACATATATCACCATACCTAGTGCCTGGTCACCATACCTAACAATACATGATAAAAACAAGCTGTAGATCCTCAGCTACAGAAGGTAGATCCCCATACTAGGGACCGAGGGGACTTACAGTACCTTTGCTACCTGCATTGACCCCAGCAGGATTAACACCATCCCTTCATTCGCCAACAATTGTACATAATAAGCCACAATTAAAATGACAAATATGCAATGTATAAAAGCGTAGGAGATGGAAACTTTCTTTGAATGACAGGGACATATGATACCCTCTCAGGACTTACTTGAGGAAGTCATGGATGTGGGTGAGGAGAAGCTGCACACTCTTCTCATCCAGCGCCGTGTAGGCCAGCATCCCTCCCAGCTTCACTGAAAACACACGTCCAGTGTTACATGCATACTTCACATACACTGCCACTGAGTCATCAAGGACTCCAAACTAACTGCCCTTGGCAAATAAAATAGGGAAAACCATCATTTTGTTCATAATTGGAACTTTCTGAAAGGTCCTTATTTTCTTGAATTCGGTGCCAAAATGTAAAACTGAACATTAAAGTTGCCTCTAGCTATTTGTAGTCTTGTCAGGGAAATGCAAGTCACCTCTGCCAAAGCTATGACATTAGTCACTATAATAATGACATAACGTGGCAATACACATACACTTTATGTAATGTATTTGGGAATTTGTACTGACAATTGCTTCAGACTTGTGGGTGAATATCAGCCTCTGAGTAGGTCCAGATAAATCCCTGACTGCATTACCTTAATATAAAGTGATGCTTAATGGTAGCACATCTGATGTTGCCGGAGACTAAACATGACAACTGGAGGTATGAAATGTTCAAATGTGTGTACAGTTTACAGAGAGTGAGTGAGTTGGGTTTAAAGCCACTTTTAACAGTATTCCAGTTATATCACGGTGTGTCAGCTTAATGTGGGAGGAAAGATCGAAGTGACGTTTACCACTTCAGGTGAAACCCACGAGCACAGGTATGGTGCTGACAAACCTAGAAACCTTGAACCCACAATCATAGGATTCTGGCGTGCCCAAGGGATGCAACTCTGCAAAGCGAATCGTGGCGCCTAAGATAACTAGGCCACCCGTGCCACCTGTGTACAGTTTACTGACGTTTGCAGGAGGACATTAGAGTGAAGAACATGTGCTCATTCCTTTGTTTGTTTCCTATTGGTTGTGTCACCACATTCATATGAAAGAAATTAAGGAAGTGGTTTCATCACTGATATCATATGATGTAATATCTTTGCAAAAATTTATTACAATATTTTTGTGTTAAATTGCAAGACTGGGTGCCGTTGTACAAAACAACCTAGCGCTACGACTGTCATAAGTCTATGTTAATTAAGGTATGGTAGTTACGATCACCTTGGCGCTAAGATCGCTTTGTACAACGGCACCCAGATCAACAATTCTACGTACCGAACAAGCGTAGAAGATGCACAGCTCCATAGATGCTGCACATAGTGGAGTCACCCTTTTCTGATAAAATCTGGGGACAAGAGACAATCAGTGCTATTCAGTCAATCAACAGAAGTTATTTGAAGCTCGCTTTCTTTTTGAATAACCTAAGTAATTGTTTCTGGTTTCATCACTCAGTGTACAATGAGGCATTTAAGACCAAAACCTGATCCTGCTGTTACACATAAACCAATCAAATTATTCAACATATCCAGTGTACATGGTCAATCTTATTAAAATCAGATCTTAGTTTTTGCTACCGCTAAAGAAAGATCATGAAACCTTGAAAAGGTTAACATTGGGTATCCCAAACGACTGATTTCAGGCACGGATTGTACAACTGATTAAGTCAAAATCATCATCTATCTCTTGCTCAATGAGATAAACATTTGACCAGAAGAGACTTTGCATAGCCCGTGGAAATCCTGCCATACAGTCTCGGCCATCTTTTAGACATTCCTGAATATTCTTGTGTTCAGTTTTCAAATTATGAATCAAAAACTTTGTCCAAATATTGTTCAAAGCGTAGTGTGGCTTGTATGTAGCTTGTTTGAAATTTGTGCAGTATAACTTGAGAAAGCAGCCTTTTCATTGGCTAACGTTGACTTCGTGTCAGTCATTTCATTGGTTGGTCAAGGTTCGCAAAAAGGACTGATGTGACCAGTAATGGGATGTCCTGAGATCATTGTTTATCGGTAGTAAAAACTTTAGACCTGAATTAAATGACATTGTGTACATGGTGTGAGTAGCGTTATTAGATGATTTCTGTCAGTCAGGGGACTTGTTTCCATTCTGAGCATGTTTGCAATTGATTAGCCAGTACATTAATAAAGCAATTAAACTACATATTGTGAAGATATAACACATGGACATTGCTATTTACCTCTCCATATTGTGGTCTCTCGAACTTGTAGAGCAGCTGTGTGCCCAGCATGACATTGAAGTACTCCTGGATACCATGGGACATTTCAATCACAGCGTCTCTGTACAACAGAGGAAACAAGTGATTTGAAACCTCTCATTGACCAATGAGAAGCAGGTATTTTCCAAAGTCGTCAATGGTCATGGCCACAGCTACATGTACCAGCAAAATATAGCAGAGTGCAAAAATCTTCAGTCGATTGTAATTGTTCAGTAACAATGTTAATGACAAAGTGAGTGGGGAGGAATTTTTAGCAATGTTTCAGCAAAATCAACCCATGAATGGCTATCACACACTGCCCATGTAAAGAAAATTGAAGTTTAAGCCCTGAGCAGCCAAGCCAATAGCCATTTGTGTGGGCATGAATGCGACCCAGTACCACGTGGTGCAAGTTGGTATCATGTCCTACACAATACATCAACCAGGTTTTGTGAATAGAATTTGTATCCTAATGTCTCCTTGGTATCCTAAAGTCTCCTTCACTCTTCCAATTGTGCGTTAGTATTAACATGATCATTTATGAAAAACATTTCAAGTGAATTAATGAATGAATGTTGTTTAATGGCATAGTCAAACGTGTTCCAGCTTTATAAAAATCAATGAAGGAACTGAGATTAAGACGTTATATTAGATCTCCCAATACAATGCAAGCTCTAAGACAGAGCACAAAACATTTCTTCCATAAAAATTTATTTGTATTTGTATTTGGTTGTTATTACTTAGATCGTGCGAGAGATGAAACATATTTCAGGTTCAAAATTACCTTGCATTCTTTCTCGCTCTGCACATGCTGCCCCTTGTCAATACGAGCGGACAAATGGAGTTTTAGGGCTCGGTTAAAAGAGAAAACTTACTTGTTGGGGTTATTGGCCTTGGATGTTTTTGTCTTCACGTACTCATCCAAGATATTTTCAACTGTCTGCCTGGCTGGGAGGGTGACCAGCTGAAACACATGAGTATAGATGTTACATACAGCCTACATAGATGTTACATACAGCCTGTATAGATGTTACATACAGCCTGTATAGATGTTACATACAGCCTGTATAGATGTTACATACAGCCTGTATAGATGTTACATACAGCCTGTATAGATGTTACATACAGCCTACATAGATGTTACATACAGCCTGTATAGATGTTACATACAGCCTGTATAGATGTTACATACAGCCTGTATAGATGTTACATACAGCCTGTATAGATGTTACATACAGCCTGTATAGATGTTACATACAGCCTACATAGATGTTACATACAGCCTGTATAGATGTTACATACAGCCTACATAGATGTTACATACAGCCTGTATAGATGTTACATACAGCCTGTATAGATGTTACATACAGCCTGTATAGATGTTACATAAAGCCTGTATAGATGTTACATACAGCCTACATAGATGTTACATACAGCCTACATAGATGTTACATACAGCCTGTATAGATGTTACATACAGCCTACATAGATGTAACATACAGCCTGTATAGATGTTACATACAGCCTGTATAGATGTTACATACAGCCTACATAGATGTTACATACAGCCTACATAGATGTTACATACAGCCTGTATAGATGTTACATACAGCCTACATAGATGTTACATACTACATAGATGTTACATACAGCCTACATAGATGTTACATACAGCCTGTATAGATGTTACATACAGCCTGTATAGATGTTACATACAGCCTGTATAGATGTTACATACAGCCTGTATAGATGTTACATACAGCCTGTATAGATGTTACATACAGCCTACATAGATGTTACATACAGCCTGTATAGATGTTACATACAGCATGTATAGATGTTACATACAGCCTACATAGATGTTACATACAGCCTGTATAGATGTTACATGCAGCCTGTATAGATGTTACATACAGCCTACATAGATGTTACATACAGCCTACATAGATGTTACATACTACATAGATGTTACATACAGCCTGTATAGATGTTACATACAGCCTGTATAGATGTTACATACAGCCTGTATAGATGTTACATACAGCCTGTATAGATGTTACATACAGCCTGTATAGATGTTACATACAGCCTGTATAGATGTTACATACAGCCTATATAGATGTTACATACTACATAGATGTTACATACAGCCTACATAGATGTTACATACAGCCTACATAGATGTTACATACAGCCTATATAGATGTTACATACAGCCTGTATAGATGTTACATACAGCCTACATAGATGTTACATACAGCCTGTATAGATGTTACATACAGCCTACATAGATGTTACATACAGCATGTATAGATGTTACATACAGCCTGTATAGATGTTACATACAGCCTGTATAGATGTTACATACAGCCTGTATAGATGTTACATACAGCCTGTATAGATGTTACATACAGCCTGTATAGATGTTACATACAGCCTACATAGATGTTACATACAGCCTACATAGATGTTACATACTACATAGATGTTACATACAGCCTACATAGATGTTACATACAGCCTGTATAGATGTTACATACAACCTACATAGATGTTACATACTACATAGATGTTACATACAGCCTACATAGATGTTACATACAGCCTGTATAGATGTTACATACAGCCTGTATAGATGTTACATACAGCCTGTATAGATGTTACATACAGCCTACATAGATGTTACATACAGCCTACATAGATGTTACATACAGCCTGGATAGATGTTACATACAGCCTACATAGATGTTACATACAGCCTACATAGATGTTACATACAGCCTGTATAGATGTTACATACAGCCTGTATAGATGTTACATACAGCCTGTATAGATGTTACATACAGCCTGTATAGATGTTACATACAGCCTGTATAGATGTTACATACAGCATGTATAGATGTTACATGCAGCATGTATAGATGTTACATACAGCCTGTATAGATGTTACATACAGCCTGTATAGATGTTACATACAGCCTGTATAGATGTTACATACAGCCTGTATAGATGTTACATACAGCCTACATAGATGTTACATACAGCCTACATAGATGTTACATACAGCCTACATAGATGTTACATACAGCCTGTATAGATGTTACATACAGCCTGTATAGATGTTACATACAGCCTACATAGATGTTACATACAGCCTACATAGATGTTACATACAGCCTGTATAGATGTTACATACAGCCTGTATAGATGTTACATACAGCCTGTATAGATGTTACATACAGCCTGTATAGATGTTACATACAGCCTGTATAGATGTTACATACAGCCTGTATAGATGTTACATGCAGCATGTATAGATGTTACATACAGCCTGTATAGATGTTACATACAGCCTGTATAGATGTTACATACAGCCTGTATAGATGTTACATACAGCCTGTATAGATGTTACATACAGCCTGTATAGATGTTACATACAGCCTGTATAGATGTTACATGCAGCATGTATAGATGTTACATACAGCCTGTATAGATGTTACATACAGCCTGTATAGATGTTACATACAGCCTGTATAGATGTTACATACAGCCTATATAGCAGGATATGTCAAACCTTAGAACCTCTTCAGTACAGACTTCATTAATCAACTTGTTACAATGATGCATGTTATCTGATGTGCTTACCAAGTTTCATCGAGAAATATTGAATGGGTAATGCTCCGTAAAGTACTACTCCCTTAGACTTGCAAAAGAGTGAGTGAGTGAGTTGGGTTTTACGCCGCTTTTAGCAATATTCCAGCAATATCACGACGGGGGACACCAGAAATGGGCTTCACACACTGTACCCATGTCGAGAATCCAACCCGGGTCTTCGGTGTGACGAGCGAAGGCTTTAACCACTAGGCTACCCGACCGCCCCAGACTTGCAAAAGATCAAATTCTAAAATATCATGAACAGCAAAAGGCACCATTTCAGCACTTGCTTCATGTGCATAGTTTCACAAAGAAATAATGAACATTTTATGAGTTTTACACCAGAAACACACCCTACCCTCATCCGAACCCAAGTCCATCTTGTTGCCCATGAAATGAACATAAAACATAAAACTTCCAAACATTCCTGCATAGCAAAATGCACTAGATCTGTGAGTGAGTGAGGATGATTTTAAGCCACCAGCCATATGCATCACAATAAGTCAAGTACCAGGGGTGTTCAATTGTTATACCCAACTTGCCCTAAAAGTGAAAATAAAGTGCCTGGCAAGTGGGAACAATATCCTTTAATTTACCTTGGGCAAGTGCAATAATCGGCAGTGTCAACTTAGAAAATACATCAGTACCCATGTGGGGAATCGAACCCATGTCTGACAAGCTATCTCTTTAACCACTGATCTATCCATCATAGTTTTATGACACCCATGTCACGAGACAAAACTGGTTAGGTAGGCTGCTGCAACAACAAAACTAATCTCTTCACACATGACCAAGACATGCCTATCTGAGTTCTGACCATTTTCTGTCTAGTTATCAGGTCCCAGTCATCAACCAGCCATTGCTTCAGCTCCTCTGGGACGCGGATCTTCACCTCAATCTTTGACGTGAAGGACTCATCCTGGAACATTGGACAATTCAGTTTACAGGGAGATCAAAAGGCACATTGTGTTGGGGTGCAAAATAGGACACACTATCTCCATCTATTTCATACCTATGAAAGCTTAATTGGTGAGGATTGTGGGCGTCTGATGAGAATATAGGCTGACTAAATAGACCGGGTTGCGTTGATCAATGCTCATAATGCAAATCACTGGATTGTTGACAGACTTCCATCATATAGCTGGAATATTGCTGTGTGCAGCTGAACCAAACAATCAAGTGACTGACATCATGAGTATCTATCCACACAATTGGGATATGATGACATGCAATCAAACATGTTTCTGAGCCTGACGACATGATCCATTTAGTCAGCTCTTAGGCTGCTGGGGAACGGTATTCTTACTCAGAATCTACAGGGACGGGTTCTATAATACACCAGCCTTTTGGAAACATTACTAGCCAGTCGATAGTGTTGTTTCTAATGGAACCATTGAGATATCTGACATCGGATCATAGACACGCATGATAGCAAGAAAATATTTCTAAATTCTAATTTGTATTGACTTACCGATTCTACAGTGGCATCTGTTCTGGCTCTCTTTCTCTTTGGTTCCGGGGCAGGGGTTGGTATCTCTGCTTTAGGGGGGTCCACTGCGGGAGGAGGAGGGGGCGGTACAGGTGTGGACGTACCTGAAGGTGTGAGACAAATGCAATCCGTTCATCAAAACACTGAGTAGACTACCATTTAGTACTACAGCAGTTGCATATTCAGAGGCCATCTTCACAGAAAATGTGGATAGACATTATTAGACATGTCAAACGCATCTTAACATAAACTGCTTTAGTGAGTGTGGTTAAACACAGCTTTGAACAATGAGCGGACTGACTGACTTGAGTATGGTTTTACGCCGCTTTTAGCAATATTCCAGCAATATCACCAGAAATGGGCTTCACACATTGTACCCATGTCGGGAATCGAACCCGGGACATGGCGTGATGAGCAAACGCTTTAACCACAAGGCTACCCGACCGCCCCCATATGAGAGGAAGCCACCTGATGCAGGTCTTAGCTGCTTAGGGCCACCTGATCAACAGTAAATAGACTCAAACAGAGAAGCTTATTCATTCTGCCACTATTTCTTGTATTGAACTATCACTGCTGTAGGGGTGATCTCCCCATGTCAACAAATGAGCTTGCCCTATATCGACGGAAGAGCTTGTGATTGTGGACACACTCTAGATATGGTACTCATTTAGTAAACATGGTGTATGCATAGATCCCTTGGCAAGCTCAGAACTACTGTTTGTCTCCAAGTGAATGAGTACGGCTAACTCCGCCATCAGTGATATCAAGGTAGTCAGTAATATTCACACTATTATCAAGGTAGTTGGAAATATCCACACTATATCAGGGCAGTCGGTAATATCCGCACTATATCAAGGTAGTCGGTAATATCCACACTATATCAAGGCAGTTGGTAATATCCACACTATATCAAGGTAGTTGCTAATATCCATACTATATCACGACCTGTCTATGATATCCACACTATATCAAGGTAGTTGTTAATATCCACACTATATCAAGACCTGTCTATAATATCCACACTATATCAAGGTTGTTGTTAATATCCACACTATATCAAGACCTGTCTATAATATCCACACTATATCAAGGTAGTTGTTAATATCCACACTATATCAAGACCTGTCTATAATATCCACACTATATCAAGGTTGTTGTTAATATCCACACTATATCAAGGCAGTCTGTGATGTACCACTGCCTGTCTTTGCTGACATGAATATGATTGTTCTGTCTGAGATGAAATCACGAATGTTTTCGTTATCTGATCGACTACGTCGTTGCCTATGGTAGTTGCCATCTTTGTGAAGCGATACAAGATAAGAACAGCAATCTGATTGGATATCACGTTTTCATTACAAGGCGCACAACTCGTGATCTACGCGACACGACACCAGGGTCAAACCAAGTGAGTGAGTGAGTGAGTATGGTTTTACGCCGCTTTTAGCAATATTCCAGCAATATCACGGCGGGGGACACCAGAAATGGGCTTCACACATTGTACCCATGTCAGGAATCCAACCCAGGTCTTCGGCGTGACGAGCGAACGCTTTAACCACTAGGCTACCCGACCGCCCCAGGGTCAAACCAAGAAAAGTGCTCTTGATGTGGCAAGGGTAGAAACTAGGCTTTGATAGAGGATAGTGGAGGAAGATGCACTGTATCAAGGTAGGAGGTAAATATTAACACAATCTCGAGGCAGTCACAAACCCACCTACTGTATATATTCAATGCTTAGAGGTAGGATATGCAGTACCTGATGTTTGTTCTTTCCCTTCCTTGGCTGTGGTGTTATTGACCTTCTGTTTCTGTTTTTCATTGGAGGGTGTTGAGGCTCTCTCCTTGTCCTTGTCTTTATCCTTGTCCTTGTCTTTCTCTTGTTTCTTGGCCGTTTCTTTTTCCATCCGCTTTGCCGCTCGCAGCTTCTTGTTGGCAGCTCTGTGAACACCATCTCTCTTAGTGTATCATCTCAACATGTTTGCATCTAAGCTGACATAACACATGTTCGCAATGCACAGGCTCTGATAACATAGATTAACATGATTGCAATGAAAAGCAACTAAACTACGTGTCTGTTTGTTGCTGTGTGCAGCACTCAGCTATATTCCATCAATATGATGGTGGTCTGAAACAATCCATACTGGACCCGACAATCCAGTGATTGGCATGATGCACATTGATCTACACAATTGGGATACAATGACCTGAATCAACCAAGTCAGCGATTCTGACCACTCTATCCTGTTTGTCGCCTCATACTACAATCACAGGTTGCAGAGGACCAATGCTTACCCAAATCTTCACAGGGCCCTAAGATGCTTAAACAGTACTTTCATATTCACAATATAATGACAGTTGTCTCTGAGAAACTGAACTAACATGCTGTTCATATGTAAATTTCATAGGAATACCAAGAAGTCAAAAGTAAATAATTAATCTTTGCCATCAAATGTCAGTGTTCGACAAGGCAAGATCAGGAAGATTAGACTTGATACTGGTTTACTGGCAATAATCTTAAAAATGTGAATGAGCCGATAATACTAACTGGGATCAACTTAAAACTAACATCTGTCATCGTATCCCAATTGCGTGGATCGATGCTCATGATGTCAATCACTGGATTGTCTGGTCCAGACTCGATTATTTACAGACCGCCGTCATATAGCTGAGTGCGGCGTTAAACAACAAACAAACAAACAAAACAAAACTAATATCACAAATATGTATTGAAATATAAAGTGCATCACAAAGCCAGGTATGATGTTGTCCTGCACAAGGGAACAAACAAAAATATCAGCCTTTCAAGGCAACTAGCTGTTGATTTTATCATCCAAAACTGGCTCCCACAGGAGATATCGCTTGGGAGAGTAATGAGTAAATGTTACTTTAAGCCGCATCAGCAATATTCCAGCTATTCGCGGCTTCGGTTGGGAGAAATCAAACAGTATATCCAAGGAGATAAAATACACAAGGATGAGCTTCTCTATCTGTCTGTTGTTCTGATGGTGTTGGTTTGAAAGACTACACAGAATAGTCATGTTTCCAACATACCCATGAGCTTTTAATAATTCTTTCTGTTTCTGCAAACTAGCTTCATTGAATTTGAGAACTCGACTTTCAGGCACCCATTCGTCCCAGCTGAAAGAAAACCAGAGCGGTTGTAGTCATAATGATAAACATATCTTACTGATCTTTGCAATCCCTAGACACATCGCAGTAAATATAAAAGACATCCCGGAACTGAACTGAATTGTCCCTAGGCCATTTAGACAGTGTGAAGCATTCAAAGAACAGACAAAAAGGGACATTAAGAAAGCAGTTTGCGAAACGAACGGTAGACCGATGGCCCATGGCTATCAAAATTCTGATCGGTCTACAATGTGAGAAACCAAGCTTGACTGAGTGTCTATGATGATTAAATTGTTGGATCGGGTGGAATATCATAGCAGAAGTCTGCTTACGCATTATTACATTCAGACTTGTTTCATCTCATTGATTTGACAAAATCTATTCCCTTATCCAGCTTAAAATACAACAAGAAATATGTTTAAAAGGGTCTCTAATTCTTGCATTAAAATCTTTTCAAGGGATGCATGTCCCTGTGCTTCCTTTGAGGATTGAATGGTTTCGGATGTTGGGTGGCCCACACACAGACAGACACACAAATCTTGGCACAGTGATCTAGAAACCAATCTCATTAACATCAGATCTTAGTTCTTGCTACCGCTAAACAAAGATCTGAGGACATCCCATTAGGGGTCACATCAGAACAACCTTTCATTCGACCAATCAGAGCACCGCTTACCAGATCATGAAAGTGACAGTCGGAATGTGATTTAGAATCATGCAACCTCGAAAACTTAAACACAGGGTATTCTGAACGATAGTTACAGGCTTAACGACTGAATCCATACAATCTAGACCATCTATTAGCCATTCCAGAATGTTCTTTTGTTCAGGTTTCAATTTTTTTATTAAGAATTTGTCAAAATATGTTTCGAAGCGTAGTCGCCAATTTGAAACTAGTGCCATAAAGCATGAGAAAGCTACCTTCTGATTGGCTAATGTCAACTTCTTGTCAGTCATTCCATTGGTCGGTCAAAGTTTGCACAAGGTCGGTCTGAAGTGACCCGTAATGGGATGTCCTCTGATCTTTGTTTAGCGGTAGCGAGAACTAAGATCTGATTTTAATGACATTGTCTTGAAACAAGAATCAAATTGAAAATACACACAAAATATTCTTGTTTACAACAGAACTGGAAGCTTAGGCATGTTAACTATACATATATTCTGCTACTTCTAACTCACTTTTTGTTCCATCCGTTGTAATGGATGAAATAGCGGGTGATCTTCTCTTTTACTTCATACTTGACACACTGGAAGGAAACCAAGCATACATTTAACTGTCACTGAACACTGCACATACAGTGACTGCAAGACACTTAACCATGATTACTAGTTCAAGCAGCACACTATCGCCATAACCATGATAACAAGCAGATTTCCTGGAACCTCCAGAAATTGTAAAATAGTTGGCTTGAAGTTCAATCAGATATCAGCAAAATCATCTTGCAGAAAATTCATGAAAAATACTGCTCAAAAGAGTGAGTGAGTGAGTTGGGTTTAATGCCGCTTTTTTCCAGTTTTCCAGTTGTACCACAGCGTCTCAGCTTAATGAGGGAGGAAAGCCTGAAGTGATGCAGGTGTTAGACGCTTACCACTTAGGTGAAACCCACGAGAATGGGTATGGTGCTGGAAAACCCGGTAACATAATCGTGGCGAACTTGGATTCGAACCCACAATCACGGATTTCTGGCATGCCTAGGGGACGCAACTCTGCACAGAGAATCGTGGAGCCCTAGACTACTAGGTCACCTGTGCCCCCTGCTCAATAGAAGTTAAAGAAAACCCGATTTATTTCATATGGCTACAGTCAATCTGTCATGGTATGACAGATTAACGTTAGTCATATAAAAAAAAATCAGGTGTTCTTCAGAAGTTTCACTACTTTGGAGTAGTATATGACAAATTCAAGCATTTGACTTGAAAGGTAAAGTCAGGTCAGGTTTTGGGGATGTAGTAATGTGGTAATGTTTGTAATATAAACAGATGATAAACATACAATGATGACTGGTCAGATGCAATAAAAAAGTTGTTGGAGACTCAGCTATGTCAAGAGGGGAGTATTCCTCATCATGTTAATTTCTATGAATTCGGCAGCTGATCAGGCCTCTTTTATTAAATATATGTTTGACAAATATATCTCTTTCTTTCAAAATCGTGGACATTAAATAAAAAATAAACACATGAAAACATAGGAGCTGTTAGGTGACAAGGCCGCTTGGAGTATTGCTTTGTGTGACAACTGTAAGAGTTACTTCCCTTCCCATATTAACCTAGTTGTTATTGCTGAAACATTTACAGACACTGCAGTCAGAAAAGAAACTCTTCTTAAATTAAATGTCATTAAACAATGGTATTTATTGTGAAATGTTTGGTCATCTGATCTGTGAACTGACACCATGTAAAGAATTAAATGGAATTCATGTAAATAAAACATTCTTATCTTTGTGATGCCTTATAATAATGGCGCATGGGGTACCAGTCAAATCAGACCAGCTGAACAGGTCATAATGGACCATTGCTCTTGTTAAGCTGTGTGTGGGTGTTTGATGTTTACTGCTGTACACAGCATTACTCTAGCTTTATGATGGGGCCTGCAAATAATCAAATAACCATCTACACAGAGCTACAGATAAGCCGCATATTTGCGTAAAATACCCCACAAAACTATTCAAAACCCAATTACTTACATTAAACTTGCGTACAGAATAGCATGCATAAAATAAAAACTCAATTGTTTGAAAACAGCAGGCGTAAATACCCAATGAAGCTTTTCCAGCTACGTACAACGGAGCTACTTTACTTTCAAGCATATATTTAGAACCGTTATATACATTTCATTTTTTAAAATCTCAAAATGCTTACTGATCTTGGAAAAAAAAACAATAGAGGGATGAATAGAGGAGTGAAAAAAAATATTGGTTACCCAATGAAAAATGTAATAACCAAATTAAAAAAGAAACCTTCGAGTAAAAACTCAATTGCTCAAAAAGTTATTTGATTTACACATACATTAGCTGTAGGGTTGGCCATGCCCATGTTGCAAGTTCTTCTGTCTGCATGATTCTGTGTTTAAGTAATATGATTACCATGAGGGATTCTCAAGGAACATTTGGCATCATGATTGTAATATTCAATTAGTCATACAAACCTTAGCTTCATACAGGAGGGGTCCATGGAAGCACAGCACCTTTTCTCCTTTAAAAAACCAGAAAGCAATATTTTAATAATCTAAAATGAAGAGCCTCATGAACATCACCCAAAGTTCAACTCAGCCCTCTTAGTTACTGTCTTGCCCCATGCAGTGATGATTATCTACCATCCAGGACTGCACTCATGTTAATTAAGACAATACCAGTACGATGCTCTATTCTGAAAAAAAACAACAGTTAATGCATTTAAAATATATAAAATAGGTTGAAATGGCTTGTGTCTATAAATAGCTTGCAGTTCCAGAGTGAATTTCAAAGTGACACCCAAAAATAAGATATCCTGTCAAGATAAAATATCAAAGAAGGTTAATACATGGTATACAAATGCCCCTGAAGATGTGTTCATTGAGATTGCAAGGTGCAAAGATGTATGTTCAGTAGAACATGGATATACAAAATGCAACCGTAAATGTAGATATAGATAACGAGAATAAACCTTTCAAAAACGTTTTACGGTGACATAAGACCACATGAGTCGGAAATCAGAACGACCCGTTTAACATATGCCACTATATATCTCATTTGGGTTTATGAGTATTCACCTATCAAACTTTGTATCTGAACTTCTTAGGCACATAAATCAATTATTAAATTTACATGCATCCAAACGACTAGTGCCAAACAGTTTCATTAGTAACGCAGTTTCACGATGATTTTACACTTTGAGTTTGTGAACACTGCTCAACGAAGTTTAAACAACCCCCTCCAATATCGTGCACGAAAACTGGATGTCAATATCTTCGAAAGTTTATTCCACCATATTTTGTAAATTCAAGTACATTACCATCTTGGAACTTCATTTTGGGCGGCATTGTTGACTGCAAAATACGTTGTCCCCAACACTATGTCAACAAAATGTATAAATGTTGAACTTGTTGGTTTCTTTCTTTTCGATGCCGCCAAATGCATGTAGCGCACCTGTAAATATTGTGTCCTACGTCATCAATTTATGTGTACGTTTACTTGTCGGAACTCTTCGTTTTGTGCAATAAACTCGAAACGTACGGATATGCCCGAGACAAACCGATTGTTTGTTTGGGTTTTGGTCTCAGGTGAAACGGAAATGAGATAAATACCAGTAGGTAATATTTAATATATTAACCATTAATGTGATTAATTTTAATGCTCCTGAATTTTGTGTTATTTATCAAAATTAAGAGAATCACCTTTATACACATGACCCGTTGGTACATATTCAACTGTTGCAGACTAATGACAATAATGACAGCAAACTGTTGTGTGAACATATGATTGTAGTCCTTGATACTGTATATAGGCCTATATTTGATACAATAAGGTCTACAATAAACTATGGTTATAACATATATGATTGTAGTCCTTGATACTGTATATAGGCCTATATTTGATACAATAAGGTCTACAATAAACTATGGTTATAACATATATGATTGTAGTCCTTGATACTGTATATAGGCCTATATTTGATACAATAAGGTCTACAATAAACTATGGTTATAACGAACTCAAAGGGACTGCTAAGTTTAGGTCGTTATAACCGAAGTTTGTTAAAAGCATATTTACAGCATTTATACAGCAAATGGCCTGGACATAAACAACAGTTCGTTATATTCGTCAATTCGTATAGTTCACTGTATTTGCTGATTTAATGAGTGAGCAATGTTCAGTCGTTATCGCCTTGCTAAGTTTGGATATTTGTGACTCTGGGCATGCCTGGCAGTGCTGCCTCGGTAAAAGTTGACCTTAAAGGGGCACTGATCTAACGCAATTCCCCGGACTGGTTGTTATTGTTTTTGAGTACCCGGATGATACGCAACGCAACTGAGCGTGACCAGAGACTGGGCTACCGTCTGCAAGGACAGCTAAATAGACTTGGAGGCTTGAGGCAATATTAATTTTGTTTTACGCATTTTTGAACACTGATTGGTTAACTGTGATCTATAAAGATTTCGACAAAGGGCGCATGTTAATCAATTTCTTCAGCCTAAACAAACAGACAAAAAGAACGACGGAGCTCAACGGATGTCGTCATTTGGAATTACCCCAGATGGTTATAGTTTAATAATAAAAAAAAGTATCCATGCAGTGAATTGCGGATTGCGTCGATAATACGATTACTACTCCCTTGTTGTCATCCACGTTTTCTGGTATAACCTTACACTTGTGTATTTGCGGTCATTCACTTGATGCTCAGTTAATGAATTTATTACAGGTACAGTTAGTGGTAGCACCACTTAGATTACCTGACAAAGGTTCACATTTGGCATTTATTGTGTCTGGGGTAAATATTCAATCTAAATCCAGGTTTGAAGTGAGGTGAAATGTGTGTTATGTAATATGTACGTGGCAGCCCAGCAAGAGGTGAATGATCAGTTGATTTACTTTTTTTTGTAAATCAACGGATCCTTCCTAGTCATCAAAGGATTAACCGAAAATACGTTGATTGATTAATCACTGTTATCTTGCACGGTGGATATGTCAAAAGTGAGTGTTTACATGTCTAGGTTTACTAAAACAAAGGGAATACACTCATATCATGGCGTGAAGTGCCGATGTAAAAACAACATACTTTGTTCAAAGGGTTAACTGATAATACGTTGATTGATTGCTCATTGTTATCTATCACTCAATGTATTTTTTAGGAACCGTGGGCGTTATGAAAATAGTTGTCACATGGGCTTTCTCAGCCGACCCTTGAGACTTGACACCTATGTGAAAACCGTGAAACAATCTAAGTGATCAGTTGAGAAACGAACATGGGTTATTTATATCCCGAAACGATATATATCTTTTAAAATATTTGATTGTTACAAAGACACGTGACATCGAATAAGTTTCTTTGTACAGCTGCAGACGAGTGGGATATTGTTCCTTTGTGTGGATATTCACGGATACATTCCTTGAACAAGGAAGCTGCCTAAAATTTATACACATAAATTTGGTAGGTTGTAATTATGGTATTTGCATTTTGTTTTCCTTCATTTGCTGTAGCATTGAACCGATTCGTTCTTGTTCCTCTACGTCTTGGCTGGTAAATTCTTCAATGCGCGATAGACATTGTTTTCACAAGACTTTTCCTTTGTAAGCGTGTATATATTACCGTCAATTTGTAAAATGTGATTCTCTCAGGCAATTTATAAAATCTGTAAATATTTCAGTCATCTTGACTGAAAAATCTGTCCAGATTGTCTAAAATTGATTAAGAGGATCAAAAGGGCCTAAAAACATCACAACAGATTATTAAGTAGGATTAGAAGCCAAACAACATAGAAATGTACTTTCCAACGTAACATTTTCAGTCTCTTGGTGATGACATTAAACATCAAAATGTTTGGAATTTGTTATCATAATAATACAGATGGAAATGTTTTTCAGTCACTTTGTAAAATAACTGAATATTTAGACGTTTAATAAATTTTAAAATGTTACACATTTTTTCAGTAAAAAAATATACACACTATAAAAAAAGCAATGCTCAGGTGAAATATTTACTTTGTGTTGCAAGTCAAAATAGTGTAAACGAAAATCGCAAAATTACCAAGCAAGTGACTTATCAAAACTTCGTCACCATTACCGATGCTACCCACAAAGATACCTACATTTCCTTATTATCTTGAAAACTGTATTTCATTTTGTTGATCAATGTGACCATACGCCCTTATTACTACTGATAAAAGTGACTAATGCGCTTATGAATGGCGCAGCAGAGGTTGCGAACTAGTCTAGATTTCTGCTATACATCCGGGTACTCACTGGGAAAAAACAATAACAAAGGCAACAACCAGTCCCGGGGAATTGCTTTAGATCAGTGCCCCTTTAAGACAACAAGGAATTTTTAATTACTCAGGATTACATATGATCAATGTACTGACAAGTGCTAGTTCGACTTTATCAGCTGCAGAAAACTTGAACATGGCCGAACTAGAGCACGATTCTTTACTTCAGCGTTCTGGCTCCCAGCAGGGGGATCGGTCCTTGACAACATCTACTCCAAATGGGCCCCATCAAGAAGCTGCTACTTTAATTAGAAAGCTTAGAAATGCAAGAAATGGAACACAGGACACAAAATGCGGCGATGCAGAAGGAAATTTCAGTCGCCGAACACTAAGCAGCAAGTTACCGGAGCTGCCGCACATGTGCCCACTTTATGCTCAACAAAGAACATGTGGCGATGATAAGTGTTGGGGTGCAGCTATTCGAAACGTTCAATCTGCTGGATTTATGGAGACTGTCCCAACTACAGGATACGGCGGACGGACATACAGATCGGTGCGTGTGACAAGCTGGTGGTGGAGTCGGCTGGCCTGAGCGATGGTAAGAACCCAAGTAGCATGAAGTCGGGGAGAGACACTAAGCTCATGGATAGAGTCCATCATCCACAGCTCTGGCCACGTGCATTTCAGCCAACAGATTTTCAACAGAAATGTCAGCTAAGACAACCTGAGCGATGGTAAGAACCCTAGTAGCATGAAGTAGGGGAGAGACACCAAGCTGATGGATAGAGTCAATTGTCCACAGCTCTGGCCACATGTGCATTTCACCCTACAATTTGTCACGGAAATGTCAACTACGACGACCTGACCCCTCCCTCAGTTTGTTGCGGGTGATATGGATATTCTGGGACAGTTACCACCTGGAAGCCTGGAGTTGTTACACTGCATTAATCACCTCCAGGACCTTATGTACTAACCTTGTTCGTTTCCATGGACAGCATGCAGTACTGGACTTCCAAAGTGCCTTCATAATGGAAATCGAATGTGGATGCAGGGAGTGAGGCGAATCATTACATCATATGGACACGCACCTATTGTCAGAGAAACAGTCCATGGAGCACCCTGGAACCAGTGGGGATTGCCCACATTACCAGGAGGGACAGTTAAGACCCCGGGATAAAATCTCCTACCCTTGACTAACCCCTGGCTTTGCCTCCAACGTTCCTGTCATTACGGAATTGCCCATCCCATCTCATCGGGATTGTATTTACCCTGACAGCACACTAATCATCTCGACCTACACTGAAATGCCTGACATTGCCCAAGAATTCGCCAAACCAACGTTCTGTCTCACCATCCTTTATACAAAAGTGTGGCAGAACTGCTGTGTGTTTTGGCTTTCCAGTTGGATTCGATAAGGACTCTCCCCCCCCCCCAACGTGTAATAATGTCCGTGTATGTGCACATGCATAGTTGAACAGTGGTTGAGGTGGTAGATGTGGCCTGCAGAGGTGCAGCCTTAGCCGTGACAGAAGCTGAACCCCAGTTATGATCGTCCTATAACCGATTTGAAGGGTAAACATGGCACACATGCATGCCTTCACAACCTGCATACCTTCTGTCTTTCCTGCCACATCAAGCTGTGATATAACTTAATGACTTTTCAGGGCATCAATAAGTCCAACTTCAGCTTTATACATGGAAAATGAGTGAGTGAGTGAGTGAGTTGGGTTTAATGCCGCTTTTAACAGTATTCCAGTTATATCGCGGCGTGTCAGCTTAATGTGGGAGGAAAGCCCAAAGTGAGGCAGGTCTCAGACGTTTGTCAATTCGGTGAAACCCACGAGCACAGGTACAGTGCTGACAAACCTGTCTCACCTTAGTGAGTGAGTATGGTTTTACGCCGCTTTTAGCAATATTCCAGCAATATAATGGCGGGGGACACCAGAAATGGGCTTCACACATTGTACCCATGTCGGGAATCGAACCCGGGTCTTTGGCGTGACGAGTGAACGCTTTAACCACTAGGTTAACTGACCGCCCTCTTCTCACCTTAAGCTGACACACCATGATGTACCGGTAACTGAAAAACTGTTCAAATGTTTGTAATTATTTCCTTTCTTTTCTACAGTGTGCCTAGCATGCATACGTCATGGCAAACCAAAGATCTTTAAAGGGTGTGCCCAATGAGGACTTTCAGAAATGGCTGGATGGTGTATCAAAGAAGTTTCTGCTTCTCTCCAATGACCAAAGAAATGACACACTGGACAAACTGATATCATGCAGTGGACCTCACCAGCTGAATCACCTGTCAACCCGGTTACCTCAGCTTCTGTACCGGGATTACATCGGTCTTCTACCTCAGGAGGTGGGTCATGTTTACTCCCCTGAGGGGATTCAGGGTTAGAATGGGTGCCCCAACATATGATGGTTATAAGAGGCAACTTAATGGAACAGGTAGTCAGACTTGGTGACTCGGATGATGGCGTGTCCTCGTACCGGACGACATAGATCATTGGTCATAATATTAATCATAAAACAACAAAAACAAGCTCTCAGATTCATATCTATCATATCCCAATTGTACTCCCCATGGTATTGCAAAAGGCTGCAACTGGGGTTTGCAAACAAGTTCGCATTAAATTCCCTGTAGGTGATCAGATTAGTACTGCTACTAAAAGTGGAAAAGAAATATGTTTTAACATGGCAAGTTAACAAGAACATGGTAATTCATTGGAGATTTCTTTTTTTAGAAGAAATATTTTTATGCATATAATTCATCATTGCTGATTAACAGCTGTGATAAAATTTAGTATGTTTTACTTGCACGTTCTCAAGTATATTGGCATACCAGTCAACTCATGCATCTTGTGTCAGGTGTCAGACTCACATTCCCACGTATATTGACATACCAGTCAACATGGTCAACTCATGCGTCTTGTGTCAGACACACGTTCTCACGTATATTGACATACCAGTCAACATGGTCAACTCATGCGTCTTGTGTCAGACACACGTTCTCACGTATATTGACATACCAGTTAACATGGTCAACTCATGCGTCTTGTGTCAGACACACGTTCTCACGTATATTGACATACCAGTTAACATGGTCAACTCATGCGTCTTGCATCAGACACGTTCTCACTTATATTGGCATACCAGGTAACATGGTCAACTCATGCGTCTTGCATCAGAGACGTTCTCACGTATATTGACATACCAGTCAACATGGTCAACTCATGCGTCTTTCATCAGACACGTTCTCACGTATATTGGCATACCAGTTAACATGGTCAACTCATGTGTCTTGCATCAGAGACGTTCTCACGTATATTGACATACCAGTCAACATGGTCAACTCATGTGTCTTGCATCAGAGACGTTCTCACGTATATTGACATACCAGTAAACATGGTCAACTCATGCGTCTTGCATCACTCACAATCTCACGTAAATTGACATACCATTCAACTCATGTGTCTTGCATCAGACTCACGTTCTCACATAAATTGACATAACAGTCGACTCATGCATCAGCTCGTAAAATCCCATACAAGACTTATTTTTGGTGAAATAATTGTGTGTGACAATTAGATCTATCATGTGACCCTATCCAACTTGCAGCATGGTAACTCCAAGTGTGAACAGCGTCACCTGTGTAGTGACAGGGTCAAATCAAACATTATGACGTCATGATGCTTATACAAGCCAGACACCTGACTTGATGGGCTTTTATCAAATGGCGACAGACAGCCAAATTCTCTCACAAGTGATGATAATATCAATTACAGGGTGTCGTGATAATACTGATATGGCTGTAATACTGCTGACTCAGTGTAAACATGCAGAACAATATTCAGTCTGGCTCACTCTCCCACCAGGTGGCGTACCACATCCTGCAGTATCTGCCAGGACACACCCTTTTGGACTGCTGCACCGTCAGCCAGTCCTGGAACGCCATCCTCCAGGGGGCAGCACGTGTGTGGTGGATGAAGGCGATACAGCGAGGTGCTGGCGATGTGGTTTACTACGGTGGAGCAGCCAGGAAGTACATGATGCTGTATCAACAGGTGGAGAAGCTCCTTGACAACTTTGGCCGGGGGAGCTGCTTTGTAGATCAGTCACTGGAAGGGCACACCAACAGAGTGATGGCTGTTTGCTATAGAGATGGCAAAGTTGCTACAGGTACCGACCCGAATCCTCCTTTCATTGCATGCTCATATTCTACTAGATATTCTCTAGATGTATCCATGGAGATTCAGGGTAAGAATATAGGTCCCCAACAACCTTTGTAAGAGGCGACTAATTGGATTAGGTGGTCAACCTCGTTGACTACTAGGTTGATGTATGTCATTGTATCCCAGTTGTGTAGATCGATGGTTATGGTGTCAATCACTGGATTGTTTGGTCCAGAATCGATTATTTACAGACCATTGTACATCAGTTCAGACTTCTTATACCATTCAATGTATATTTTATATGTTTTGGATTGTGTGTGAGTGGGGTGATGTACTTCAGACATAATGGTGTCCACTATATACAGTAAAACCTTGTTGGTTTGTCCCCCAGTTTTCCATACAAGTAGTATAGTAATGTTTGCCATTGACAGTTGGTCATTGGTGGTATGCAGTGTGTTGGGTGCCATGAATTGTCTCACTTGACATACAACGTGATAAGCGTACATGAAAACACCCACAGAGATTGACATGGTTTATTTATGGACAGATCACATGAATACTAGGAATGAAAAAAACTCACAATCCACGTTGCTGCACTGGACAAAGTGCTTCATAACCGATAGTCAGTGGAGGTATATCCAACAGTAAGACACATCAAAACGAAACTATTTATCTTTTTGTTCTGTCACAATCAAATACCAATAGGAATGTCTTGTCTACGACATAATTCAGTAATGGTGATTCATTAATCCAGATTTGTTTTATCTTGACAATTTATGTGGGATTGCCAGGTTTTCACAGTAAGCATATGTAAGGCTGTCCCTATTTTTTTCTATTTTTCATCTCCCATCTGACTCCAATTTTCATTCCAATGTGACCTGATAAAAATAATCTTATCTCAATTTTCCCAGCCAAAAAATACTGATACAATTGCACACTAATAAAATCAGGTCATCTGGATCTTTCTTAAGTTATATTTATTAAAGATTCGCTTCCCGAGCAAAGCGACTCAATCTACATTAAAAATTAATTTAAGGACTGTTTAATACGCACACAATATATCACATCTCAATGAGTTGTTTTCTGTGTAGGTTCTTTTGAAATGTTATGTTTATATAACCACATGTTAAACAGTTGATTTAGGCCCAGATGACAGTGTGAGAGTGATATGTAAGTCTATGTTATCATTGGTTCATAATTGTCCAATCATGTTGTTTCAGGGTCAGATGACCAATCTGTGCGAGTGTGGGATGCTCATACAGGCCGATTGCTGCACAAAATGCATACCCACACAGTCTCCGACCTTAAACTTACCCCCAAACACGTTTATACTGCTTCCTTTGATGGCACTGTGGCATGCTGGGAACTGTCAACTGGTGAATCATGTTACTGGTTAGTTGGCCATACATCAGCCGTGTTCAGCATTGATGTTCATGACTCGGGTTTAGTGATCAGCGGATCCTCGGACAAGACGGTGAAAATCTGGCACCGCCAACATGAAGAACCGTACCTCCTGACCTCCTTAGAAGATTGTCACACTGAATGGGTCACGAAAGTCCAGTTCTTGAGTGTAGTAGAGTCATCAAATGATTTACTGTTTGCCAGCATTGATAAGAATATCTGCCATGTTTGGTGCAGTGATGCTACAGGGCATTGTGAGAAGCTGTTTTCTACAAAGAAACTTATGGGTTTACAGATAACGTCCTTCTCCCACAGCAAGCCAGGCCGGTTCCACCTGTGTACATGGAAGGAGAGGGAACTATGTAACGAGATATCGACATATACATTCACCAGAGACAGCCTCACCCTGGTGTCAACCGTGCCCCTGGGTGGGGACACGCCCCTCCGGTGTCAGCTGCTTGGGGCGGGGGACAAGTTTGCGGCCCTCACCAGTTCCAGTGAGATTGACCAGCTGTTCCTGTTCAGCTTCAGTCAGTGTTGCTGTGTGGCAAGAGTCAACATTCCTCTCTGTCGGTGAGTAGGGGTGGCATCACTTTCAAAACACTGTCCCCAGTATTATTTGATTATCTTGTAGGGCTGGGATGAGTCCAAATTTACTACCCAGGTACCCGACCCCCTATTTCCCGACCCTACCCGGGTACCCACTGCAGGTCTCAAGAGTTGGAAACAAAATGGCTGATTGGGAATTGTTTTACCGCAGCTCTGGCCAAAATTATTTAGATACACGTATAATAGGATCAGATCATGAGTACACTGAAGTTGACTGAAGCTTTATCTTTACTCAAACATATACAAGTCAAACAGAATGTGTGCATCGTCAGAAAGAAATGCAAACATTAGCGACTTGAAGTGTAACCACTGAGCTATAGTGAGTTTTTGTCATTAAACAATATATCATGTGACTAACCACGATTCGGGTAGTCCTGTGGGTACCTGGGTCCTGCTCAGGACAACCCGACCTGAGTTCCTGAGTTGCCCGTCCCAGTCCTGTTATCTTGAGAGTGTTAAGATTGTCTTAAATGATTGGATGGTCACTGTGTGTGTGTGTGAGGTTCCAACTTCAAAACATTGTCTTGAGTATTATTTGCTTATCGTAAGCATGATATGATTGTCTAAAAAGATTGGATGGTCACTGTGTGTGTGAGGTTTCAACTTCAAAACATTCTCGAATATTAATTGCTTATCGTAAGAATGTTATGATTGTCTATAATGAAGATTGGATGGTCACTGTGTGACTGCTGATCGTGTGATTGTTATCATGCATGGGATTGTTACTCTTGCAAGCTCCCATTTGCCTGGCCTTGACCCAATCATTGGCAGTAGCTGTGACGTAGCTGTAATATTGCCGACAGCCAACATTCACTGGAGTCACTCACTCAAACACTGATGTACAAACTGTTGAGTACTGGATACTGAACTGTTTTTTGGTTGGTTTATAATCAAATAAACTCTAAGACATCTTCAGATTGCAATAGTGCATAGAAACTCAAGGACTCACTGACTCACTTGATTCTACTTCAGGTTTACCCGTAATGGCGCCACCCTAACCCTTGGTGAGCGATCTTGGCTCGATGGGTTCAACGGGACTCCACCAGAGGGCACTGTCATGGCAGCCTGTCTACAGAACTCTAGTCACGTGATGCTGCTCAACTGGAAACTCTGACCACAGTCAAACATACATCAGCCCATCGCTCATGTGGTGAACAGTGTCTGAAACAACTCATATGTGAAACTGGTCAGGGTGTGTTGTAGCTCTTCAAAAGTACTCTCCTGCAGGAAATATCTCTTATGCTAGCATAAAAATAATCTGTTCCAGAAAACGAAGAAAATTAACTAGCCATGGATATGCTGGATGCTCTGTTTGTTTATTTGTTTGTTTGTTGTTAAAGCCGCACTCAGCAATATTCTGGGCTGAGACTATCCAGTGGTTGAAATCATGAGCATCAATCTACGCAAATGGGATACGATGACATGCATCAACCAAGTCACCAAACAGACCACCTGAAAAATAACAGGTTGTTAGTCCTCCTTTCAATAAGTGTATGTTTGGATCCTTTGACTGAAAAACTGTTCAAACAAAACTTCCAGCCACCCCCCCACCCCCTTTAGAATATAAAATGGCCTGTCCCACTGGCGGATCCAGATGGGGAATGCAGTGGGTTTGCTGGACTGTGCACTCCCCTTGTTATTAACAGTCAACCTGTGTCAGTCCATCCGTCTTGTTATAGCTTATGTAATGTCCACTGCCACCTTTTAAATTCAAATTTGAGACCCTAGTTTGAAATAAGTTTCAAGAAAGTCTCAAGTGAAGAGTCTCAAATGAATAAATATCACTAGTCACAGGACAAGAGCAGGCAGCTGTTTCCAACACTTGCTGGTGATTGAGGAGATGTCCCCTTGAGACCATCCACTAGACCATACTTAAAGTCTACAACAGTGGCCTCCCTTTGTCTCAATTGATCGGCTGGGGATGAAGCCTCCTTTCTCAATGTGACATATTATATCCTGTACAAGCACAATTCTATATTTTTCTGACATTTGATATATTTTATTATATCAGTACATCATGCTATTCATGGAGCATTTGACTTATTTGACTCGAGCCTGATTTACCAGACTACCATCAGACTCTTGTCTGTGTCCTAGGACATTGAAATCTGATCTTTTACTTCATTATGATATTCATCTGTGTGAAGATCTGACACACCATCCCATGATGCAAACCCAGAGTCAGCTTTGCCCCTCAGTCGAAATGAAGGATGCATGTCAGCTTTCTACAACAATTCAGTTTCATTTTTTAATCTACTAGTTTAATCTCACCAAGAGAAACCCTGACACGCCACAGATACTCCTTGGACAGTACTCCCTTTTGGGTGTAGATTCCATGGCTTCCTAGAAACAACAGGGTGTACCGGTATATTACGTTCACAACAGTCTAACCATGTTAACAGTGTGGCCTGTTCGTTTCTATTGAGAATCATATTGAAGTAATAGATCTGATTTTAATGAAATGGGATTCTTGGAAACTAATATATACAAAGTTGAAGAAATGACTTGTTATTCAGCTGGTACAGATTGATCAAAAACTGTATAATTGTATTACGATAATTATTTTACTGTTTAACATATTTTCAGTTGTTGATTTATTTTATTACTGTTGAAATAATATCTATATGAATAATATAATGAATAAAAAGACTTTCTAAGAAAAGAATATTTTTATTTTGGTAACACTTTCAAAGTTACAAAATCATGAAATCTGTCTCATTGTAACACAGTAGTGAGTTTGACACCAAATTTCGGAGGCCAAAGTATACAAATGATGGTACCAGAATCAATTTACCATGTTTATACAATGTGCATTCAGGACATTCTACCTCTTATGTGTCTTTTGGATGCATTTGGACAGGTCTAACATGCCAATACAATTATCTCCATAAGTTAAGCCCTTTTCATCCAAAGGAGAATAACTCAATGGTAGGTGACCATTTCTTGTGACTGGGATTTCAAAAAATATTTCTGGAGAATATTGGGGACTCAAGCAGTGAATTGGTGCATCAGATACACATGTAATATACGAAAGGCAGATCTAGTTAGGAGTTTCCATTCCAGCAGGTTTACCTGGGGCTCCTAGCTCTTGTTCTGCCACTTGTTATACACGCTGGGTGAATTCAGGGTTAGAATAGGTCATCCTTCTCAGTCAGGATTGTCAGGTCCACCCTTGATTAGTTAAAAGGCACTCAAGTAGATGTAATAGTTCTGAGTGCAGCGTTGACAACAGCCAAAACAAACATGGATTTCTATAATAATGGTTTAAAGAAAGTATTTATTATCTACCCAGCTTCACTAAATTAAATGTATCCAAGATAAAGCACATAAATAAACATCTTTGCAAAAATACAAATGTAAATTTATCATGCCAGAACAGAAGTAGCCCCAACCCACGTATTCCTGAATGCCTCAGAACAGCTCTAATGCAGGACAATCTTGTCCTGTGCCTGTATAGGGACCTTAAGAACAAGTCATATAAGCACTTCCGGTTTATTTACTTCACTTCCGGTTTGGCCAAACATCTGCCCAGGTGTTGCATAGATTGGCTATTTGAATTTGGAATCAGGACCATGGTTGGTCACTGTGCATTTATATCAACTGAGCACATGCATGCCTCTCCTCATGTCAGTTATCCTGAAGTATTCACTGGATACCATAACATGGATTTTGATAAAAGACAAATAGACATATTAGTGTTTCCTGTTAATGTTAATCATTTATGTTAAGATAAAGAACAATATATAATTATACAGTCATGCATATGTGTAAAAGAATTAAATATACTGCAACGCATTGAAAACGCACCAGAGGTAAAAAGTGAAATTGACACTAAACCAAATTTTATATGGTGTTGGCTTTGTACTACAATCACACTCAGTTCCACATTAGTAATGACAAGTGTCATTGGAAAGTACACAATTTTAATTTAGTGGAAAATGGAACACACAAGGGGTCCAAAGACAAAGTAAGTACTGGGTATGACCGTCCCTGGCTGCAATGCAATGCCACACAACGCCTTCTCATGGACAGTATCAGTCAAGATAACAGCTTGTCCTACGCCTACGTTTTGGAGCTTCCGTAAGTCCTAACCATGGGGTATTTTCATGTTTTGCTTGATATTTTCATGGATTCATCTTTGTGCGTTTTCAAAGCAGGTCAATATAGTTACACAAAAAAATATTCACTGGATACAGATAACATGGATTTTGATAAAAGACAAATAGAAATATTATAGTTTCCTGTTAATGTTAATAGTTTATGTTAAGATAAAGAACACTAATTATACAGTCATGCATATGTGTAAAAGAATTAATTAGTTGCATAATGAAATATGTGCGATCATCCAAATTTGGCTTATTAGACAAAAATAAAATACATAAAGTGGCATACTAAACAGTTATGTGAAGTAAGTAGAAATTGAAAAAGATTTTGTGTCTTCTATTAAACATTAAAATAGAATTACGTTCATTAGATACATTTTCAAAACTACAGTGCATAGTATGATCTACATTACACTGCAAAATGGCACTCCTTCAACACTCCCTGAAACTGCAAATTCTGTCAGACAGGTACAATTATAGAGGCCGTTTGTTAGATCTGCAAGTTTAAGCAAAATAAAGGTAAAACTCCCATCTAAATTTTGGTTTAAAATCTCAGTTCTGCCAATACGTTTGGCGTGTTTAACTGTCGTATTTGTTGCACGTTACCTGCCATCCCATAACTTGTTCTATCATATATCCAAGAGAGTTAGTTATATGCGGCTTTGAACAGTATTCCAGTTATATCACGAAGTGTCGACTTAATGTGGTAGGAAAGCCAGGAGTGATGATGGTCTTCGACGTTTATTACTTAGGTGAATCCCAAGAAAAGCGAGTATGATGCTGAGAAACCAACAAACATCATCAGGCGAATATGGGATTTGAACCTACGACCATCAGTTTCTATACGCCTTATGCCTAAGGGAAGTAACACCCCAACTCGCTTTAATAAACTGTGTCACCCAAGCCCCTCATCTATCCAAACCATCAATGCAATATATATCAATAAATACAAATACATTATACAATAAAGCGACAAAACCCTTTGCATTTCCAAAAGTAAGCTCTGCATTAAGCCGAGTCGATTGTAAAATTCTGACTATATCATGAGCATGTGTTCATAAATCACATTCAAATAGTAATGATACCAGGTGTTCGCGAAAAGGTTAGCGTATCCTGCCCCACCGGTGGCACCCGTCACAAACACATGCACAGGCAAGTCAATTGTTCACCTGAAAAAACATGGGTACATATAGTAAAAGTCAAAAATAGGGAATTGCATCAGATATGCAAAAGAACGTTTGACTTTCCAATCATTATTTAACAAATGTTTACTATCATAATATACGAACATATTTCTAATCCCACGATTTAGTTGTATTTGAAACACGATGCATCTGTAAATATCAACCCGCAACACTCAGCAAACGTTAACAGAACTCAATCCCATTTAATGTAACTACACGTGTGTTCTTATTTACACCCAGAAACATTCTGACAGCCTTGTGTTTTCACCACATCTGCTTCTCTATTTCTTCATATGCATGTGTCGACACCATTAAATACATCAGGCTTAACCAGTGACGTGCAATTTCGTGAAAAAACATTATTGACAAAAAATCTTCGTGTGCACATCCAGATATTTTTATGATTATGGAAATGGTTTTGTGTCCTAATACTAATCAAATACAGTTTGGTTTTGCCGCTGTAGCTAAACAATTATACAAATTCTCAGTCCCTCACCTTCAGACATCCAATATATTGAAGTACTGATTACAAATATCGCTTCTCAAGCCAACTCAACTACAGTAATACAATCACATTTAAATCATATCGTTAAATACATCAAGGAAACAAGGAAACAAAAAGTATCCTATCCTCTTAAAGACAAGTGTGTGATAATCTACATAGTATGGGTATAGATACGTGGCCATGTGAAACAAAATATCAGTCACTACTATATGTTAGCCTCTCAAATAACACATATCTCGTAAAATTACATATGTACCTTATCTTCAATATTTACAATTTTCTTTAGTGTTCAACAATAATCAATTACACATTTCTTGGTGTATTCCATTGCACCTTATCTACGATATTCGCAATAATGTTCTTTTTACTATTTAGAAGCAGAATTTGTTTGTCCAAATGGCTATATGAAACATAAAATATCTACAATCACTACTACAAATTGGTCTCTTAAATAACAGGTATATTCATGGCTATTTACAGTGATGAAACGTTATTCTCTCTAATAGCAGGTTTATACATGGTTGTGTACAGAACTGAATGTTTATCAATCAATAGTATTTAAGTGACAGGCGATTTTATGATGTAGAACTGTATAAATCCATATAACTAAAATGTACATTTTGGAAGAAATAACTGTTTCAAAACAAACACATTGAAGTCATAAGTTAAAATACATAAAAGAAACAAGAAAAAATCATATCCACTGCAGGTCAGGTGTGTGGAAATCCACTTGGTATGGGCAAAGATACATATACATTGTACTACAATGTTTGTCATTTTTATTTCTGACAAGTTGATCATTATATACATAGATTTATGCATACTTGCTTCAGGTTCACTTCAGGTTCACTTCAGGCTTAATAACATATTACCAGTTCATTTCACTGTAAATATGTCTATTTTTCAGTAGCCATTCTTCAGAGTTTGAACAAAAATAAAATACTCTGGCATCCTCACCAATGCAGCCAAATAAAGGGATTCTAGCACATAAAATACATTACAGTACTTACATGCTAGTTGGGGAGATTAAGGGTCAGTAGGGGCAGTGTCCACAATGCCCAGCATTCCCATGTTAACAAGGGCTACACACTTTCATTCTATACACTTCTCCAAACACCTGCTCCCGTATCACTTTCCATCAGTATAGCATGCATCCATAACAACAGACAGCTTTCACTCACTCTAAAACTCAACCTCATAACATATGTTCTGAATGTAAAAATAAGGACATGTCTGATATCTTGATACCTCTCTCTGTCATTCTGAACAGAGTCAGCCTTTAAGGACATAAGGACATTACAAAAAAGTAAATTTCTAGATTATTCTTTCCTGCCTAGGTTTATGCACATATTAGGCTCAATTCACATAACAGAAAGTGTGGCTAATATCTCCTACATAAATAATGTATCTCATCTACAAAATATGTACAATTCTTAATTGTTCAACAATATTCAATTACACATTTCAGGGTTGATTCAAATGCACCTTATCAACACCATTCACTTTTATAAAGATGAAAATCAATTCCGAAAATTCACTTAAAATGCAGCATGCATGTTGCTGTATGCAATAGAAGTGACAAACCACTTTCCATAATAATAAACAATTTCTACCTATAGCAGAGTTCAACCTTCAAACTACAAATTACAGCATCATTCATTATATATACAGGGTTATGATGAAGTCTTCTCACTGCTTTATTAGCAGGATTTGTTTTGTCCAAATGGCCATGTGAAACATAATATATCACAATCACTACTACAAGTTGGCCTCTCAAATACCAGTTATATACATGGCTATTTACAGTGCTGAAAAGTTTCAATAAATATGTTCAATATATTCAAGTATTTAAGTGAGAGGCGATTTTATGATGTTGTACTGGGTAAATTCATGTGACAAAAATGTACAGATGGTTATCAAGTCCACTCACACACAAAAAAGGCACATTGGAATAAACTACTGTTTTGAAACAAACACACTGAAATCATAAGTTAAAATACATAGAAGAAACAAGGAAATATCATATCCACTGCAGGTCAGGTGTGTGAAATCCACTTGGTATGGGCATAGATACATATACATTGTACTACAATGTTTGTCCTATTCATTTAATTTCTGACAATATGATCATTATGTGCATAGATTTATACATACTTGCTTTAGGTTTCACTTGAGTCTTAACAACATGTTACCAGTTCGTTTCATTATATACATAAGTCCATTTTACAGTCGCCATGCTTCAGAATCTCGGCTTCAATTTGTATGGAAGTAAAATACACCGATATCCCCACCAATGCAGCCAAATAAAGCGATTCTAGCACATAAAATACATTACAGTACTTACATGCTAGTTGGAGAGATTAAGGAGCAGTAGGGGCAGTGTCCACAATACCCAGCATTCCCATGTTAACAAGGGCTACACACTTTCATTCTATACACTTCTCCAAACACTTGCTCCCGTATCACTTTCCATCGGTATAGCATGCATCCATAACAACAGACAGCTTTCACTCACTCTAAAACTCAACCTCATAACATATCTTGTGAATGTAAAAATAAGGACAGGTCTGATATTAGGATCAATTCACATAACAGAAAGTGCGGCTTTTCAGGGTTTATGCACTTTTTCAAAGCATTCACAATAATGAAGATGATAATCAAATCAGAAAATTAACTTAATATGCAGCATACGTGTTGCTGTATGCAATAGAAGTGACAAACCACTTTCCATAATCAAAGCAATCTCTACCAAAAGCAAAGTTCAACCTTCAACCGTCAACCTACAAATTACAGCATCATTCATTATATATACAGGGTTATGATGAAGTTTTCTCACTGCTTTATTAACAGGATTTGTTTTGTCCAAATGGCTATGTGAAACATAATATATCACAATCACTACTACAAGTTGGCCTCTCAAATACCAGGTACAGACATGAACTATTTACAGTGCTGAAAAGTTTCAATAAATATGTTCAATACATTCAAGTATTTAAGTGAGAGGCGATTTTATGATGTTGTCCTGGGTAAATTCATGTGACAAAAATGTACAGATGGTTATCAAGTCCACACCAATGCAGCCAAATAAAGGGATTCTAGCACATAAAATACATTACAGTACTTACATGCTAGTTGGGGAGATTAAGGGTCAGTAGGGGCAGTGTCCACAATGCCCAGCATTCCCATGTTAACAAGGGCTACACACTTTCATTCTATACACTTCTCCAAACACCTGCTCCCGTATCACTTTCCATCAGTATAGCATGCATCCATAACAACAGACAGCTTTCACTCACTCTAAAACTCAACCTCATAACATATGTTCTGAATGTAAAAATAAGGACATGTCTGATATCTTGATACCTCTCTCTGTCATTCTGAACAGAGTCAGCCTTTAAGGACATAAGGACATTACAAAAAAGTAAATTTCTAGATTATTTTTTCCTGCCTAGGTTTATGCACATATTAGGCTCAATTCACATAACAGAAAGTGTGGCTAATATCTCCTACATAAATAATGTATCTCATCTACAAAATATGTACAATTCTTAATTGTTCAACAATATTCAATTACACATTTCAGGGTTGATTCAAATGCACCTTATCAACACCATTCACTTTTATAAAGATGAAAATCAATTCCGAAAATTCACTTAAAATGCAGCATGCATGTTGCTGTATGCAATAGAAGTGACAAACCACTTTCCATAATAATAAACAATTTCTACCAATAGCAGAGTTCAACCTTCAAACTACAAATTACAGCATCATTCATTATATATACAGGGTTATGATGAAGTCTTCTCACTGCTTTATTAGCAGGATTTGTTTTGTCCAAATGGCCATGTGAAACATAATATATCACAATCACTACTACAAGTTGGCCTCTCAAATACCAGTTATATACATGGCTATTTACAGTGCTGAAAAGTTTCAATAAATATGTTCAATATATTCAAGTATTTAAGTGAGAGGCGATTTTATGATGTTGTACTGGGTAAATTCATGTGACAAAAATGTACAGATGGTTATCAAGTCCACTCACACACAAAAAAGGCACATTGGAATAAACTACTGTTTTGAAACAAACACACTGAAATCATAAGTTAAAATACATAGAAGAAACAAGGAAATATCATATCCACTGCAGGTCAGGTGTGTGAAATCCACTTGGTATGGGCATAGATACATATACATTGTACTACAATGTTTGTCCTATTCATTTAATTTCTGACAATATGATCATTATGTGCATAGATTTATACATACTTGCTTTAGGTTTCACTTGAGTCTTAACAACATGTTACCAGTTCGTTTCACTATATACATAAGTCCATTTTACAGTCGCCATGCTTCAGAATCTCGGCTTCAATTTGTATGGAAGTAAAATACACCGATATCCCCACCAATGCAGCCAAATAAAGGGATTCTAGCACATAAAATACATTACAGTACTTACATGCTAGTTGGAGAGATTAAGGAGCAGTAGGGGCAGTGTCCACAATACCCAGCATTCCCATGTTAACAAGGGCTACACACTTTCATTCTATACACTTCTCCAAACACTTGCTCCCGTATCACTTTCCATCGGTATAGCATGCATCCATAACAACAGACAGCTTTCACTCACTCTAAAACTCAACCTCATAACATATCTTGTGAATGTAAAAATAAGGACAGGTCTGATATCTTGATACCTCTCTCTGTCATTCTGAACAGAGTCAGCCTTTAAGGACATAAGGACATTACAAAAAAGTAAATTTCTAGATTATTTTTTCCTGCCTAGGTTTATGTACATATTAGGATCAATTCACATAACAGAAAGTGCGGCTTTTCAGGGTTTATGCACTTTTTCAAAGCATTCACAATAATGAAGATGATAATCAAATCAGAAAATTAACTTAATATGCAGCATATGTGTTGCTGTATGCAATAGAAGTGACAAACCACTTTCCATAATCAAAGCAATCTCTACCAAAAGCAAAGTTCAACCTTCAACCGTCAACCTACAAATTACAGCATCATTCATTATATATACAGGGTTATGATGAAGTTTTCTCACTGCTTTATTAACAGGATTTGTTTTGTCCAAATGGCTATGTGAAACATAATATATCACCAATCACTACTACAAGTTGGCCTCTCAAATACCAGGTATATACATGGCTATTTACAGTGCTGAAAAGTTTCAATAAATATGTTCAATATATTCAAGTATTTAAGTGAGAGGCGATTTTATGATGTTGTACTGGGTAAATTCATGTGACAAAAATGTAGAGATGGTTATCAAGTCCACTCACACAAAAAAAAAGGCACATTGGAAGAAACTACTGTTTTAAAACAAACACATTGGAATCATAAGTTAAAATACATAGAAGAAACAAGGAAATATCATATCCACTGCAGGTCAGGTGTGTGAAATCCACTTGGTATGGGCATAGATACATAAACATTGTACTACAATGTTTGTCCTATTCATTTTAATTTCTGACAATATGATCATTATGTGCATAGATTTATACATACTTGCTTTAGGTTTGAGTCACAAACACATAAATGGACTCTTTCAAATACAGCTTATTTAAGGCCATGATAAAATCATGTATGTTCACATTAGACACACAAACAAACATCTTCCATACATAATTTGTCATGTATCACTGTAAACCTATTATCAAATGTCATTCAGGTCTAGGGTGTATTCGGTCAATGTTCATGATGTCCTTAATGCTTTAAACATATGTCTTCCCTTTTTCAACCAATGAGCTCACCCGCTCTCTGGAGAACACGTTCCGATATATCACAAGCCTCTCCTGCATTTGTATCGGAAAATGTCTCTGCTGGTATGTAAGGGAACTTCAGTTTCTTTGGGTACTGTGCATGGCTGGTATTCTGTACAATACTCAGCAGTTTGTGAACCATGTCTTGCATGCTCTTGTCCTGCAGTGTGTACACCACCAAGGAGAGATCCTGTGTCCTCTGCTCATCTCCTTCCTTTGCGTCTCTGTAGTACAGAAGGGCCTTGACTGCCTTATCACACGCCTGAAACACACACCTATTGTTTAACTGTGTGTATGAATGATGTATTGTAGAAAACAGAATAGCAGACATAGTTATCACATTCTTTCTTGGTACCTTGGTACAGTGTCTCGACATAATTAAAGATGTATCATTGATGGTCATCTATGATATGGTGCACACTAACATATACTCATATTAAGTAATACTAGGTTAGCTCAGATTTTCTATTTTCATTTTGAGGATGGGCTAAGTAAATATCAAACTTAAATTTAATCTCTGCTTGAGGTTTCAAGTGACATTTAGTTGTCAACAACACAGAAAGTCCACATGTACATCTTAAATGATGTGTAGCACATGACGTTTATCCCATCATTTCACGTAGACGTAGTGACCAAACCAATCACAATGCATTATACATCCATAAGTTGATATATCTCTACAGCATCTCAGTTATGAAAGATTGTATGTGTTCAAGATAAAGATGTAAAAAGAAAGGTTTACTGAGATTACATAAGCAATGAGACCTACCATGTAGCACTGGAAGCAGCTCCAGTTGTAGGCAGATAATGTTTGCATGGTCTCTCTTGCCACTCTCAGATCCTCCCGTGCTTGTCTCATCCACCTCCTGGCCTCTTCAGGCTGAGGATTAGGTTTCTCTGTATGATGAGCCCTGTATGATGACCTGCCTGACCGGGAGTGAAAGCCATGAGAGAAGAAGTCGCCGTCATCATCCCAGTAATGTTCATAGTCATGCCGATGACGTTTGCTCCGGCGGTTCATTTCTTCATAAAACCAGTGGTCAAAGTTGGATCTCTCTGTTTTTGGCCTTGCGTTAGTATGTCCTGGGGCTTGATCTATATTTTGACCCTTCTCCAACATTTCAATATAATTCTGTATCCGCTGAAATACTTTGGTACAAAACTCTTCATTACCTTGATTCTTGTCTGGATGCCATTTAAACAACAAACGTTTCTTTACTTTCTCTCTTTGCTTAGTGTCTGGCATTTGCCATGCCACCTTCAATGTTTCACGTATTTCTTTCAGCACACTGTCCATATCAAGAGGCTTGTCTTCAGATGGTGTTGCCTGTTGCTCTTTTCGTGGGACTTCTCCTGTCTCAGTCTCAGGTCCAGGTGTATTTCCCTCATCATGCTGTGACCTATTAGAGAGCACAATCTCTCTACACTGAGATCGTTTCTGACGCTGAAACTTGAAAAGATCCAGGGCAGATACTTCTTGTGTCCCCTCTTCTCCTACGTCAACGGCATATCTATCAAGAATTGGCAAAGTTTCACTTGTCAGGATTTGTTTCACCTTGGCATAGATATAAACTGGACCTGAGTCTGGATTTGGCAAGGTTGATCCTTCTTGCCCTATTCTATCATCTGTGAGTGGGTCATATATTTCCATTCCAACATATTCCTCCACATCAAACCTAGTAAAACTATTATCAAGCATCCAGTGGAACTCCTCTGGAATCCTTGTTCCAGGTGGTGGAAACACAGAGTCTGTTACATAGCTGCATATGTAACTTGTTGGTTGGACACTCATTCCATCTAGATAGGCTTTAATCTTTCCTGGATCACTTGCAAGCATACCAACCAGAAAAACTAGGCCAGTTGTTATGTACCCCCCTGTTAGCTTGTTAATTGCTGTGGCCAGTGCATTACGAAGAAGCATTTGATTCAGTTTTGTGGTGTTGATGTAAACAGTTACTTTGTTTTCGTCTTCATAATCAAGAAAACATGGTTTCTCTCTGTCACTCCCTTCAACTACCAGGCCACCATGAATCAATACAGTTTTCAGACCTGTGATTTGCTTAATGCTCATATTCGCTAATTTCATCTCAATGTTTTTCAGTTCTGTTTCTGTAAGCTTTTCTACTCTCCCCAAACGCAAGCTATCGTTTATAAGTCTTATAAGCCCAATCACAAACTCTGGATTTGTGAATTTTTGACTGTATTCACTCGAGTCTGAACCTTCAGTGGCTTTGTTGTGACTGGTTTCACACATGACCTCATTTGTCATCTGATCAAGAATCTTAGGTCTATATTTATTTGGTAACTGTTCAAATACATCAACTTCATTTCTTATAGAAATCACCAATCTTCTGAAACCAACAAAGTATCTAAATTTCAAAGTCTTTACTCTGTTCTCCAGTGATTCATTATCAGCAATGACCAAACTTGTTGACTTGGACAGTTTGCCGTCTCTGTCCAAGAGGAATAAGTATTGAACTGCTAGAGCGATTTTGTTATCCTTTTCTTCCTCCTGTAAACACTTGAAGAGCATGTCTGTTGCCTTCTGTACGATCTTAAGTTCATTTGGTTCCAGTTTTCCATCCGCAGTTGTCTGTGCAAGAACCTGTAGAACCTCAGCATAGTGATTAGTTGTCACTTCTGGTGCTGCACCAAGCAGGGAAAACAGCTTGAAGTATGGACCAAACTCCACTGGCGCTTTATATATACCTTGCATTGTGTCTGTCACTGACACTTCTAGCACAACTTGTGATGGTCGTACAAATAATCCTTCTTGGGGTAAAAATACAACGAAAGCAGCCTTTAGTTGTTTCTTCAATTTCTCAGTCAAATTTGAAGTGTTTTCTTGAAGAAACGTGTAAATTGATTTGATAACCATGGTCAGTATGACCACGAGATCAGAACCCTTATGTGGACGTGTTTGTTGTCGTTGTTCAAGTGATGTACTTATATTCACTATATGCTGAACCACTGATTCAATGGAGGGTTCCTTCTTTATCCCGAGCACATATGCCATTATCTCTCTTTCCTTTGATGAATGTACAAATTTGTAATAATCAGGATCCGCATAGTGGTGAAACATGGCACAACTTGTCCATATATAGTGACAGTGCTTTGAAGACACAGAGTCAGCATATGCTATCAGTTTCCCTCGTTGAAACTGGGGAAGGATTTGTTTTGTCATGTCTTTCTCATTTGATTCCTTCTCCATGTTGTGGGGCATCACAAATTTGATGTTCTTAACTCGTGAGAGAAGTGATCCTTTCAGCAACCCTTCTTGTTTTTCAAACAAGTGCTTTGTGAGCAGCTTTGATTTGTGTTCCACATCTCTTGTGATAGGTGTGACATTCATGTCCTCTACTGATCTAGCAAACTTCTCAAAATCCTCTTCTGACACCTTTATTACAATTCCAGACTCTTTTAGGAAGGTTTCCCATTCTGGACTGTCATATGGTGGTGGTGGAAATTTGTCCTCTGAAAGGAATTCTGCAAATAATGTCCCTTGTTTCAAGTAATATTCACAGGCCCTGTGAAACGATCCATCTTTGTCTTCAATGAAGTGTAACCGTTTAAGACACTGAATCAGTTTTTTTTGCACACTGCTGTAATTTGATGAAAATGATGTTTTCAACAAATGGTCTCTGACATACCGTAAATGAACAGCTTGAGTGGGTTTTGGGAGATGGCTGAATTCCTCAAGGATAATCTTTTCATATAATTCTTCAGGTGAAAGTATTTGAACCTTTAAAAACTCAAAAAGGTTTTTGTTTCTATCTGAACATTTCAGGAGGCACGTTTTGAGCCCCAATGACCATGTCTCTATTCCATCTTGTGGAATATTGTGATGCTCAATGACAGCATAGACTCTAGCCATTTTCATGTGTTGGCAGGATCCAGATAAATCTTCATAAATGGGCAAGGATTTTAGTAGCTCTGTTGCCATTGGTATTTCAAGTGTCTGTAGATCCTTTAGATTGGTGCAAAAATATTGCTGCAATATTTTAGCTGAACCCTCCTTTATGCCAATAAGTTTGTGAGTGTGTTGTGCAAGTGCCTTGAGTGTAGAAGCTGGTCTTTGGAGATTTGCAACCAATGACTTTGCTAATTTCACAAATTCTTTACTATTGGAGGCAGTCTCACCAAAATCAAGTTGGGGTACACATAGTTTAGAAAAGGTTGTTTGATAGGTAATGTTTATCATATCAAGAAGGTCTAAAATTTTGTCAGAGTCACAAATTGGAAATAAATAGATCACAGTCTGAGATTTCTCAGTTACTTTGGCAGGTATGATGCACACTTGACTCAAGGAGGATAGGCTGGATTTGATACTATCTATATGAGGAGTCATTTTTGATGAAGCAACAATTTCCCTGTGAAGAAAATCCCATATCTCAAGAATCCATTGAGGAGATGGTTTACTACTGCGTTCCCATGGAACCCATGGAATTGGAACAGTGCTGATTATATGACCCACTGTGTCTGGCAGAAGAGTGCTCAGTGTTTGAATGTCAAGTTTCCTAAGTGTATCTGATTTATCTGTAAAACCAGAGTACAACTGTTCCATTGATCTATGCATTGCCATTCCTGGTGATCCTTGGATCAACTCCGTAAATACAGTGACGATTATTGGTAGCTGTGAAGTGAAACATCTCAGAATCGAATCTTGTGTCAGAAGAAGAGGTAGGCCATCTAATGAATCAAGAAAAGTTAAACCCTTTTTGCAGTAACTTGTCAAAACAGTCAAGGCATGGGTGTCCTTTAGAGGAGTTGACTTGATGTCTAAAGGGAGACTTGCAAGTTGACATCTATCCTCATTGCTGTTGGTGAATGACTTCAAAAATTCAATCACATTATCTGGTGATATACAGGAAACCTCCAAGGCAGCCTCCTGAAACTGATGGTAGATGGACAGTGGCATATCTATTATCTTCATCCCCAAATCTTTGAGAATTTCCACAAGCTTTGTTTCAGGAACTGGGATATTGTTAAAGTATCCTGGGAATCCAGTAGACGAGGCAACTGAAACCCAATCAAATTTGACAAGCCTTGTTTGATTTTTTGATCTGGAATTTGCAGAAAATTTGCCATCTAGTGGTTTGATAACAGGAAAAAGAGCTGTGTAATGCTGTACAATATGCCTATAAAAGCATGTGGCTAACAATTTCCAATAGTCATCTGAAGTGCCTGCTATCACAGGAAACAGGTTGATGAAGGGTTTAAGCAGTTCATGAGACCTAAAATAATCTGGATCTTGCTGGGCACCAAGCAGTTCTGGTCCTATCAGAGTTTCAAGACCTGATACATAAGCAGGAACAATGACTTGTTTGATGATGGCTTCATTCCAAAGTGTGCGGAAAAGATGTGGACCATGCCATAGGTTCCCTCTAGCTTCATGATCTAATGCAAAATGTCCGTTTATGTGCACGGGGAGTTTTGTGGTGATGCGGAGGGGTAACATACAAAATGCTTTTCCTCGCACTGTATTGTCATCCAGTGGTATTGCTACACCACCTCGTGGTAACATACCAATCTTGCCATCTCTTTGGCATTCTTTAAGAATTTCAGGAACTTTACTGTTATCAGCAAAGCCACACTTATGAACAACCAGCCACCTTTCTTGTTTTCCTTCAAGGCTCTTCACTTTCAGTACTACCTTTGTCTGCTTAGTGACATCCTGCTCTTTGTGTTTGACATACGTTCGTAAACCTGATACATACTTTTTTAGGCCAGCATGTTTGTCACTTATTTCCGCACTAACTGAAAAATCTTCAACAAGTCTCCCATCTTTCGTCACTGAATGTATTGATATGTTCTTGATATTGTGTAGAAACAACAGAGACTCAGCCATTTCATTACTGAAATCCTTTAGCAGTTGTTCTATGCCCATTTTCCCTTCAATTGGAATTTCTTCATCAGATATATCAGACACCATTTCTTTTGTTCTCAGTGGCAGACGGAACAGGGTCCCTGATTCTCCAAAGTCTATAACATCCGTAAGATAGCATTTGAATATGTCCTGAAAATTGTACTGCAGCTCATCAGCAAGGAGTCTACAACCAGGGGCTTCAGATGTTGCCCATGGAATGTACTTCAGATTAGGATCTAAGAAACATACAGTTTCTGGTGTCTCTGGGCCAACTGTGAAAAAAGAAGGAACATCAGTTAAATGGTACACAGCATTAAAGCCTACACCATATTGTCCTGTCTTCAGGGCATCATCAGATTTGCTTCCAACGCCAAGAGATTGAATCCCCTCAAAGTCTTTCTCTGTAAAACTACTGTTGTTCCAAACACACAAAGCAGGGCCCTGTAAAGGTTTCCAATTATCGGAAAATACATTTTGAGTAGGATGGTTTCTGAAATCTTTGATGAATTTTAGCTCAGTAGCTCCTGCATCATCTGCATTTTGAAGAAGTTCCTTCATAATTGATGAATCCCTTGGATATCCTTCAAGGATTCCCCTCAGTCTCGTTGTCAGTTTCTCACGTTGGCCAAATGAAGTTGCTGACCATGGTAACAGTACTTTCGCAACACTGGCATGTATCAGTGTCTTGACTTTGAAATGTAGGGCTACTTCTTTTGATATGGAGGGATGAACAATTTGTATTCCCGAATCTTTCTTCAGGCGACTACAGTCGTCAAGACAAAGATCAGTTGCAGGCTTCAGGGAGTTTTCAGTGTCTGGTAAAAACATTTGCCATAATTCAGAGTTGACACAGTTTTCCTTCTCTGACAACTTGTATAATAAGTTAGCCATGTTGACATATAAAGTCACATCTTTCTTTCTCATTGGTTTATCCTTGTATGTTTCAGCCATCTTGTCAATTTGCTCTTTCATACAATCCACATCAAAGTGTTCCTTGATTCCAATAACCTGCAGGAAGTGCTTGTATATAAATCTTTGTGTTGGTTCAATTTGATACAGATATGGATGTAGGTCATACTCCAGATGAAATGCAACTTGCTGAGGAAACACTAGCATTTTATCATTAAGTATAACTTGCTTGCCTTTAAGCTTTGCTATAATGTCATGCTCTGGAGAGGTGCTGTCAACCTCCTTGCACAAAGCATCCAGGTGTTTATACAGGTTGTTTAAGATTTTGATTGATTCCTTACTCAGCTGAACTCCTGTGAGTATTTGTGTTGAAATGTGGAGCAATTGTTCACAAGCAACTGTTGCAGTTACAGATTTTGTGTCTTGAACACCAAGCCAAATTAGAACTTCTTTTAAAGAAAATAATCCATCCAGTTTGTATGAGTCAAGCAGAAGGTTACAACATCCAACTAAATCAGCTTCTTCACGAAAGAACAACTGAACAGGTGTTGAGAATACTGAAACTGTATCACCTTTCCACTTGAAAGGCCAATCTCTGGCTTTCTGCATTACTGGGAGAAAGGCCATGGTGGATATTTGCTGTCTTGCATCCTCTCCACATTTATGGAATCGCCTCCCACGGGTGCTGCTGTCATACTCATTGATATATTGTAGAATGTTGAGACACCTCTTCTCGGCTCGAGTATTATCCTCGAGACTCAGGTCTTGTACTGTTTGTATCCTTCCTATTATAGCTTCCCACGGAAGATCATTTTCTACCATACCCAGGCAACATAACTGCTTCAGGATTTCATGCCTTTCAAATGCCTCACTTGGAAAAATCTCTTCAGATTCAGTAAATAGTTGGGAAACCTTTCCTCTTGGATAGACTAGCTCCTTTGGCTTTCTTAGTTTTCCATTTGGTTTTGAAGGAATGCATTCATACTTCTTCAACAAAGCATCAATATTTGGAAAGCACAGTTTGACAGCATACAATGTCAGTGACTGACGATCTGAAGAATTTACCAGTTCAATATTTGGTAAGAAAACCTCCTTGTAGAAATCTTCAGTACTGACAACATGACTGTTGAAGGTTTCTGTAAGACCAGCTGATATGAAATTTTGATAAATTCTTTCAGGTAGGTCAATAACTGTATCCTTTTCCCAGAATCTTTGAAGTACCCCGACAGCAGTTTTTCCAATCAACTCATTGTATGCTAAAGATGGGGACAAAAATATGGAGTTCTTGAATGCTACATAATTCACTGGATCACCTTGCAGAAAGACTTTGTATTCCTCTTCAGTAATCACCTTATAGAAACTTGTCACAATGGCTGGTTTCTCAAGTGAATTTTTGACATCTACATCCTTGTCCAACATGACACCAGGCCACAAGTTGTAATAGGCCTCAGCATCATTCTGAGTAAGATTCTCGAGTCCTGTCAGAGTGCAGATTATTGTTCGACCGATAACCTCAGTTTCTAAGTGTTTGTTCCAGGAACCAGGAATTGATGTTTTGTCGTCCTCTGTTTTTTCACACAATCGCCTCCTGTCTTCTGTCAGCGCAAACTGTGCATTGATGTGCATGGCGAATTGTGTAGATGGGAGGGGCAAAGGAAGAAAGCAGTATAAGTGTCCGACACAAAAAAAGCTCTGACATTCACGAAGTGAGCTCATTTGAATTATTTCACCACTTGTGCTTAGTGGAACAGCAGTTGAAGCTAAAGGGAGTAGGCCTTTTATTGTGGCAAATTGTCCTGGAACTGTTTTTCCCATGGACCATGTTATCTGCCAGTTTGTATTGTCCTGATGGACTTTAATGCCAAAAGAGTTTGAAAATTCTGTGGTTGTCTTGACAGAAACATTCACCCTTTCTATTAAATAGTCTTCCCTTGAATCCATGTTGCACTGTTTTGAGAAGTGACTGAGGGTGTTAATTTGAGGATTGTGCGGTACTTTTGCCTGGTTAAACACAGAAAACTGATCATCTGTTTTCTTTTGAACTGAAAACAAAAGTTCACACTTGTCAACAGAGGCTCCATTTGGTAGGTAATATACTTCCATTAACTTTACATTTTGTGTGTACAATAATAGATTTCCAGCACCTTTGACCAAAATCTCCAGGAATGTTTTCATCTCTGATTTTGAGTAATGAAGATGTTTTATTTCACTTTTTTCTGCCTGTTCTGCTGTTCGCAGAGGGAACCGAAACAATGTCCCTTTGCAAATATCCCCCTTGGCTTTCTGTCCTATGTCACAGCCAAACACTCCATCAAATGGCTGAAATTGGCCTCGCATCGTCTGCAGCATTCTCCTATTTTTGACGGAGGATATGTCTGCTTTCAGTCCTGGTCTGCCCAGATAGGTCCGATGTGGATCAAATATAACTACAGTGTTTCCACTGATGAAGCTTGGGACATCTGTCAAGTTATACACAGAATTGAAACCAAGTCCAAAACGACCAAGCTTTGTTGCATCATCTTCTTTCGTAGCACCACCAAGATGCTGAATGTTTAGAAAATCATCCTCCGTAAATTGTGCATCATTGTATGACCACAAGGCAGGACCTTGAAGGGATTCCATTCCTTTATTCATCAAAGATGATCTAGCACTACTATTGTGTCTCTCATCATAGAGGAACATCACTTTGGTTGCTTTGGCATCTTCTGCATTTTGTATTATCTCTTTTGGTACTGAAAATCCATCTGTATATCCTCTAAGGATCCCATTTAACCGCTTGGTTAATGACTCATGCTGGCCACAGTTAAGATCAAAGGCCTCTGTCCCCTCCATAACCCTCTCAGTCAAGAGAGATACTCCAAAATACCTTGCTGTCTCTTCAGATATATCACTGTGTACAAAGTAGAGCTTCTCTTCCTCTTCACCATCTGTTGTCTGTTCCAGAAGCCATTCAGCATTGCAAAAGGTACAGTCTTCAGCAGATTTCAAAACAAGGGACTTGGAGTATTCATCTTGGTGAATTGGCAAAATAATTTCATTTGAATGGAATTTGTATGATTTCAACGTGGTAATGATGTGAAAAATGATTTGGAGATCTTCTTGCATATCATCTGAATTATCCATTCTGGCTTGAAGGTGTTTATGCTGAATCTCCTTGAGAACAGAAACCAACATTTCAGGACTTTGTTGTTTCTGCCCACCTACAGCTTCTACAATGTCTGCAATACCAATCCAAAACTTTGGCAAACAAAATCTGTAAGGTTTGAGCTCAATGTCCTTCCGTTGTGATTTCATGGTCCAAATTTGACTGGCAAAATGAAATTCTGAATTGATCCAAATAAACTTCATTTTGCGAAGTCTTTCCTTGCATGCTTTTGTCATCAAGGAAACATTTTGCTTTGAAAGATACCTGTACAGGTCTTTCATTACTTCCATGTACTTGTGTTCTGTATCCTGTTGGGGCTGATATGATGCAATTGTTAGGTCCATATGCTCCAACACTTGATGAAGTGGTGGTTCAGATACCAATTGAAATGCACTGATGATTTCTTTTGGAAGATTTGCAACTGGGGAAACTGATCCTATAACATTCAGATGTTTCTCATTCCACACATTCCCAAGTCGTTCAAGCAAGCAGCTATTTTCTTCTCCAAACAACCTCAATGTGTCTGGATAACCTGTTGTTCTCCTTACTAGACGTGGAACAAATCTTACTTGTAGTAGGCTTTCCAAAGAATTTTTATAAGGTTTTGCAAGACGTGCCTTCAGAAAAGCAAATAAAGCTTTGCCTTTCCTAGCAGCAACTTCAAACTCATTTGTCCCAAGAAGGCTTTCTATGACTGCACCAGTACGGCAAAGATGTTCATCTGTGACATCTGTCACTGTTTTTAGTCCAAGCATTTTCAGTCCCTGTAATAAAGATGAATCCATGAATTCAGCAGCAGGAAATTTATCTTCTCTTTCAAACAACTTGCAGAGTTCTGGCTGTGGCTCAAATAGATCACAAACCCTAAACTGCTCACTCATTTCATCTGTAGTAAGGAATTGTATTCTTTTAGCTAGCCTTAGTATGGCTTGATTTGTGAAGAAATGACATTCTTTCAGAAGGTGTAGCATAAATACTTTAACATCATTCCTGTTGTATTTATTGTCTCCATTTGCCATTAATATCAGAATGTTGAGTGTAACTTCATCTCGAGTCACTTGTCTTGCATCAAGTAGTTGAGATAGGGTAGCAGTAGTGGCTGGAATGCACCGTAAATAAACTTCTGGATAGGGCACAACCAGTTGGTCTGCTGGCTCCAGAAGATTAATCTGTTCAATGGTTGTATCCATGTCCAAGTTGTCTGTGTTTGCAAATAGTTCCAGCTTCTGCAGTACGTCTTTGGCTGAACTGCTCAGACATTTACATTCACAAAGAAACTCAACCAAAGACCGTTTTTCCTCATCTTTCGCAATGTTGTTAAAATTAGATACCTTCTCCAAAAGTGTATCCTTCTGTGCAACATCTTCAAGGACGCTGATGACACCTTCAAAGGATGGATATTTGATAACATCTCCGATAATGGAGGCATTTCTCTTGAGAGCATCAGGTATCTTTGATAGCGAGATGATACCAAGGTGTTCCAAAGCCAAACCTAGTCTTTGATCCAAATCACCAACAGTCTTCACATTCATGCAAATGAAACTTGAAGATACAGGATAAAGAGGCATTGTTCCATCAGCAGTGGCTTCCCCAGGGATAAGTAAATCGTCTGGAAATTTGTCTTTGACATCTATGTCATGTTTTGTGATGTACTGCCATACAGAGTCAAGCCATTCTGGACTAAATTGAGAATCAGATGTCACAGTTGCAATCCCTGAAGGAAACTGCACCTCCATGCACTCTTTAAGAAGACGTGCAAAGGGCTCAGGTGACAATCTTTGAATGTTGAAAATTCCTGAAAATTAAAGGAAACAAAAAGTGTACAACACAACACAACATTATGCACTTCCAGCCTTATGACATTACTTGAAGTTTGGGGAAACACATTCCTTCATCACTATGTGGATATCAAATTCTAACCACTCCATGTGAAAGGTCTTTTCAAATATGTAAATGCCTAAATGAGAGAGAGGGAGAGAGAGAGGGGGGATATCAAATTCTAACCACTCCATGTGAAAGGTCTTTTTAAATATGTAAATGCCTAAATGAGAGAGAGAAAGAGAGAGAGAGAGAGGGGGGATATCAAATTCTAACCACTCCATGTGAAAGGTCTTTTTAACTTGTAAATGCCTAAATGAGAGAGAGAGAGAGAATATCAAATTCTAACCACCCCATGTGAAAGGTCCTTTTAAATATGTAAATGCCTAAATGAGAGAGAGAGAGAGAGAGAGAGAGAGAGAGAGAGAGAGAGAGAGAGAGAGAGAGAGAGAGAGAGAATATCAAATTCTAACCACTCCATGTGAAAGGTCCTTTTGAATATTTAAATGCCTAAATGAGAGAGAGAGAGAGGGGGGGAGGGGGGGGGGGGGGGGGGTGAAAGGTTTTTGTAAATATGTAAATGCCTCAATGAGAGAGAGAGAGAGAGAGAGAGAGAGAGAGAGAGAGAGAGAGAGAGAGAGAGAGACCACCCCATGTGAAAGGTCTTTATCAATGTGTAAATGCCTTATTACTCTACTCTATCCTTACTGTTGTCGTGACAGTGATATTGGCCTTAACTCAGTAGGAATGTAGGAAAAGAACCAAACTCAATCAACTGACAATGAAACAGAAATTCAACATTATTAAAGAGACCAACCTTTTTTTGCCATATCTTGAAGATAGTGTCCAGTAGTACTGTCATGAAGAACAAATCTATGTCTCAGGCCTGGAAACATGTTTATATCATCTTCATCCTCGCACACAAATACAGGGTCTGCTTCCCCAAATGTCGTGAAGGATCCATCTGCAAGAGGGAGAAGTCTCACCCCACGAAGACACTGAAAGCTGTCCTCTGCACATATGAACTCAAGCAGATGCAGCTTCTGTTGGTCTGTTATTCCTGGATAAAGGTTCTTGGACTGAAGGGTTTTTGAAAGTCCATCTGAAGTCACAAATTTCAGTTGCTCTAGATCTGGGTAGTAGGATTGCAATGCCTCATGCAAATGAGGTGGGACTACAACAATGTTTTCCTGACTCATTTTGTAGGTAACAACAATTGTTTCTTGGATTTCAGACGACACTTTTGAAGGTACAAAGAGGATTCCATTTTCAGCATTTATCCACTTGCCTCCATCATTTGGGGTGTAGAGGCTTCGTTCTCTGAACATTAACTTGTAAAATGCTTCACAAAGTCCTTTCCAGTTTTCACGTATTTGTGATTTATCAGGCAGCGCACGGTATATCTTCTCTACACAAGTCTCATCTCTTCCTTCCTTTTGCCAATACATGATCAACTCTTGTATGAGACTGACATATGTTTGAGGGAACACCTCGAGGAGTAAACACTGGTTCCATCGTATCGCTTTATCCATCTGGGATTTGTTCTTCGTTTGATCTGCTGTTGGCCACTTGATATGTCTACGGTTCTGACTCAGTGCAAAATGACCATGGACGTGAATAGGTAGGCCTGTGGGACTCTGCGCCTCAAGTGGCAAGGGCAGAAAACAAAATATATGCCCGGTTTGCTCCTGTTCAAGGGCGAAAGCTAAGCCAACACACGGGCATGATGCAATGGTTTTGTCAAAGCACAGTTTCTTGAATGATTTTGAAATTTTTCCATCTTGAAAGTGCTGAATCACGAGCCATATGCTGTTGTTACAGTTCTGGTGTGTTGACATAAAGTCACATGTTTCTACTTTCATGTAGTATATCTTCTCAATTGGCGATTTTGGTAACCCTCCCTTCAGTTCCTTTATGGATTCTACAAATTCTTTTCTAATATTTACAGTGTCACCTACATAGCTACTCGTGTCAACAGTGAAAAGAGTCTCACAACTGTTTTCTGGAACTTGCTTTCCAAAGAGACTTGCACCTTTCTGACAAACCTGAATCCTTGACAATGACTTCAGGAAGAGCAGCATATGAGGGGCCTCAGCTTGGAATGCACTGAAGAGATCTTGTATTTTATTATCATCATAAATAATGTCTGACAATTCTGTCACTTCTTCTCGAAGGGGAAACCAAAATAGAGTGCCTTTGAAGAATCCATCCTGGAGTGTTTGGGCTGAAAACCCAAATATACCATCCAGAACTCGAAGCAACAAATCATTGGAAAATCCAATCCTGTCCAGTCTGCTTATATAGCACACCATCCTTGGGTCATGTTCCCACATGTACGGATCTAGTAACAGGATGTTGTGACCAGATATGATCAAAGGCACATCTGAAACAAAATAAAGATACTGATGTAAGTGAGCGCATAAACACTATAGATGTAGTCAGCTACATTCCAACTATATCATATTTTGCCTGTGAGTTGTGTCTAGGCAAGCCAGTTTGTTTGTTTGTTGTTTAACACCACATGGAGCATTATTCCAGCTATATGATGGCCGTCTATAAATAATCGAGTCTGGACCAAACAATCCAGTGATTGACATCATGAGCATCGATCCATGCAATTGGGATACATGCATAAACCATGTCAGAGAGCCTGACCACCCGATCCTGGTAGTTGCTCTTATGACAAGCTTAGTCACCTTTTTAGGGCAAGCATGGGTTGCTGAAGACCTATTCTACAGGCAAGCCAGTGACCAAAAGCATGGGAAAAATCCACGCTTTCAAAGCAGAATGACACACATTCAGATAAGTCCACCCAATCATCTCAAATAACATGCTTAAATGCAGGTTACTGGTTGCAGGGACAAATCCTACCTCTAATACCCTCTAATGTGTTCAATGTTATGTAACAGTACATCCCCTTCTAGCCAAAGGTGATGCACATGGAATCCAGTCGTCATTGAAAGGCATTGTAATTCAGCATGTCGTAAACTCATGATCCCAGGTTCGCCCTGATTATAGTTTGCAGCACGGTACTCATGCTCGTGCTCGTGCTCGTGGGTTTCACCACAGTTGTTAATGTCTAACACCTGCAGCACTTCGGGTTCCGAAGTGAATCTGACATGATGGACGTAATTTAATTTAATAGAAAATAATTTTATAAAATACTTGCAATTTGGCGTCAAGCCAAACTCACTCACTCTAACATGAAACCTGAACGGATAGGCAATCATGCTTGGACAAAAGGATAGGTGAACCTGACATCAAGAAGACAAAATATGTTTGTACCTGTCAGATGAAAGACTGACTTGAATCCCAGTCCAAAGCGACCAACTTTAAGAGGCTCCTGTTCCTTGATACTACTCTGTAGCATCCTTATGCCATCCCAGTCTTCATCAGTGAATACACCATCATTGTACACACATAAGCCAGGACCCTAAAAGTACACCACATACAAGCTTATACAAAGATGATTTTATCTGTAATGACAATAATGAAGTTATCCTTTCAAAACATTCTACCACAAAATGACTCCATAATGTTTTATCTGACATCAACATTTATAAAAATTTATAAATTTATAAAAAAAAATACCTCTCGTGAATGGCATGTGTTTTTGTCTAAACATAACAAAAAAATATTACCAGCTGCAAAGCATACGGTTGCTCTTCTTATCAACAGTCCTGATACTGAACAGTGTGACCGACTCAGTTGGCAAATGATCACAGCTCACATGTACATGCTAACTAACATGGTGGTCAGTCTAACTTCGTAAAGAGGTAAAAATGTATATCATGTGACATCAGTGAATGACATAATCACAGATAGCTCCTTAATTCATGTAAGACTGTGCTGAACCAGAATTGCTTGCAATAACTTTGTCTCTACCCATGAGAGCTGTAACGCCAGCACATGGCACGTAAATTCATTACTGGAGGACTAGACGCAGGCATATTGGCAGTCCAAGAAATTTTATTCTATTCACTTTTCTTAGTCGGTTAAACTGTAAGATGAATATCATTCATGATTACTGTAATTCTACATTATTGGAGAAAGTCTCACTTTGACACAAGTCACTTAATACACCCACACTAACTTACATTAAGAAATTGGCACTATGTTGCCGATCAAAGTCAGTTACCGTATTCGACGTAATAAGCACCCCGCTCAAATAAGCGCCCACGACGATATTTGCTGATATATTAGCTAGTGAACAATCCCAATTAGCACCCCTTCCGATTGATCAATGTACACAAGACTTATTTATTCGCGTATGATACACACTCGTGTGTTATATGCACCCTTAATTATGGGCAATTAAATTCTGGAAAAATATATCTGTCGTACATAAACATTTCAGTCTGTCACCATAAACCACGAAATTCATTTTTCAACTCTGTTTTTTTTTTCACCAAAATAATATTCTAATAAGAGCCCCCTATTTCTAATTTTGAGAGCACCTAGGCGCTTATTACGTCGAATACGGTAATCATGAAAATATTGTTTACACCTGTTATAAATTCACCTCAATCATACACTTACATGCCCTCACAAAACACCAGTAACGAAAGGTGGGAAATGCTCCAGACAGTTATATGCGCTACAATGGAAGAATAACTTCAGTAGACAGTTACATATTTCTTTCCTCGATCAATATCAATAGATCCCTTTGGGGTGAGACTACATGTATATATACCTTGAGGGTCCGAAGATGTGGGAAGCCATCAACTGACGAGGGACTGAAGGGACGCCCATCATACAGAATCTTCACTTCCGTGGCATCCGCATCCTCGGCATTCTGTATCAGTTCCTGTAAATAAAAGCAATAAAACCCTTTCCATGCGCATAAGAAGTCTCTGATAAAAGCAGATTTGTTGTACGATTCAGACTATACCATGAGCATGTTTTTAAGAATCACTACCAAACACTGAACACCAGGTGTTCGCGAGCGTATCCTGCCCCACCGGTGGCACCCGTCACAAACAGCCTGCTCGATTGTACCTCAAAACATGCAGGGGTGTCAGACTCTATATATAAAAAGTAAAGGGTGTACCTATGAAAGGAGAACCCCCTTATATTTTACCTTAAGGATCTGTCCATCATCAGGGTATTGGTCCAGGACCACCTTTAGCTGTTTGATGAGGGAGGGGAGTTTCATGCTGGAGAACCCCTCCCTCGGGAGTCCGCCGGGGGCACCTGTCAAGCACAGAGAACATGGTGTGAGGGGCATCAAGGGACATATAGTAGTCTAGTAAGATCTGCTGCAAAAAATATAATTGTAATCGTTATTATCAAATAAATAATTTTCAAATATTTCTCAAGTTGCTTAAATGTGATGAATAAATTGAGTAAAATAAAGTCCACTTTGGCCGCAAGCACATTTGCAGAAAGGTTCGAATCTGGTTTTCAAAATGGCTGCCACTGTAGCCATATTGAAAAATTTATCTATTTTTACAAAGTGTCCTGAAATTTGGTATATGTATAGTTAGAAATTGATTTGTTGCTCAACAGACCTAGATTCGACCTTTGCGCTTCAACCATACTGAAAGTTGAAACTTTATATGTCCATTACTAAACCCTTTTCTTTCAAAAAGTATTGAAATTTGGTATATTTGTAGTGAGTAGTGGGCTATGACATATCTGTTCCGTTTTTCGTGATCTGTTCCGTTTAATTTTGTCCTATATTTGATCTTTGCACTTTGACCATGCTCTTTAATTCACCGAAAATGCATTTTCTAGCACTGTAAACATCATCTCCTTAGACACCTGTGGATCAATGAAACTCAAACTACACCTGCTCTTTCCCGCCAATGATGACAGCTACATTTGTCCAAGAGTTTTGAATCCAGTTTTCAATATGTATGCATCAAATTTCGAAATGTCATCCACAAGTTCACCCAAAAAACTTTTGAAAGCTCACCTTAAGCCTTGAATGATGTAAAAAAACTGATCAAAAAACAATTGAGCAAGAGTCCTATTACTTAACTATTGGAAAATTGAAGTCATCCCTCTTGTCATATGTGACAGGCCCTTGTGGTCGGGGAGGTTTGTATGGGTCAGTATTCTATTTGAATTCCTTGGAAGTTGACGGATGACGGTAGGTACAGTTTATGGATAACAACTTCCTTATTTACTTAAGCGGAACGTTTCGGTACAGAACCTAAATCTGTTGTCAAGCTAGGCTGAATTATGTGCATGGAACAGAATATATATAGTAGACTATGGTAACTGTTATATATATTCTGTACCATCGCCTTTACAGTGAATAAATAAGTTGTTATCTATACATTGTGTCTACTTTGCAGTATTTTATTTGAGCTATGATGTCCCAAATACACTGTGTATAATTACACTGTACTAAAATTGAAATTTGAATTATATACTATAATAAGGAGAAAGAAGGCCATAATGTAAGTTTAGTGATGGACTGTACATCTCAATTTATCATGAGTCAGGTTTACCAGATTTACCTTTCCCCCCTTGTCTCTCAGGGGGCACGGGTGGCACAGTCGTCTAAGGCGCCGCAATACGTTGTGCAGAGTTGCGTCCCTTGGACACGCCAGAAACCTATGATTGTGTGTTCGAATCCCAATTATGTTTCTAGGTTTGTCAGCACCATACCCGTGCTTGTGGGTTTCACCGAAGTGGTAAACGTCTAAGACCTGCATCACTTCGGGCTTTCCTCCCACAAAGGAACACGCCGTGACATAACTGGAATACTGTTGAAAGCGGCGTTAAATCCAACCCAGTCACTCTTTGTCTCTCCCCAACCCAAACAACCTCACCTCCACCCACCCTTGAGCTACATGTCTATTGTCGAAAGTGTTATGTCATTCCAAATCTTTATACAATAGATCGCTCCGAGGGATTGGGCTCACTGTACTCTTTTATTTCAAGCTCAGGTGGGTCCTTTTGACTTACTCATTTCCCGTTTTGGAGAGCTAGTTCCGTACCACCGTCAGACGTTATCTGAAGCAAAGAAAAACATGTTGTGTACAAATATAACAAATCAAATGCTCTTTGTTTCCATCAATTTGGTAAAGGTATGGACGTAAATGGAATTAGATAGGTACCGGGTGAATGAGAAAATGGATGAGTGAATGAGAAAAAGTAGGAAAAGAGAAGGAAAATGTTAATCTTGTCATAGCGACTGATTTACGACTACCATTGTCTGAATTCGAAGTACATTTGACTCCAAAGGCAAATTACCCTGTCTCCATAACTTAATTGTCATTACGTTTTAGGCGCTAATCCCCGTTGTTAATCCTCACCAATATTTCATTGTATATTGACTGACAGCCAACCTGGGCTGCTATATCACTTCCCGTTCATTAGTGTTATTTATAGTATGACATTTATTGCCTTAATTGTTCATCCCCTAAGCTGTGTCACCCCCAGAAGTCATTGTCTGTCCATTGTTGTTCAGTACTATATATGTGCTACCATTACACAGTTACTACGGCTTCAAACTCACCTTCCCCAACCAAGATACACTTACACATGCCAGCAGACATCCAATGATAGACGGACTTAACATTACATGGCAGGTGCCCAAATGGTTCACACAAATACAAGGGGTAATATACATAGACCACAGGGACACACAAGAGGACATCCAAGACTACATCCACATGGCAAACAAAATCCACTAACAACCCAAGATTATAAATTACAAAAACATCAACAATCGCACACCCATCCCGGGCAGGACAACCACCCAAACAGTATTTCTGACATTCAAAACAACAGATCTCCCAACACACATCATTTTCGGCACACTCACATATAATGTAAACCCCGTCAGGAAAAATCCCACCCAATGCACCATCTGCCACTCCTTCAATCACCCTACATCCACCTGCAGACAACCACCCATGTGTCAGAAATGCGGCTCGTATAGACACGAAGCCCCAGAATGCACATGGGCCCCATACTCACACAATGTAAAACAGAGGGTCATACAGCAACTCAAAACACCTGCCCGATAAAACAAACACATATCCTCAAGCTAAATAAACACATCACAAAAGACCACCTACCAAAACCCGCCACCATCCCAACTTACAACTCCATACCTGAATATCTTGACCTAGACACCACATCTGACTCCATGTCCAGCTCCCTCCCCGAACCACCCCCACCTCCCCCTCCATGCCCCCAAAGAAACAAATGCAAACAACTCTTTGCCACCCATAACCGCTTACTAGCCCCAGCCCCCCCACCCCCATCCCGACCTCATCCACCCATCTCCCCCCCCCCCCTCCCCCCCCCCCCCCCCCCCAACCACCCTCCAACGCCCCCGGCAGGCAAAAAAAAATTCAACCGCCCTCAAATGGCTCTGCTTCCCACCCCCCAACCCCCACCGCCCCATACTACATCCCCAACCCCAAACCATACCGGCCTGCCCACCCCGCTCATTGATAGTCACACCCAAAAAAATAAACTCAAATACAAACAAACTTATCGAATTTATATCAGCAGCCATCCTCATTAAAAAACCCACCCCCAAGAAACTCCACTCCCTGGCCCAGCTCGCAAACTTCTACCATAAAACATTTCAAAACTTTCAAGCAGCCATCAGGGCACTTAAATGAAACCCCTCCTACCATCTTCCAAATTAGCCCCGGAACACCATACCATCCAGAATCAAATCCCCTTTCATTCTAAAACCCGATAATGGTGTTCATTCATTGGAATTGTAATGGCATCACCTCAAATGGGCATGAGCTTAAGGCCCTCATAGCCCTTGAAAAAATTAGTCCATTAATAAACGCAGTACAGGAAACCAAAATATCCCCCCCAAAAGCCTTCAAAATTCCAGGCTATTTTTTCATTCGGCAAGATAGACCCCGCCCCACTAACTCCCCCTGACCACCCTATGGTGGCCTTGGCATATTCATCAAAGAACATCTCAACTATGAAACAATAGATATCCCAACCCCAAACCTTGAATGCCTGGCTATCAAAACTACCATAAATCAAACTAAAATCAGTATTATAAATGTGTACCATACAAAAACAAAACCATTCACAGGTGAAGATCTAGAAGTACTAACTAAATATATTGATCAAAACACTATTTTTCTAGGCGATTTCAATGCTCACCATCCACTGTGGGGCACAAAAAACCTCACAGATAAATTTGGGAAACTAATCTACGAATGGACAGAAACAAACAACCTTATTTGCTTAAACGACAACCAACCCACTAGAATCCCCACAAATCACCTCCAATCCCCTTCAGCAGTAGATCTAACTATCAGCACACACACACACACACCCCCCCCCCCCCCATCTCCAATCAAACCTAAGTTGGGAGGTACATTCGGACACCTGGGGCAGTGACCACATGCCCATCAAAATTTCGATCTCTCTACCCACTCAAAACCCATCCCAACCTCATTCCAAATCCCCAGTCGACCCCCCTTTAGACTATCTAAACTTAACTTAAAAAAGGCTGACTGGAAAACTTTCAACACACTATGCAACCAAATAAACATCCACCATATCCATAACACAGACAATGACATCTTTAACTCAAACTTCACTAACACTATACATAAAATAGCTACACAATGCATTCCCACAGTCAAAATTTCACCCAAACACACACCTGTCCCTTGGTGGAGCCCAGAAATTGAAAAAATCTAGAAAACTTAGAAAAAAGCACTAAATAAAGCCAAGCGGGACATAACCAAACTCCCCCCTGGCTAGAAATCTCAGAAATTCAACTAAACAACTCATAAGAGCAGCAAAAAGAAAATACTGGAAAACTTTTACCAGCACCTTGAAAATGGGGAAACAAAATACCAAAATTCGATGGAAAAAAATTAAGGCCATAAAGGCCACTTCAAAACCCTTCTCAGCCCCCTCTTTTCCTAACCTAAGTACCGATAAAGAAAAGGCTAACGCCATGGCTGCTCACTTCTGGGCCACTAGCAGCTCCACCAATCACACTCCCCACATGCAAAACACAATAAAAAATCACCCCACATACACACACAGACCACCCCTCTTACACATGCCACTTAACAAAATAATCAACATTCATGAACTACAAACAGCAATCAATAACAAAAACACAGCCCCAGCCACAGGTCCAGACAACATCAGCGACACCATCCTCAATCATCTTCCCCAAAAAATTCAAAAACTACTTCTTCAACTCTTTAACCAAATTTGGACATCTGGCTCCCTCCCCCACTCATGGAAAACAGCTCAGGTTGTACCGGTTCTTAAACCAGGAAAGCCCCCACGAGAACCGGATTCCTATCGCCCCATCTCATTAACCTCCCATATCTGTAAAATAATGGAATCCATCATTAATAATAGACTAAAATTCAAAATTACCTCCCAAAACCTTCTTAATGAGGACCAGAGTGACTTTATGTCTAACCGACAAACTTTAGACCACGTTTTACATTTAGAACATGACGTTAAAACAGCACTCGCCCAAAAACAATACACTTTGGCCATTTTCATAGATTTCAGTAAAGCATTTGACATGGTTTGGCAAAAACTTAAAGAAAAAGCCATAGATGGTAGAATACTAAATTTCATTCACTCTTTCTTAACAGACAGAAACATTACAGTAAAAACAAAAAACACTCTATCAGACCCACATCATTTAGAAAAAAGGCACCCCACAGGGAAGTATAATATCACCAACTCTCTTCAATTTCATGATTGACGACATTTTCCCGCCTGTAACTAAAAATATAACCACTGCCAAATTTGCTGATGACATTTCTTTCTGGACGTTGTCAACCTCGCTAAAACAAATTCAAAAAAGAATTCAACCCCTACTTAATCACCTAGAACACTGGGCAGCCCAGTGGGGATTCCAAATCAACACTAAAAAAACATCGGCCTACTATTCAAAAACAGACACATGCCAAATTGTCCACCCAAACTCACCTTAAACAATCAAAACATTATATTCAAAAAGGAAGCTAAATTTCTGGGAATCACCTTTGACCAACAACTGACATGGGCTCCCCATATTCATAATCTGGTCACATCATGCCAAAAGGATCTAAATCTAATGAGAGCCATCAGCGGCTCTGATTGGGGCACTGACAAACAAACGCTACTTAATATATATAAATCACTTATTCAACCCAAACTAGACTATGCTGCTCCAGTCCTCAACTCCATTTCAGAAAAACTTAACAAAAAACTTAATTCCATCCAGTACAAAGCTCTTAAATAAGCCCTGGGCACTAGAACCGGTACTGCACTAAACTCACTACAGCTTATATCAGGAACTACCTCCATACAATTAAGATGAAATCAAACCATTTTAAACTACTGGGCTGGGGCCCAACACAACCCTATACTCAAACAGATTATAACCAAGTACAGCAACCTTAGACCTGCCACCCTGAAGAAATTCAAAAACAATCACACCAATCAGCCCCATACCTTACACACCTATATAAACTTATCAAAACACACAAACTTGAAAACATCAAACATACAGCCCCATCAAACATATACATCACACACACACACACACACACACACACACACACACACACACACACACACACACACAAAAATGCATATACCGCTATAGGTGGTAAACGTCTTTTTCGAAAATGAATTTCACTATTTATTTCGATTTGAAGCTTTTCACCAACAGAGATCTAAAAGGCCTATCTATATCTATATCCTTAACAACGCAAGGCCGTAGTTAACTCTTTTTTTGACAGGAGAGGGGGGGGGGGGGGGCAAATAAGATTATTCATTTCTTATTCACAAGGGAAAATGTTTTCTATAAAAATCCAGAGGGGGCCCCAATTTTGACTGAACAAGATGGTTTTGTTATGTTTCAACCTGTTTGTACTCCAAATAATGATACTTTCGAAGTTAATCGAAGAAAAAAAATTGTCCCTGAAAATTCTTGAGAAAGTGCTTGAGACTGTTCAGGCTCAAAGTTTGAAATTAAAAAATATCTGGGTTTGTAGACTGTAGCTGACTAAAATATCTATTCGCTTGTGTTTCTCCTCCTGGCAGCCATTTTGTGTTAAAGCTAATGTTGGATTTAATGCGATATATTCTACTTCCCTAAGTTATTCTTGCTTAACTCAGGTTGAATTTAGTCAACCCTGGTTGCCAGAAATGTGGAAACTTAGGTTAACTCAAGCTTCTCAATGGTTAATAATCAAACATAGGTAATAACACTGAGTTGCTCTTACCCTGCTGTGACTGCGTCATACCACCTGCAAACGCTGTACGCCGACTGAGAGACGACAATCTGCTACGGCTTTCCGAGAAACCGCCTGACAAAGCCTTACACAGAATACACGGGCGAAACGAAAGTAGGTTTTTGTAATCGATGTTCCAGGAAACTACAATATGGAATGCTTATTATATACAATGCCGTCCGTGTATTGTTACATTGGCATATAGGGAGCACGCTAGGGGGCACGTGCCAGTGCCAAGCCCGTGTCAAGAAATTAAAAAACAATCACACCTTAGCCCCATACCTTACACACCTATATAAACTTATCAAAACACACAAACTTGAAAACATCAAACATACAGCCCCATCAAACATATACATCAATGACAAACCACCCCCCGAAACAGACCTCACCCTCCACAAAACATTTACTCTACACCCAGATATTAAAAAACTAGACAAAAAAGCAATAACCAACAACTACATCCATCAAAACTGGCCAAAACACACCCATATCTATACCGACGTATCCCAAGCAACCAACAACATATCAGAACTAGGCATACAGATTACACAACCCACATCAATCACCACAAACTTCTACTATCCAAACTACACACATATCAACACAGCTGAACTACTCACCATCCAATGTGCTTATCACTACATAAAACAATCTAACGACACAAACTTTTAAATAATTTCAGACTCA